TTTGGTAACTTACCGCTCTTCGGAAACTTATCGACTCTGGTAACTTACCGCTCTCCGGAAACTTATCGACTCTGGTAACTTATCGATTCTCTAAAACTTATCGACCTCAAGAAATTTGACTTACCCACTTTTGATCAGTTGTTTTTGTGTTACCCATTCTTACCGACAAAGACTGACACATAGAAGTTCTAACATTGAACGGCAGTGTCGCTCTCTCATATTGACATTTCTGGAACTTCCTAATTTGTTATGGGCATAGCCATGTTGAAATAACACAACTACTGACCCCTATTAGTCAACAGCGAGAATTAATTCAAACGCCTAATATTATTAATCTTCAGTATTATTGCAGTGGAAACACCACACATTCTCTCAAAACCATAATTTAACTATATTAAGAACGTCAATAGAAACTGGACCATAGATTGACCACAATTTGAATCCGCTAAGATTAACAGACGGCACGCGAGTTATCTATCGCCTTTTCCACCCAACGTCATGCCGCACGTATTTAGGATGGTCCGTTCTAATTTTAATTCAGTGCGTGTCAGAAACACTCCAAAGGCTGAAGGCGAAACAATCTCGTCGTTTCCGTCTCCTTGTGATTACTAGTTGTTTAGTTAATTTTTCATACAATAAGTGGTTCTTTTCCGTATTCGTTCCTTTTTCCGAGTATACCTCTTTGTGCAAGAACATTGTAAAAGAATATACGCTCGTTGCAAAGAAAAAAGTGGTAAGTGACGATCATTCCTAAACCGTATCAACAATTACAGTTTATATTGACCGTGATTTTAAACCACACTCTAAAAAAAGGAAATTTCAATATTTAAAAAATATTTCATCCATGGAAAAATGAACATAATGATTATTTTATGTTGATGAATATTGATTTCTCCGTATGTTTGTGTATTATTAATGTATATATAATTTTATTGTCTAAACAATTATCAACTACCATCAACTAATTATCAACAACTTTTTTATAGCGAACATTTCCCAGTGATGTGAGATGATGTTTGGATTAAAAATTGCATAGATAAAATACACATCAATATATTCGAATTGCCTGACAGAAGCCTCGACCGAATATTTCAACTTCTAACCGGCCAAGGTGGCCTAACCTCGATGATAGTCGGGCGACAGACTGTAATCCCAACGAATACTTTAGAAACATGAATAATAAGAGTATTATGTTTGACTCCTATCAAATGCAAAATATTCCATACATTCATTTCTTCCATTTATATACCTTGTAATAACTGCCCGAAATGCATCTACGTTAATAGATTTAAAATAGACTAGCGTATGATTTTCTTCTCTGAAAGATGAGTCAACTGAGGTCTTGTAACTGTTGGAAACAATAATGAGATTTTTCATTACATAAATTCCTTTCTGTTCGCAGCATATTGTTTACGATGAATCGACAACTTCGTTTCTTTGCTTTATTTACATTGGCCATTACTCATATTCATGGCCTACCGCGAACAATTAAAGTTGGTAAGTAGGACAGTTCGAAAGAAAATGATGAAAATTTGTTTAGATATACTGAGTTTGCATTTTTTGTTCTGTATACTTGTTACCAATGGCCATACAAAATACGCTCTTGTAAGTGACGTAAAGGGAATAGTATAAAAGGAATAATTTGATTTTACAAATTTGAAGTGTTGCAAAATCCTTGCATCGCCTTGTATTCCCCTTCCAATAATTGCTTGTAAAATTCAGGCCGCTCCACACTGCTCACGTTTGATGTGTTATACACATTAATTTGAATACTTCCGTCAGTACATTTGTGTCACGTCATTCCCCAGGTGCAATTTTTCACAAAGGCGACGAGGATTATATCTCCACGTTCGAAAGAGCTATCTATGACTCGAAATTCGAGCAACTTGCACCTGCGTTCGAACTTGCCTCCGTCGTAAAACGTGTAGATGCCGATACTGACAGTTTCAAGACTGCCGCAGCTGGTAAATATACATCCTAATAAACACCGACTAACAATAGCAACATTATTGTCCTATTCAGCAATGTAATTATTATATATATATAACGTATGTTATATTACAACATATTGTTGAATGAGAAATTGTAACATTGATGTAGCGTTGCTATTAGTTGCTGTTTACCGGAATATGATATAAGAAAAAGAAGAAAGTCAATGATGTTTCGACGATGAAGTTTACGAACATCTCCTGGCAACACTTTTGCAATATTACGTATTTTTGTCGGGCTTCGCGACTTGTCGCTATATCGCAACGGAGCTTCCAAACTCTTCCAAGATCTTTCCGTACACACATACACATGAGACACGTATAGAAAATTTGCAGCTATTAGCGAAACTCGCGCGCGCGCGTGTGTGTGTGTGTGTGTGTGTGTGTGTGTGTGTGTGTGTGTGTGTGACATCTTTTGTAATTTCGATTTGCACTGTATCGATCGTCGTTGCGTACTAATTAGAGATTGCGATATTCATATAGTTTGCGAGCTGCTGATGGAAGGCGTGGCGGCTATTTTTGGACCCACGAGTTCGCATACTCGTGGAATAGTTGCTAGCACCGCGGCACGATTCAACGTACCGCACATTGAATATGTTTGGCGAGAAAGTGAAAGATTACGAACAGATAAGTCAGTGCCACCGTCGCCGATGACAATAAACGTGTATCCTGATAATGAGAGAATTAGCCAGGTTTGTCCGTGAATAAGTCCATCGCGACTCCAACCCGCTCACGTGTTCTTGAACGAGTTGAGAAAGAAAAAAAAAACTTTCATCTTCCGTAGAAATTTGATCTATCGCGTATTCTGCGGATACACGTTTGCTATTGTATATTGACTGATTTGTATCAAAATTCGTGTTACGTACAATTAACGAAATTGCATATCGCATAAAGGCTATCGCTGATGTTGTCGACTCGATGCAATGGCGAAACTATGCGGTGATTTACGAAAACGATGACGGCCTGTCGCGTATTCAGAAGACTTTGACACTGAAGCGAAGCAAGGACTATCCTATCACGATACGGCAACTGAATAAAGAGTCGGATGATTATCGTCCGATGCTCAAGGAAATAAGTTCCTTGTCAGTTTGCAACATCATCATCGATGTCGAACCGCAGAAACTCATTCATGTTCTCAAGCAGGCGAAGGAAGTCAAGCTACTTTCGGATTACTGCAATTTCATCATAACATACCTGGTGTGTTTCTTGCATGCATCGTTTGCAACTTTTTTTTCGAAAAGACTAGAGAGAGACTAAAAGACTTTTTTTTTTACGAAAAGAGTACTCTCATCGACGTATTCGACAAATTCGCGACCTATCCCGCTAATTCTGCCGTTCTAAATCTGAGAAACGATTTTATATTTTCTCATGCGAAATTGATGGAAGAATTAAAAACAAATTTTGATATCAAGGACGATGGTCCTGTTCTTCTCGGCCAATTGCCAGATAATTTCCAAGCGACGGTTCTCGCCGCTCTACCTCCCATAGATAGTTTTCGAAATAATTTCTTTATCCGAGTTTGATAGGATTCGTCCAAATTGCCTATTCTCGAGGTACGCAACAACACTATCGCCAACATCACCGGCTTCAGTTTGAGGGAAAATGACGACGTCCTGGGAATTAACTGGGTAATTATCCAAGAGTCTCTCTTTATTTATATGTCAAACTGGGTCAAAATGTCCACTAGTAGTTTAGTTATCAGTGAAAAAGTCCATTATGCAATCACGCAAAATTTCGAGTTATTAATTATTGAAAATGTATAGAGGCTTCTTTGTGATTAATAACAAAATTTGCTCGCACAGAGATCGCTTTTTGCATTCGAAATGACCTAATTTCTACAAGTATCCAACGATTGTTGACTATCCTATATTAAAAAAAAAAACTTGCATTAAAAATATTTTAAAGTAAAATCTTGAAAAGGGCCAATCAAATATTATCAATATTAATTATTTATATAAATAACTCGAAATAGCGATAAATTACGAATAGTATATTACGAGTAGCAAATAGTGATAAATTACGATGAGTAATAAAATCTTTAGCGCGAGACGGAAAACTGATATACTCGTGTGATATTTCTGTACGTGGTTCTACAGGACGCCGTTCCTGCCTCACGCAGTCTAGTATAATTTGACAACTTTTGATAACCCTCTTTTCAAAATCATTATTTTAAAAAAATTTGTGATAAATGAAAAATGACTTTATTTGGTACCAACAATTTTCCAGTGCGGTTATTCTGGGACTCTTTTGTATAATGTTATACAGTATATATAGCGCATGACGAAATTAATCAAATTTGACAGTAGTTGACAGTAGGTGTTTAATTAAAATTTGTAAAATTGCACGATCACGTCGTAACACGACGAGATACACTCTCTGGTTGACGTCAACGTAGAAGTCAAAATTGACGTTCAACAACGAAACTTTTTCAATATATCTCATCGCTCTGAAGAAAAAAAAGATTCCTTATCATTTTTGTATAGTTAAACTCGGCGGTTCTCTATGACGCAGTATTCTTACTGGACAAGGCACTTGAGACCCTGAATGCGAGAAACCTCGGTAACGAAGAGCCTGTTATCATTGAACCCACACCGCTTTCTTGCTTTACTGAGAACTATACTGAGAAATATCAAGCAGGTTTGAACATTACCAGCGCTATACGAGAGGTGAGGAAACTCCTATTTCTTCGTTCACAATTCTCTCTTTGCGAGGACGAAATAATCTTAGACTTGAATCAATACGCGACATAACGACACGATGATGATGAGCGGAGTCTGTGCAACGGAATCTGTGCAGTGTATTTAGTAAACTGAGAGGTAAACGAGAATCCCAAGGTAAATTTCAAGTTGACATACACACAGACAAGAATGTATCTAAAATTTTCAAAATTCTGTCCCCTTTAACAAGTGTCACATCATCGCGTCGTCGTGTCATTGTTTTGTCTCATGCCGCTCTAATCCTCATCACGATTGTCCTCTTCCTCCCATCCTATTATTCGCCTCTCAGAAAATTTCTTTGCTGAATTAAATACATTCAGTGACTCACAAGTGCGTCAATGCAACTTAGTTACATCCTAATCCTTTGTCACCCCTTGCCGCAGTTGTCAAAAATGGGGAAGATAACAGGCGCGATGAGCATCGACGAGTATGGTCGTCGACGGAATTTTAACATCAGAATATTGGACTTTCGACAGTCTGGTATAGTGGAAACGGGCTACTGGGACCAGGACGGTCTGCATTTTACGCAGACCGAAAAGGAGCATGAGAGCTACTTGTTTAAATCTATTCAAGAAAAGAAATTTTTAATCAGCACCAGAGTGGTTCGTACCATTTAACACGTTAACCACTTACAAATTTGACTCACTCTCTCTCTCTCTCTCTTTTTCTTTGGCGTGCGCATATTTTCGCAAAACGTGTCCCGCTGGCTATCAAATATTAATAACGATACTGTTCATCGGACAGATACTGACGATACGACCAAAAAGTTCTTACATGTTGAATTACGGCTCTATTATATAGAGTGATCGAGTATTTTTGATATTTAACTTATTTTTGATGATACGAAGAAATGTTTAAGGAAAAAGTTGTACGAAGGGACAATGATGGTGACGAAAAAGGTTTTCTCAAAGTACTTAGAGATCAGAAGACATTGATAGTATTCTCATCGTTTCTGTCATTTCTGAATTTACATCTCTCATGTTATCCTGTGTTACATTGTTGTTAACAATGTTTTTTCAACGTTCTCTATAAAAAAAGACTAATCAAACGTGCGGGCCAACGGAGATGCATCTTCTTCTTTCTATTGTAAACATACGTAATGTTCGAGATCATTTTTAAATTATATTGTTATAGATCGCCGTCTCTTCCAATGTCGACCCGCACGAACAAGATATAGTTTTATTTGAAAAGTTATCTTAACCTTCTGGTCTTTGAAAACCTTGAAAAGAAACTTTTTTTTTCATCATAATTACCTCCTCGAATTATCTTCACAACTAGAGATGTAAAACTACTAGCGATATATGTGTAGCAGCAAACATTTGTGTGATTTAATTTGAAGGCTGTCGCTTTCAAGAACGCCTGCACGAGTTGCTTTTGAAATTGTTACGGATAGCATGTGGATTTGCTGCATCAAATCTATGGAATTATTCAAGGGTTCACCTTACGTGATGGAAGTGAATGATGGATCGGCACGAGGAGTATTGATCGATCAGAAGCGCTACGAAGGTTATTGCATCGACCTGATCGAACATATCGCGAATCATTTAAAATTTCAATACAAATTTGAGCTAGTACCAGACGGACAGTACGGCAGTTACAATGCAAAGACCAAAAGCTGGGACGGATTGATCAGGCGTCTTCTCGATCGCGTACGTAATCGCGGTGTTTGTAACGAGAAAATTGTTTTCACGCTGCTTTTCGAAAAAAAAAAATCGTAAAAAAAATTAATTCGCACCTTTGTTTCCCTCGCATATAAGTACACTCCAAGAATATAATTCTTCTTCTTTCTTCGTAGGAAGCTGATCTCGCGATATGTGATCTAACTATAACGTATCAACGCGAGTCTGCCGTGGATTTCAGCATGCCGTTCATGAATCTGGGTAAACAATGAGAAATATGGAGGATTAGCTCCCTTGTTTTCGATTTTTTCTCTTTCCTATTCTCATGCAAAAAAGTTTCACATATGATGATATTGTACATGTCGCTATATCATTGCTATATTTACAATGTGTGTGTTAATTAGGTATTAGCATTTTATTCAGTAAGCCGGAGGAAAAGGTACCGAATCTTTTTTCATTCTTGTCACCCTTGTCCGCTGATGTGTGGATTTATATGGCGACCGCTTATCTTGCCGTGTCGATAATGCTGTTCCTTCAAGCCAGGTAATGCTCTCCTTAGCATTTGTTTTATCCAGTCTAAACTACAAAGTTTTGATACAACACATTTGTCATCCATCGAATAGTAGTTGTTAGTTAATAAAAAAAAAAAAAACCGTTGCCATCATTAAAATCTATTCCAGCGACAATTTCATCCTTTTTTTTTTGTTGAAGAATGGCACCAGGCGAGTGGGATAATCCACATCCATGCAATGCAGATCCTGAAGAGCTAGAAAATAATTTCAACTTGAAAAATTCCATGTGGCTGACCATTGGTTCCCTTATGCAACAAGGATCCGATATTTTGCCCAAGTAAATATCACTCCTCCTCGTAGAATGTTTCATTCATTCATTCATTCCCCACGATCGTAGCAAAGTCGAAGACTTACTTTGAGATATGCATCGTGTCACGATATATTTTTTTATAGAGCGCCATCGATTCGAATGCTCGCGAGTATGTGGTGGTTCTTCACGCTTATTATGATCTCCTCTTATACAGCGAATCTAGCCGCCTTCCTCACTGTGGACAAGATGGACACACCTATTAAAGGTGTCGAAGACTTGGCTAAGCAAACTAAAATCAAATACGGATCTCTCGGAAGAGGTTCGACAGCGAATTTCTTCCGGGTTTGTAAACTATTGCAATTGGTATATACATGATACATAGCATTCATTATATTATCAAATTGTCGAAATTACTATAGAAAGTAAGGAAATGTGAAACGAATTTCATTTACACCCACTTGAGTCTTAAAATTAATCTTTTCTCCAATTAATATCGCATACAATATCACACACATAATAATAAAAACATCATATTGTGCTGTAGGATTCCAACTATTCAACATACAAACGAATGTGGGCTACAATGACGGAAACTAGACCCAGCGTATTTACCGCCAGCAATGAGGAAGGTGAGCACAACTCGTGTTAAAGTGCGTATTTTTTTTGCTAGTTTCTTTTTTTATAATTGAGAGATACTGTTCTTTTACGTTCTGTACTCTCTCTCCCTCTCTCTCTATTGCGTGCAGGTGTCGATCGAGTTATCAAGAGCAAACGGACATATGCATTTCTAATGGAATCGACCTCTATCGAGTACCGAACAGAAAGGAACTGTGAAATAGAAAAGATCGGGGGTCTCATCGACAACAAGGGATATGGTATAGCCTTACCGCGCAGTGAGTAAAATTGAATCCTTCTTTATAGAATGTAGAGGAATCCGCTCAGGGTATAATAGGAACGCTAAGATTTTGACAAATTTTTGACATATTTGAAATAAACAAAGTTCAATTTGGTTCAACACCAAAATATTCCTTGGGCTCTATCCACTATAAGAAAAATACAAGTTTTATGGTGAAAACAATAATTTACAAAGACAAAATTCTTATTTTATTGAAAATTTATATTAACCTCATGAAGTCGTCGCACTCCAAATTCCAAGACTTCATTGCCATAACTCACTCATAGCGCGCACTGTTTCTGCGAATATTTCTTTGTCGCCTCGCTTATTTCTTGCTACTCTATCTATTCGAGTCAGACAATAAAACAATGGAAAAATTGTGATTGATATATATTTATGTAATTTTCCCACACAGATTCCCCATACAGAACGCTAATTAACGGTGCAATCTTGACGCTAGGTGAGAAAGGCACGTTGCAAGAATTAAAGAAGAAGTGGTACGTAAGCTTCTCTTTTGCAGGATAGCAACTTTTATCTTCAGATAACATTCCACAGGTTAATCAATTCCTTTAGCCAAATATCTCTTATTATCGTATATTTCCTAGCTTTTACATGTATGCGAGATTCTTCCTTTTTTTTTTAAGACGATTATACAAACGTCTCTCTCTTACTTTCTAAGTCCGACCAATTCTAATGAGCCACGACTTCTTCGCTCCAACCATCTATTTTGGCTGCACTGCCACGTTTCCGCCGCTTCTCTCACCGGTGCGAGACTCGCAAGCTCATCCTAGAGCGCCTCTGTCTAAACAATTCTATACTAAATAGGCCTAAGCAATCATCGACCCTCATATCCTTAATATTATCGACTAAGGAGCTTACAGGTGGCAAGAAAGGGGTGGCGGATTATGCAAGAAGGACGAAACGGATAAAAGCGCCAGCACTAGCGAATTAGGTTTACCGAATGTTGGCGGCGTTTTCCTGGTCCTCATGTGCGGTTGTGGTGCGTCCCTGGTAATCGCCATTTGCGAATTCCTGTGGAATATACGAAAAGTCGCAGTGAGAGAAAAAGTAAGACTCGTATGCGTCGCCGTTGTCCTCCGTACCCTGCCGATATTTTAATTACTGCTTATAAATAGTATTTATTTTTTTTTTTTTTAATATTTTCCTGCAGATTACACCACGGGAAGCATTAGTGGCTGAGTTGAGATTCGCTGTGAACATATGGGCAATGACAAAACCTGTTAAAATAGCCAAGACAAACAGCAGTACAAGCTCCGTGGAACGTGGCCTCGATGGTGGCCGGGGAGGATCCACGGCTCGTTCTATTGTTGGCTCCTTCCTACGACTCGATATGCTCGATAAATTCGATCACAACACAAACAATCGCGGCAATGATCGTAAAATTAATTGACTGCTGTTTACTTAAAATTTATATCGACCATTCTCTATTCTCGTGTTTATAAAATAGTTCACTACACGACAGAAGTACAACAAAATATGGGAAAAATAATGATTACGAGAGAAAGAGATCACAAGTATACATCTTGACTACACCTTTGGGACTACTACTTGTGTCAAATATTACTGAGCAAACAGCATGTGTTGTTCATAAAAAAAAAAAATATATGTGTCGAATAACGATTTGAAAACTACGTTTGTAATATCTGCTAAATTATTATAATTGATAGAATATATTATAAATAACGGAATTTGTCCGTATAACGTATGGAACTTTACACACTCTTCATGAAATAAAAATGTACCGCGTACCATTGAATTATGTAACAAACTGGAATGAGCATTGCCTTTGTTTTTGTCAGATGACCTCATGCCAAAGGAAAAATTATCGAAGTAGAATGTATATATGTGTATATGTACATCTATGCATACATACATTCTACTTGGATAATTTTTCCTTTGGCACGAGGTCATCTGATATATCTGATATATATATATTATCTGAACGCCGTGTCTACGCACTACGATCAAAATACACATATCTGTCTTTCGCTTCTGAGACGGCTCTTATGCCCCTATCAAACTACGGATAGGAAATTCAGATTGAATTGAAATTTAACCAATCAAAGCAGAGTTCGCTAAACTCAAGTTTAGTGAATCTTGCTCCGATTGGCCAAATTTTAATTCAATCTCAATCCTAATCCGTAGTCTGATACGAGCTTTAAGGTTGTCCCAGTCATAACTGAGAAACAGAAACGTGTTAGCTGATGATGATGGAGACGAGCCTTAAGGTTGTCCCAGCCATAACAGAAACAGTGATATTACTGTCAAACCGAATCGGTAGTGATGCTATCTACGTTTAACGTTTTGCACGAAATTGTTATGAATATCATAATTATGTTTTTGTAAGGACTTGTTCACGGTACGCTGATATAAGCTTTCCGACAAAAAAAGACACAAACGCCATTTTATTGACATTTTATACAGAAAACGAAAAAGGATATATGTTGAGGTTTTTAACATCGATAGCTTCGCACTTTATTTTTTAAACGTTATACATTAGGATGGAAACAACATTGGCCGAAATAACGGAAGAGAGTGGCGAAAAACCAATTCAAATTAGTTCTCTGGTACAAGTAGTACGAGTTCCAGTGAAACATGCTAATCTAGGAATTCGTAGTCATGCCATGTATGTTTATAAAAAAAGTTGTTCTCTCTCTTTCTATCTCTCTCTATGTACACTCCTTTATTCGTAAAAATTTTAATACATCTTACTCGTATAGGGACATGAGCACAATGGTAGAACTCACATCATTTAGCACATTGGGAAAGATTCAACCATTTTTAGTGACTGTCACAAGTACCGCAGCTCTATTGGTAGATTTACATTGTCACTTAACAGACAAGGAAGTTTGTGGCTACTTGGGTGGACACTGGGATATTAATTCACATAGTATATTTCATAACTCTATTATATGAAGTACATAATTATGTTATCCTGTATATTGGAATATTATTTGATTGGACCATATATCATTGTAGATCTTTCTATAACATGTGCATTCCCATGTCGTTATTCTGGCAAGGATAAATCAGCTGCAGCAGCTGTAGAAGCTGAAATTGCCAGAGCCATGGAATGGAAACGTGTTACACTGGTAGGATGGTATCATTCTCATCCACGTTCTCATGCGTCGCCTTCCTTGAGAGATGTGGACTCTCAATTAGACTATCAAATCAAGATGAAGGGACCTAGCGACAACGGATATATACCGTGTGTAGGATTAATATGTTGTAGGTATTATTGAAACTTTGCTTCCTCCAGTAGTTTTGTGATTATTGTTTTCCTATTTTTCTGTAGCTCCGTACAACATGGATGGCAACTGTTACGAGTCGAATTTTAACGTCTTTTGGTCTTTGCCTCCACCTGAAAACAGACCTCACGAATATCCCCGACCTATGCTTCTTAGCTACACGTTATCGCAGGAGCACTTCCTCTCTCAAGATACATTGGAAGAAATTGTAATTATTTCCTTGTTTTTTCTGTTTAAAGCCACGATATATGATAATATAAAAGTACAGAATCGTGTGTATGTATGTGTGGGCATGTGTGAGATTTCTCATACATTGGGTGTAGAATTTTAGTTTTTCGTGCGAAAGCTTATCAACTGTACATAATCGTCATCATCACTGATATTTTTCACTTCCTTTTTTCTAGAGAAGATGTATAGAATATTATAAAAGTGAAGGTGGTATCGACTTTACTGCCAACTTTAATAACAATACAACGTATCTCGAACGCTTAAGAGTGAGTAAAATAATATTCAATGATGCAAAGACGAGTAGGTTTATAACGTGTAGCTATAATAATGATAATAACAATCTAATCTCGATAGTGCTCACTAGCATCGAAATTACCTGGTCGAAACCGATCAAACGGCTCATATTGGGACGTGATCAGGGAAATGATTTGCCCAGGCTCCGAAGATGGTACGCCGGAATTCTTGGCCATGAAGTTCCCTTTAGTATCTGAATCGCTCGGGCCTTCCGTCCCACCGCCACCGGGTGTCAGTCTTACAGCCGGTAATGCGGCTGTTTTCCTCGCACCGGTCAACTTCAAACCCGACGGCGCCATAATCACTCCCACGTCCAAGCCGTTTGTACTACAGCCGTCGACCTCCCGGGATAACATCATCAAGAAAGATAGCGGCAACGTCGGTCCTAATGACACCGCGTCTATCACTCAGATCAAGGACGGAAATTCTGCAAGTTCCAAACATATATCCCCGTCAGAAATTATACCGAGCTTTCATTCCGGCGAACTTACGGTATCCGTGAAAAATGCCAAGTGCGATTACGACTTCGTACCGGCGGACTTTTCGAAGATGCCGCTGACTAGCGACAGTTGCAGCGCTGCTAACAAAGCTCGAGCATCGGCGAATCCCGACTTTCCATTGGCGGACATCACCCAACAAATTACCAAGTTTTCCGACCTGACGAAACTGGCCAACTTCTCCACTGCCGACTTGGCAAAGCTTTCGGGCTTCTCCATCACGGACTTTACACGAACTTCCTCGCCGTCGCCATCGTCCACATATATGCGCAACATCGCGAATCTATTCGGTCCTCTCGGCAAAATCTCGCCGGCAAAGGACGCGGAGAATAACGAACGTAAACCAGCTGACTTTGTCACCGTCGATACGTCGTCGTTCAAAACCGCCGGCACCCCGGAGCTATGCCGCAACTTTTCTGCCGAAGATTACGATCGGAAGAAACTGGACGCGGATAATTCGGCCAAGATGAACCGATTGAGCGAGTATCAAGGAACGGAAGATTTAACGATCTCGAGCGTCAAGCCTGAATTTAGTATGCTGGACATGACGACGGTACATAAAAAACCGTCCCAATCTGCCGACATGGGAGATTCCCTGAATCTCTCCAAAGATCGTTAAACTTTTCCGACATATGATTACACTTTTATTGTGTCGAAAAGTATCACGCCACTCAATGATGCTTACATTTACATCTACAGGCAACATTAGTGTTTCAACCGAATACGATATCGATGTACTATGAATTATGAATTATAGCATAAATATTGTAAAATCATAATTTTGCAACCACTTGAAACTCGTCAAGTTGTATTGTCTTCATTTTATACACACACACACACACACACACACACATATATATGTCACACGTATTATCTCGCCTAAGTCGATTGTAACAGACTGTCTGTAGACAGTTTTAATCATTACCATAAATCGAACACTACTTTCTACATCGGCGTAAAAGTTATTATAGTGCTCGTCTCAACGAGGGTTATAAAAATATGCAATAGGGGGTCACGTTTAAGAAATACAACTTGACCTTGGGGACACCAATTAATAAGATCAATAAATACCAGGTGTACCGGTATGAAGTGAGCGTTTTTTTGTGAAATCAAAACATTATTTTTTAATGGGAAAGTAAAAAACATTTTATTCAAAGTATTGGCCATTGCTAGTTACATACACATTTTTCCCATCTTTCAGGCAATTTGTGGATTCCACGCCAATAAAACTGTTCGTCTTTTGAAGCAAACCAATTAGTCACCCAATTTTCGACTTCCTCGTAGGAATCGAAGTGCTGCTCAGCCAATGCGTGTCCCATCGATGAAAACAAATGGTAGTCGGAAGGAGCCAAGTCTGGTGAATACGGCGGGTGGGGTAGCAGCTCCCAGCCGAGTGCTTTGATCGTATCCTGAACCAGTTTTGCTTTGTGTGCAGGTGCATTGTCATGGAGCAAAATTACCTTGCCGTGTCTTCTGGCCCCTTCTGGTCGTTTTTCGATCAATGCATAGTTCAAATTGCTCATTTGTTGTCGGTAGCGATCTGTATTGACGGTTTCACCAGGTTTTAGGAGCTCGTGGTACACCACACCTTTCTGGTCCCACCAGACACACAGCATTGTCTTCTTGCCGAATCGATCTGGTTTTGCAGTCGAAGTTGATGGTTGTCCCGGATTAACCCATGATCTTTTCCGTTTAGGATTCTTAAAATAAATCCATTTTTCATCGCCAGTAACAATTCGATGCAAAACTGATTTTCTATCGTGTCTTTGAAGCAAAATTTCACAAGTGTTTCTTCGGTTTTCCATCTGTCTTTCATTCAATTCATGTGGCACCCATTTTCCAGACTTTTGGATCTTTCCCATAGCTTTTAAACGGTCAGAAATGTTCCCTATCGAGACATTTGTATTTTGACGCTCACTTCATACCGGTACACCTGGTCTTTTTAAACCCTACAACATTATTTTTCCGAAATACTTTTCTGTAAAACTTTTTCAAGATTTTTTACGGTTTCCATACTTTTCCCTCACCCTGTATATATACATATATATAGCGTGTATTCGCTAAATTTGAGTTCGGTGAACTTTACTCTGATTGGCTAAATTTTAGCCCAATCCGTAATTTAGGAATGGACAAAATCAACGATGTTTGAAAAATATCAATGTTTGCTCATTGAGGATGGTGGTGTTACATCTAGAGGAAACGTTAAGGACTCTAGAAATTCTCTATTCGACAGCCAATCGGCACATCCGACCACAAATGCGTCAATCCTCAATGAGTAAACATCGATGTTTCAACATTGATGATTTTATCCACTCCTACTACTGGAAAGCAACCATACGATACATACGTTGACAACACTGTTAAACGTCAAGGCCGCGACCAACTTCAATTGACTCTCGGATCAGCTCGGATGTTTGACAGACTACGCGAGTGCCTATAGTCTTTTTAGTAATTGAGTCCTGGAAATTGCTAAGCAACATATTGTTTCATGGGAAATATCGCGTGGACTGCATTTCGAGATTGCAGTACGTCGAGCGAAACTGCGCTTCAAGATCTCGCAAAACGAATAGTACAAAATGAAGCCTTTGATCGAGTTCGAGGAATGTTTACGAGATACCCCCAAGTTTCGGTGAGATCTCGGCGTTCAGCTCAATTAACATATTTCTTACAAAAGACCACTTGCCGCGCGATAACTCTTTCTTTGTGGCGTCGGTTTGCAACTTGAAGATTTTTCTCTTTTTTTTTTTTCTATATAAATCACCTTACGACACTATGTATACAGAGTAACAGTATTTTATGTTAAGTATGTTTTTGAACTTTGCACAGATCCTGCATCGAGGAGGTAGAAAGGAATATAGATCAGCTTGAACAAAAGTTAGATAAGGTACTAGCATAATAAGCGGACATATACTGTTTATATTGTTGATTGAAGTATTATATGACATAATTATTATATATTACATAGTATCAAGTACATACGTACTTGACGTCCACTATAAAATATGTGACAATTTCATATAATGTAACATTTCCTATTGTAAAGGGATATATTATAAAAAAAGTAGTCAATTTTCAATTATTTGTTTTTTTTCTTTATATTCTCTGCTGTTGTTTGTCATAAGTTGGTTATTTACAGGTATTAAAAAATTGCAGCCTAACTATTGATACTGGAAAAGCTTTTGTTGGACAGCAAAAGTAAGTTTGAGTTTATTATATGTTTGAATTTATTATATGTCTGCCAGATCTTTTAGTCTATAACAGAAAGAGAGAGAGAGAGAGGAAGTATAACCTCAGCAGAATATATAATGATAATAATTATATTTTGTTAATAGCCAATTTGCCAATAGTCTGTGGGAATTGTCTCTATACTTCAGCGAAGATCCAGAAATAATGGCATTCTTAAATAAGCTCATTCATGCTTTGCAAGAAATGAACAAATACCATAGTATTTTGTTAGACCAAGCTTCTAGGACTGTGATGAAAGATCTTAATAATTTTATCAAGAGGTGAGCGTGTGTAATTATATCGTGTGTGAAACAAAAAAATTGGAGAAATCTGCCGACTCTATAAAATTGATTGATTTTACCAGTGACATCAAGAGAGTAAAAGAGTCTCGACATTACTTTGAAAGGATTTCCAGCGATTTGGATGTTGCATTAAATAGAAACTCTCAAGTACCGAAATCTCGACCTGCGGAATATGAGGAAGCGTCGAATATCCTGTCCGCTACACGATCTTGCTTTCGACACACTGCGTTGGATTATATTCACGCACTGACGATGCTGCAAGCGCGCAAACGCCATGAAATATTAGGCACATTGCTGAGTTATATGCATGCGTGTATCACTTATTACCACCAAGGTAGCGATCTTGCGCTAGACTTGGACCCATTTCTGAGAGATCTCGGTGAAAATTTGGTTAGCATGAGAGGTGATTCGAATAAGCTCGAGAAGGAAATGGAGAATCGACACATTTATGTCAACAATAGAGATCTGATTCCCTCACCTGTATCTGGCAATCCTAAGATGGAAGGGTATCTGTTCAAGAGAACGAGCAATGCTTTTAAAACATGGAACAGGCGGTGGTTCTGCCTGAAAGACCATCAGCTGGTGTATCGGAAACGAATAGGTGATGAAGGTTACACAATCATGGAAGAAGATTTGCGATTGTGCACCGTAAAACCGGTAGTCGATTGCGACAGGAGAAATTGCTTCGAAGTTTTGAGCCCGACCAAGTAAGTAAGGACGTGCATTCCGAATAGATGAAAGTACATGACGCATCTTTTGTCTCATTCACGTAGAAGTCACATGTTGCAAGCGGACAGCGAGGAAACGTACTTGGCATGGGTGACCGCTATGCAGCAAGCTATCGGTGCTGCCATTCAAAGAGGCATGAGTATAGATGGGAACGTTAATCCACGCGAGTCTCAATCCACGCGCGATAACAAGGGCTCCGCGAGACCGTTAACAAGACCAAAGTCGAGGCAAGTATCGAACTTGATCGCAATGACGAATGTGTGTTTTAATGAGACCTCCCCCACTTCTCAATGTGTGACTCTAGAATATGGGAGCAGTTATTGAAGATTTCGGGTAACGAGATTTGTTGCGATTGCGGCGACATTAATCCACGGTGGGCTAGCATCAATCTGGGTATTACACTTTGCATAGGTAAATGCTTTTCTTGTTAAGCGACAAATTTGCCATTTTGACATTTCCATCCTGACATCTTTGCTCAGAATGCTCCGGTGTGCACAGAAGTCTCGGGGTACATTACAGCAAGGTACGCTCCTTGACTCTGGATGATTGGGAGCCGGAAATATTAAAGGTGATGGCGGAATTGGGCAACTCGGTGGTAAATAGCATATACGAGGCTGTACCTCCCGATATCACCAAAGCTACACCGAAATGTAACGGGTAAGTTTTGTGCGTGTGATGTATCGTTTGACGAGATTTCGTGGGAAAACTCGGTTTTTAAAAAGACTATTTGCGCCCAGTAACATTCGAGAAGTCTGGATAAAGTCAAAATACATAGACCGTAAATTCGTAAAACCTCTAACCGATGCGATGATATTGTCCGGGGGACATCACGCCAGTCGGGACGAGATGCATTTCCGGAAATGGAGTGTGCGCAAATTACGCCGCAGACCACGCAGCTGTGACAAGATAGACGATAGTAATCGTAATAATAGAGCATTGTCATCGACGTTGTCATCCGTGAAAGAAGGCCATCACTCGACGACGACGAGCTCAGATGACAGCAAGCATACGTCGATCGACAGTTTGAATTCCGTTGACAAGGCAAAGCTCACTCAGGGACGGAATTCGATTAGTTCGGATGACAGCACTGCTGCTGCTAACGTAGACTTGAAAAATAACTCTGCCCTCTACGGTAGAATCTTGAATCGTTCCCAGCACGATCTGAATGACGTTAGCAGACACGTAAGAAACATCCATGGAGAAAGTCCGGTGGTGAGTGGTGGTGAATCGCTGCGGGATATTCGACATTTAGACAGTAGTCGAGATACAAGCGAAACGCAGCACAATCCCGACGGGCCTATTAACAACGATGCCAAAGATTACCTTTCGATATTAGGTAAGAACTCTCCCAGATCGCAATGCAAGGAAAAAGCGGAATCGGACGTGTTGATGTTTGGCTGCGACGTGCCGAAACCCACGATCGATGGTAATCTAGAATTAGTGAGTTCCGATCAAGATTCCACAGCTGGCGAAGATGAAGAATTTATCGACGAGGAAGATATAGAGAATCTGCATCCTGACATGTTACTTTATAAAGCCGCAGCAGCGCACAATCTTCCCGTAATGTGTGCGGCGTTGGCGGCTGGCGCCGACAAATTGTGGTCCAATGTTAACGACAAAAGCCGCAGTGCTCTCCATCAAGCGATAATGAGCGTACGTACGTACATTTAATATGTATATTCAATGCATCAGGATTAGAGATAATTGCATCTCCCCTCTGTATATACACACAGGGTTCTGTTATGTCGTGCGAATATCTTCTCTTAAATGGAGCACGAATCAATTGTCGAGACGCCGATGGGAAAACGCCGTTGTACTTGGCGACTGAACTAGGTATTTATCGAGAGATATTGTCAACGTGTTATCTCTCTCTCTTGTTCAAACTATTCATCATATTCATACCCGTGTATAGGACATACCGCGCAAGTATGCCTTCTCTTAAAACACCGTGCCGATCAACACATCGAAGATGGAAGCGGAGTAAAGCCTTTGTCGATTGCTGTGAAAGAAGCAAATGCTGACATCGTTACGTTGTATGTGTCGCACGATGCATTTGTTTGTTTGTTATGATACGTCGCTCGATTACATATTGACTGTTTTCAGATTACGGCTTGGGCTCTTGAATGAAGAAATGAAAGATTCGGAAATAGGCGTCACAGGCGACGAAACATTTAACGATGTTGTTCGTGACTTCAGTCAATTGGCTTGCTCGCATCCAGAGCGATTGCAACGTCGAAACGAAACCGCAAACCTACCGAACATGCCCGATTGAGTTTTGCAAATTTTAACATCTAAAGGTTTACCATTTGCAAACATGACAAATTAGCCTAACTACTGAGCGAAAGAATAGAAGAAGAAATGAAGCGTACCGCAAAAGTATGGTCTTTCAAATTGTCGCAGGGTATTTTAATCATGTCAATGTGCGAATGGGAAAACTCGCGTCGTTTTCTTTAGAAAGAGAGAGAGAGAGAGACGCATCTTCAGGTATTTTATATTATTTTCTCTCTTACGAAACAAACTCTATTAGCCTCATATTTGGAATTGGCACTCGAGAGAAACGTCATATTTTCATGCGTTATGTACTTTGAACTCCCCCATACTTCTTATATTGTAGTATTACATCTATTTTTTTCTTAAGGATAAATCAAGTCGCAACAATCAGTTCCTTTCCATATATGCTGCATTTGCGAATAATGCACTAAAATGTGAGCATTTAAAACAATTTTTTGAGAGATTGCGCGTCTCTCGGTTCTTGTCGAATTTTTGCGCGTAAGATAGCACAACTTTCCCCAGATGTTCAAAAACAAATATCCATATATGACGTTGAAACATGCAAAATTGTTACTTACGTTACGTTATACGTCGAAAGTTTTGCTATTGCAGATTAAACTTTGGATGTATATTGTAACCGAGGGGGATATGATTATACATTTTTTTTACACACACACACACACACACATATATATATATATATCTTTACATGTACTTGATACATTGGAGCGTTATAAATCAATTAGTTGCCCTACAAGTTACTTAGAGTAGCGTGTCATCTTGTTATACAATACGTTCATGTAGCTTGCCAACATATACCACGGTGCTACCATGTAGTTGTACGTTGGTTAATTGATTATAAACAAACTTATGCTTCCCGTGAATGGACGAACAAAAAATAAGAGAGAGAGAGAGAGAGAGAGAGAGAAACATAAACCCCCTGTTGCCAAAAATTTCCACTTGTATATATAGAAACTTGAAGATCTGAGATATATAATTTCCATATATTTTCTAAAATAAATAGTTCGATTTTTTTAAAAACTTGTACAAAATGATGCAATACTATGAAATTAGACGAGGGAAAAGTAATCAAACCTCTTAGCACACATTATGCATGTTTACTGCATTTATACAGATTTAATTAATAGTCGTAATGTTAGTAGGATAGGCAGTATACAAACACATTCCTGGTATATTATATCGATTTTTAAATTTCGTTGCGTAGAGAGTTGAACGCGAGAAGTGATATAAAAGGTGACTGTTTGTATAGCTCTAAAACTCTCGTAAAGCTCGCCGATCGAGAAGAAGGAAAGTAATTTGCGAAAGTATGATAATTGTTGAAAACAATATGAAATGTAGCATTGTGATGATCGTAGATACGTCGCTCTTGATATGCGATTTCCATGCGTGTGAGTTATCGATTTATTACAAATTTCGTAAGGAAGCTCGAATCAACTAAAGTAACTGATGAGACATATAGGGTGTCTATCGCCAAATGTCTCACCAATATTGTAGTTTTTAAGTTAAAGACAAAATTCCTCTACCATATTGCAAACAATCACGCAAAATTTCGCATTATTGAAAATAACTATGTATAGAAGCCAATCTTCAAGTAATAGCTCGGGAATTTGCTCGCGGTTATTCGCACAAAATAGTGCGGGACTGATCGAAATGCGAGAATATTATGTTGTTGTACCTAGCACAACAGACATATTGGTGTATTGAACATTAAACTTCGAACTTCTGTCGTTAGGGACACAACAGTCGCCGTATATACTTATAAATTAGGCCGTTCACGACGAAAAGTCCTTTTGTGCGAATAATCAAGCAATTGACCTAAATTAACAAGTATGTGAGACGAATGAGACACTTCGTGACAGACACTCTGTATATACAAACATGTACGCATTTCAAAGTTTTATAACGATGTGCCGTTTTAATATTTGCTCTAATTTATATTCGTATTGACTTTTACAATTTGATAAAGTTACAATAATCTTTATATGACTAAAAAAAAGATTGTAAATATACAGACACATCCTTTTTTATGTACATTTGATATGTAAGAAGACTATATCATCAAAGTTATATTTGTACTTACAAACACTGTACGTACCTATTACAGTCCTGGTCGGACATGTCGTTTTATTAAGTTATCGAAAAATATCACTTGCTGATGATGTTTTTTATTCTATATATTGCGCAGGTCAGTTTAAAATTCAAAGCGTTACGATTGACGACGCGACACGTTGTAACCGAGGAAAACAAGGTTTTGCAAAAGATCGACACGCCAAAGCCCGAAAAATATAAAACCCCATAATCATTTTGAGCTTTGGCCAATTTTAGAATGAACTTTATACTAGCCACATCACAAAATATTAATATTATGTTTGTATTTATACTTCTGTAGAGAGTAATAAATTTCACTCAAAATAAGAGATAAGAGTTTGAGGGGAAGGAAGAAATAAATGCCACATCTCTCACCATATCCTTTGTCGCTATAAATATAAATAAAAAAAATATATATATATATATATATATATTGGAACAAATACCAACATTATTGAACAAGTTGTTGATAAATACGTCACAACAAAAACAGCTGTCAACTCTACTTTGTAAAACGATAATTCATTTATACGCGGCTTTTTATCCTTATTGGGATATTTTTCTCCTTCGTCGTGTTTCAATATTTTTTGTAATTTTTCAATCGATTATAGAGGAAAAAAGAGCCAAAAGTGCAACTCAATTCGCCACGATATATATTGTGCGTGCGTGCGTGCGTGCACAATCGCCAAGTATCATATATATTTCCACTAACGAAGCATCCTTAAGGAATAAAAAATGTGCGAGCTGTCGGCCATTACAGTTCGTTCGACGCCGCGTTCAATGGCGTTAGACATTCGTAGTAGTCGCGTAGTCGCCGCGAAAAACGCGGGCGAGAAAGAGAGAGAAAGAGAACGCTTGCACACTCGACGAGAGGTTGCATGATGCGTGCGATAAACGACGCAATCGTCGGCTCCCGATAGGAGCGTTGTTTATTGTCGTTCAGTATCAATCACCATTACCTCGAATGCTGTTCCAATATTCGACACATCCTGAACGAAATTGTTGCAATTTACATTATCCCTTTTTTGTCTATCTCTTATATATGTTCTCTTCTCAATCCCCTTCCTTGAGAAGGAACATATATAAAAAGAAAAAGGCGACTGAATCAAACGCGGGTGTCAATGCTCCATCTCGTCGCGGTTATCAGTGCGTGCATGACACGCATGCGTACGTATCAAACAAATTTATCGCCCGGGTCTCTTTTCATTTTCTTCTTCGCGTGAAGGGGACGCGCAATCGGGCGCGCGATATATTGCAACACACGCTGCTCGTAAATGTTCATTCGCAATTTCATCTTTGCGAATGGAATACAGTCTTGGAAAAAAATAGGAATATCGTGTCGCGCTGATCTCAAGACGCGCACGAGAGAAACAAGAAGTCGGACAAATGTGCTCTCTCTCTCTCTCTCTCTCTCTCATCCTATATTAACCCTTTGCACTCGAGGGCTCCGGAGCGGAGCCATTTAAAATTTGTCTTCAAACTCTTCAAACTCAAATGCAAATAGCAAGAGCGGAATATCCTATACACAATAGTTTTTACGATTTGTCTTTGTCCTTATGTTATGAACTGAAAGTTATTTGCATTGTCTCCATAACGGAGCCCTCGAGTTTGAAGACAAATTTTAAATGGCTCCGCTCCGGAGCCCTCGAGTGCAAAGGGTTCAAAATCAAATGGAATTATTTGCACACCGGGGTGAGAAAGATCTGGCGTCAAGATCGCTTTCGACGCGAAACCATCGGTAGGTTTGATACGCGAAAATGAAATTGACGAATCGCAATGCGCCAATATACACACAATCGCTCGTTGCGTTGATACATTTCCATGAAGGCTAGCAGCCATATTGTGATTGCGTGACAGCAGAGGCTAGAAAATATATAACGATATGCAGTAAATTTTTCCTGCGATATGTAGTTTTATTTTTCAGTTTTCTTTGAAGAAACATATTAATCCTGTAAAATATGCGATAAATTGAGATGTCTGTCCGATATATGTCATGTAGAATCGTAAAATAATTCCCGAAACAACGATACATTTTCCAGGAATTATATATCTTGCGATTCTATTTGACATAATGGATAGAGATTTCAGTTTGCCGCATATTTGACAGGCTTCAGGATTACGAAATTAATATGTTTCCTTGGGGGAAAACTAGAAAATAAAGCTGTATATCACAAGATTTTTACTATATTCTCATTTCTAACTCGGTCTCACAACCAATGCCGGAGATAACCAAGCCTTAACCGTTTTAGCGCCACGCAGCGCGATCGCGCTGTTTACGTACTGTGGTGAAATGTGCCGCGATGTTTGGTCACGATCGTCAATTCGCAACGCGCTCGGTTCCGAATTTCGCAAACTTTTGAGTGTTTAGTATAACGTTTTTGATATAACTGATGAAATGAAGCGCGAGCGCGCCGAGCGGCATATTTCGACGAAAAAAAAGAGCAGCGCGATCGCGTCGATCGGCATTACTCGCGGATAAATGAACGCTATCGCGCTGCATGGCACAATTCGACACGGATTTTGAAAAACCCCTGTACCTAAAATGGTTAAGGAAGCGAGGAATAAGAGACGTGCGTGAGAAAAGAGAAAGCGGTCGGCCATTACAGTTGGTCCACGCCGACACATTCAAGGAAAGCGGGAGAGCTCACATTTCACGAGAGGTTGCACGATTCGTGCGATAAGCGTTCATCGGTTATGCGCCCCAATCGTCGTGGCTCCCGATAGGAGCATTGTTTATTGACGTACGATATCAATCCCGTGGTGGCTGCCCCGCCAAGCACTACGATGTTTACCAATGTTTATCGTTCGCCGCTATTACCGCGAAAAATGATTGTAATAATCTACTCGTCGATATACTACAAGTAGAGTTTTAACCAAATTTCGCGCAATGTTGCGACTCGACCGATAATTTGCGTAGACGATTGTCACGCAAATTTTCGGTCAAAGTATGTTTGCAATCGTTTGCAAACTTCATTGGTGTCGCATCAATTGATCGTACACCACGTGCCGCTGTGAGACGATGTTTACTCTCCTTGTTAGAATCATTAATAGAACAGAAGTAGGCGCGAGAGAGAACGCGTACGTATGTAACAAGCACGCGATGCACGAGTTGCAAAATCACAAGTTCACTTCTTTCGTCCCATCCTTTTCACCTTTGGGTGGAAATGAATGGTGAGAAATTGTCAAATTCCACGAATCGAACGGAGCGACCCTCCGTACGCGCTCGTCAATATCTACGCCACACGTGGTCAGATTGGCGTTTATCCGTCGTGACGTCGTCGAATCTAGAAGGTAAACATGTGTCGAAGTGACAGGGCCCTAACTCGCCAATGAGAAAAATAAGACGATAATTCGATGTTATTGATACCCTGTTAACAACCCATTGAGTCGATGTTTGCTGCCTTCTCATGCTCCATCGTGTTATTAAACGAACGCGATAAACAAATTCCTCGCTCATTTAAGCGATTGACGTTCGATACAAGTGGCTCGACGACATTTTTCATCTTCGTTATTACACGAGGAAACGGTAAGATGCTTACACACGCCATATTCTATACATCATGCTCTACGTAGCGTCCGTTTTGACAAACAACGTTATCGTCCTTCCACGTGAATCTTCTCGCGCCGCGTCAACGAAGGTTTGGATCATCACGGCCTGTATGTTACCGAGGCAGCTGTGATGTGATGGTCCGCGGAAGATCGTAATTCGATAGGAACAAAGGCTGGAGAGGATGCTCCATCGTCTCGTCGGCGACGACTGTTCGCGATGGCGATTTGTGCGTCTAGACTAGTGCGCGTCCTTGTAACGCGCGCGCGCATTACAATCCGAAACGCGCCGTTGATTCACCGCAACCGATTTAGACCGCGCGTATTCTCCTTCTCGCATAAATCGTCTCCCTGCTTTCGCCGGTACCTTTGTCACACGTGTTGATTAATCGTGTCGACGGAGCCATCCTATAAAGAGGTATCGCGATCATACTTCGACCGATAAACCCCTGCAACCTGAGAAAACAATTATATATAAATAGCGTGACGCGCGACGGAGGGACAAACGCGGAAACAATTTTATTTCGAAGGCGTCGGAGAAAAAGAAGCAAGGAACGACGACAGCGCGGAGACGAGACACGACAACTTTAGGATCGCAAAGAGAGGCGCGTCTGAGTCGCCTTAAGAACAGTCGTAATCGTCGGCGACGGCGACGCCGCGTAAATTTCGTCACGATAGTTAGTGGATCCGGCCCGCGCCTATCAAACGACTTTTCATTTTATACATATGCAACACACGTTTTCGCGCGTCGTGCCGCCTTTGATTTGTTTCTCGCAAAGCCTGGCGCCGCGTCGGCTCTATTACCCTTGGCGACGCAACTGAGATACATTTCGACTTTAACGATAGCGCGACCGTAAGGAACGATAAACTTGCTCGCCAAAATAGCGCGATGCCGATTGAGATACCGCTGGAAAAATATCCGCGGTACCGCGATGAAAATTTCTAAATATTCATCGAACACGCGGTGAAGCGCGTGTAATTGCGAGAAATCTCGCGCGATCTCCGTCGCACCTGTGCTACGGCCGGACGACGCGAATAAACGGCGTCGCGCCGTCTACTACCGCTCGGACGCCGCGTGGAGGCCTACCGCCGTTTTCGTCTCACCGCGCCCGACCTTTCGATCCTTTGTCCGAGCGACCTCTCGCGAAGAATGTCCGTCAATTATGCAACACCGCTCTCTCTCTCTCTCTCTCTCTCTCTCTCTCATTGGCTCATTCCCCGTGGAGAAAAATATAACTTTTGCTGATTTTTTTTTCCACAACTTGCGCGCGAAGAGATTCACGAAGCAGCCTCCTTATTAACGTGATTGACGGCCGATGCTGACGGCGCGCGTCTTCTCGGAACATCGTCCGGCGGTTTGCGCCAGTAACGAAAGAAAAGATATTCCAGCAACTTTTTCGCAGATCGCGCGTAATTGCGATTGATCGCGTAGACCGATCGATGACTGTAACGTCGCACGTATCTTTTAACCCGATTCCTTGACCCGATCGCGACTAGCTTGGGTCACACACGAAGAAGCTGCTCTCTTTGATCGACGATCTCCCTCGGAGAATTTCTTCAATAAGGAGTGATCGCACGTGGAGACAAATCGCTTGACCTGCTGCTCATCCCGCGCGCGTCCGTTTTCGCCGTTCTTTTTCCGCTGCAGCGTTCCGTCGTCTCTCTCAGACCTTCTCGCCACCTAACGCCTTGCATCAACTTATTTGCACTCTAAGTGCGACTAAGAAAAATACGATGTATTGCACGAAACGTCTCTATGCGTACTAGAGAGCTCCTATCTCAATTACGCACATGTTGCAACAAGTATTACAATATATCGTTTTTCTCATCACGTGGCTTAACCGGCAGGTGTGCTTTACGTCTCAGCCGGAAATTATATCAAATCATTACACGCGAAGGAAACTCGTTGACCTATTACGAATGAATTGTCCTACGATTAATTACACTGAATTGAAACGGAATCCCAAAGAGACGCCTAGAAACACGTCCGTTCTATCGGACGTCCGTTAACGGTCGCAAATCGATCAAATGATACCATTGCGCCCAATTGTTCGATTTGAAACGGAGGGAGGATCGCTCTGTACCCACCAACATCAAATCTTGGATTTCGCGCCGACGGATGATGTATTGGATCACATTTTTTTCATAATATCAAAAGTTTGCACGCGAATAATCTGCGCAATGTCCGTCGTGAGGTCATATCGTCTCTTTGAGGATGTTCGAGATAACTTTCGGCTGACTATGCGCGAAAGAACGGGAGAAGAAAAAGGGAGGGCAACTTTTGAGATAAGAAAAAGAACGCTATTGTCATCAATATTTGACGTCAAGCGAAGAATTACGTCAATGTGCGAGAGGGCACGAGGCAATATTTAAACAGATAATCAAGTCTTGAAATCATCCACTCACTTTCCGATAAGGTCGTGAATAATTCGTTGTGGATCTTCAAAGGGATTTTCGCAAGACCGCTCTTTGGTTCAACGAGTATAAAATGAGAGAGAGGAGACTGCAATCTCGGTTAACTACGCAGCTCCAGTTCCTCCCCGGAAGCGAAATGACGCAATTCGGGAGGTCATAGGCTACGCGTCCGGACCCTCCCTCTCTTTCCCGCAAGAATATCATACGACGGAGGAATGATTCGTTTCTCCCTCTTATCGTTTGTCTTCCGAGAAAGTCTGTCACATTATCTTTCTGCCATGGCTGCGCACCCCTCCCGAAAACTTGCTTCACAGCTTTAGACGAAGGATTACGAGAAACTGAAAAACGAGAGAGTACTTTCATTATTCAAATGCGACCAAGAAAGGCGATTGTAGAATAATAACTGCCTTCTATAATGGCGTTCAAAAGCGCGACATTGCACTGTCATGTTTACATTAGTTGGGTCGAGAAGATTGCGAGCATCAGGAAAGAGAGGAAAGTGCAGCAAAAATATGAAAATGTGCAGAGTAAGATTTCTTCTCTCCCCCTCTCGTGTCAGAAGAAGATGCAACATCGGTAATTTGTCCTCCTTCCTGTGTATCTTCGCGATTTCGTTACATTAGATTAATAGATTTGCAATTCGCAGCAAACGCGATAAAAGCGCGATCCGAGTATATCATATTCGAATGAAATTGACAATCGGTCGTATATATAGTACTGAACGAAGCATGGAATCAAAACCATGTGCGAAATAGATAGAAAGAAACCATTAAGCACTCAAAAATGTTTTACATTTTTGCATAATAAACACTGCATAAGTAGAAGCGATATTAATAATTATATATAATCATTTCAATTTTATACGATGTGTACATATAGCCTTACGCACTTACAGACATGTTTCCTAGCTTGTAAGGATACTTGTTCCCCTTCTCATGTTAGACAAATTCAACTGATGGAAAGATGATAGAAAGAACCGTGGTTTACGGCCTCTCTTTCTAGATCCGGCAACATTAAAGAAATCCGTCCAGTACTACATGTCGACGGGCGTATATATGAAGAGACGTCAGCAGTACGTGATCCTTGTGATTGGCCGAGAAGCGGTCGGGCCCCTGTCGAGCCTCAACGAACGTTCCCCAAGTCACGTACACACAGCGGGTGATTATCGAGCGATCGACTAAAATCGACCGATCGTCGGCACATTTTTTCAGCTCTAAATTAAATCTCATCAATGTAACACGATCAGCAGCCAAGGATGGATGATGTACTACACATCTGATGGCTTCGTTAGGCGAGCGACGCCGAGTAAATTGTTCGTTTTGCTTGTGATGAAATTAGGAAGATTAAATTTATTATTATGAATGTCAAGACGTAATTATCGATCGGCAACCTGGCGAAACGTTCGCTAAATATTCATTTGAGACGAATTTGTTAAGTCAAAATTTGACAAATTATGTCAAACATTCATTGTGAAAAAATCCGTTTGTACGTGCAGACCGTGTTTTCAAGCGTGTATCAATTATGTGTAGTAACTGATGAAATATTATTTAATGTCTGTCACACGCTTATCTAAATAATAACTTATTTCGACAGCCTTATGAAATCTGTATCGTTTGCTCTAGATCACGTTACTACATGTTATCTGACAATTTCCCAAGCGGTATTACATCAGACAAGGAAAGAAGGCGCGCCATTTACATGCTCCTATCGAGAGGCTCCGATCGGGAATTCGATCGATTTTCTTCCGCGAATGAGAGTGATGTATCTATCGACACATGTGCCAAATTTTTATCGTAAAGTGAGACTACAATTTCGAAGAAATAGCTAGTGCACAGTCTTACGTATTTCGTCCATCTCATTAAATGTGTCATTGCATCACAGTTGAAGTGGTTTCGTTACATTTGCAATTGTTATTGTAATATCTAAGCGATCGTAGATGTTCCCTCTCTCCTTCTTTCTCCCTCCATATTCTCTGCCTAAATCTCTCTCCCCTCCTCCTTTAGTGAGCGATACTCTGGCAGGCAGCAGCTAGCCCAGCCTATATAAACCCTCGGCGGTTCGAAAGCGTCCTCACTCTAACAAGGAGGCAGTCTATGTAAACGTAAGGTCTCGTGGAACACAAGCTCGGCCACTGAGAGAGAGAGAGAGAGAGAGAGAGAGAGAGAAAAAGAGCAGGCGCTTGAGTGCACCCGCGCTTCTAATCCTAATACATCTTGCCGAGTGAAGGAGAGAGGAAGAAAGAGAAATCTACGTGTCTGATCTAAATACATATTCGCGACCTGTCATTAAGGTGATCCGTCCTACGTGACAACCCCGTTGTTGACAACTCACGTCGGTGTTTCCGGACAAAGCTCGCGCCACTTTCAGTGTCTGCAACGTATGCGCGCTCACCAAGGTGCCAAGCGATTCAGAACTCCGTACCTACAAAGAACCGCGCGAGAGAGGCAAGCGCGTCCTGAAATCACCGAAGGAAGAAGAAGAGTGAGAATGTCGAGAACGAGTTACTATGCCGCCGATACGAGGATGGTGGTCGTCGTCACGATCGTGGTTATGTTGTGTTATCCCACTGTGATCGACACGGCTGCGGTGGTCAAGACCGAGGTAAGATTCAACATGAGATCCGACGCGGTAGTGAATCAAAGAAACTCGTATCATTCGTGGCTTTTTCTGCTGGAGAGCACGAGACGTTAACATCTTCTTTTCTCGCGCGTACATTTCCAACATCTGCGCGTGCGTGCGCGTGTTGAACGACACAACGAAAAGCGAAGAAAACGAAAGACACGCGCGCCATCATTGAACAATTGAGCCGACCAAAAATCGTTAAGATCGATCAAAACTTCGAGTTGATCAAAATTGCTAATTACAAGATTACTACTAGAATAATAACAGGGTTCAAAAAACACGAGCGATCATTGATTATTGGTCGTTGGATCCCTAAATTCAGACTTAACCGTTGTGTTTTCCGAACGCAACCATACGGATGAAGGTGAATATTGTTCGACGAATTGACCAATCAGGACCGAAAGATTTCTTTATCATGATTAGTCAATTTGATGCTACTCTCAAGCGGGCTTTTGAAATGGTTGCGCCTCTATTTTATGAAATTATATCTGCGCAAACATTTATGCGTATCGCATTTCAACATTTCAGGCATGTATTTTGCGTATAACTAATGACTTGCAACCTTTTTTCTCGGAACTTGTAAAAGAATAAAAAGATACAATTGGTTGCACGGAAAATACATGCTGCGGCACGTCAGTGTGATATTTTTGAACGCCGCTTTGTCGAAGAAATCTGTATATACGGTGAAGCGCGCGCGTAGCTCGAATTATGAATCGAGTTTATCGAGTTACCGACCTTCCGAGACGATTGCTATTAATTAATTGCGTTCATCGCGCACCAAGCTTAATTACAGACAAAATAATGCTCACTGTTGTTACACATGTAACACGAATTACTATAATGTATTCTCTCTCTCTCTCTCTCTCTCTCTCTCCCCCCCCCTCTCCTGATTTAGGCTGTGTTCTAAAATTCACTGCCAGCGACGAAAATCAACTAAAGTTCATATTACGTAGTCTTGATCGGACGCGCGATCATATCGACGGCAAGTTGGTCGACTCAGGTTTCAGTTTAAAGTCGTTCGATAATTGTAAAAAAAAATACAAGGCTATATTACGTAAGAAACTATCGAGTACGCGGGTAGTTTGTGGTAGTTCTTGCGCGAATGGCATTTGGTCTGTTCTTTTTAGCCAAACTGGCTGCGCACTTGTTCAAGCAGCGTATGCACGCATACTGAAGCATGAGAATCTCGTAGCGTACATTTCGTACGCTTCAATATGTATGTGAATTTCTTGAATTTTTACTGCAGACTAGTTAAAACAAAAAAAAACAGACCAATTATTCGTGATTTATTCCATTTTATCCGAGCACTTTTGTTGTACTCAACCGAAAATGGCCGATCCTTTAAGTGCATTTCTCTTTTTCTCGTACAGATATTTGACCAGCATCTACAAAATATAGTTTTACACGGACCTAGAAACATGAGGGTTTTACGGAGTGCGGAGGGTAGCGAGAAGAGCGACCAGAGGCGGATTTGTTACAATTTGCCCTGCGCGTGGGAGGTTTACGATCCGTATACGCGCAACTCGGAATATACTATAAAAAATGAGTAAGTATTTTCTTACTTAAATTTTTTCATTTCCCTTCTTCTTGCGCATTTCAAAGAATCGCGATTACATGCGCGAGCGCGCCAATCCTTTTCGCGCTATCTGTACCGTTGTGAATTGCTTTTTCCAGTTGCGTGTGTCCAGATAACAGCTACAAATGCGTGCGCTCCAACGACGTGCTGTCGGCGAGCGCGTATTCGTACCACTGCCGTCAGAATACGACGGCGGACGACATTGAATATTCCAAGGACGCTAACTGAGAGAGAGAGAGAGAGAGAGAGAGAAATCTTCGAAAAGTAACGCGTTAACCCTGATCGTTTCTCTTAACCAAAAATAAATAAGGTGTGAAATCTACGCAAAATTATGTTTTTGTACGAGTTCGGCCGAGGAGATCGTGTTATAACCGAGTTATATCATTATTTTGAGCAAACAAATTTTGTATGGACATCACACCTTTTATATTAGCAATACGCTATGCGAAGAATAAGGGCATTCGACGAGAAATATGAAGGCAATTTCATCACCCTCCTCTCTTACCTCTTGTACTTAACACAGTCGGCCTTTTATACTTTACAAAATAGCAGAAAATCCTTCGCTTCTTTGCCTTCCTTTTGCGTATATAATCAAGTATATTATTTATAACAATATATCGCATAGACACACAGGAAGATGTCGAGTTATACAAAACTACGGGGATAAAGCAGTGTAACGTACACATTGCTTGTCTTTCAAATTCGGTTTTCAGAGTTCGAAAGCAAAAATTCTGAAAGGTGGATCAAATAAATTGAAACATGGTAAAAGAAACGTCTCACCAAAGATGCGATAAGTTCTCCAATAACTTTGTTCAAAGGTAATTGCCTCTAAAACTGAGCCAAGTTGTGCTACCTTAATACAGCATACTTTATCCGAAAGACGTCCTAAGGACGTAAAAAACGTCCTCTTGGAATTCTCCTATGGGACAACCCCAGGCAACACGTATGCTTAAAAGACGTCCTTTAGACGTCTCAATGTCTTATTTAGGATATTCAGCGTATCCTACTTGGCCGAAGCAAAATTAAGAATTAGCATGAAAGAAGGATCTTCTTTCTATCTCTTTCATATTTCAACCGTAAAAAAAGAATGAAAGGTGTTACGCTTTTCCAATCGGAACGCATGTCGCTAATATCGTCGTCTCGAGGAAAAAACGGGTTATAGGAGATAAGTAAATATAATAAGATAAATATTTAAGTTTGTTGTATTCATGCTTAGTATTTCACTTGATATTACAACGAGTAAGATAATATACTTCAGTCTAGTGTACTAATCAAGTCTCTATTGTTAATCTTAATTATTTTTACCAATGTAATTATATAATGCCACTGGTTGCGCACTGCTGTTTTTTTTTTCTACTATTAAGAACATTTCTGCGGACATTGAGTTGGAAAGTTTAGTTTCATATTGTAATTTGTATTATCCTCCGCTCTTTCTTTATCCTATTTAATAATAATCGATGAACTACTGGATGCGCGAGTACATTTAAGAATTTTCCTTTTGCGGGTTATACCTCCATCAATAAATTAAGTCTTGATTAGGATTTCATGTTGTGCGCGACCTATGTATTAATGTGTGACTGATGTCATATCACTGGTTTATAGCCACATTAATTATGCGATTGAGAAATTTGTCGGGCTTATTGTAATATTAACGGGCGTATTCGCGCTATAATAAAACCAACTCTTTTACGGACCATCTTAGTTTTTTTCCACAACTCAGTGTAAATCTGTAGCTTCTTTATTTTAAAATAATTATGGGAGGGTCAGAGCTGGCCACATCTGATAATCCCGAGCTTTCTGAAACTTTATTTCGGTCAGAAATTCTAGTTTTTTGTCTCCATATACATCTTTTATAATAATGGATTATGTGATGATCAATTTATTGCTAGCGCATTCAGTAACACTTTGAGTTTATTTACGTTAATGACAGCTAAGATCTGACGGAATATCCCACCTACAAAATATAATGCCAACAATTTTTGTGAATATAATTATATATAAAACTTCCTTATGTAGAAATATTTCTGATGAACAACATGGCGGGACACTTCGACAGATTTAATATATTTTTCTCGCATCTCTTTGGTGAAGAGTGGCTTTCATCTAGTCTATACTGGTTTTTTGAAAAAGGCGTTTGATACAGTTAGCTATTACATTCTGTTGGATAAAAGTACTTGGTTTAATTGGTTCCTTGTTGAATCGAGTTTTTGAGGGAAAATCCCATGATGTAAAAAGATAATTAGTTTGTTCTTCTTAGCTGCATTGCTGAACTGGTGCAATAAATGAGACAAGTATATTTCGTTTCATTTAATTCACCAGTTCAACAATTCAGCTAAAAAGAACGGACCGAAGGCACATTGCGCACATGATGGCGACGACACATAACCAATGAAATTTGGGCCCAAGTGCAACCGCGAAATTCGAATATGAAAATAATCACATATCATTAAAATGTACTTAAAATTATAAAATTTGTGAAATAATAATGTAAAGATGTTTAGAATAATAAAATTATAATATAAATGTGTAATGAAAGAAATAATTATACTTACATGGGTTAAGAAATAATAATCCTCTTTTTCCAATATTTATATATATATATATGTATGTGTTTAATGACGTCTCGGTCCACATATCACTGTGCTAAACAATTGAAACAGTCACATGTACACTTTATAATAGCTTAAAAGCAGAGTCTACAATGAAAATTCAAGCTCTAAGAAATTATTTTCCTCATATTCGACTGTGATTGGTCAATTTCTCATGGCTTACGACTTATAGCAAGATTGTGGAGCAGGGTTAATGATAAAATCAAAATTAATCTTGATAAGTGCTACACCTTGATAGTGCTTCACCAGAAAAATAAATCCATACATATATCATATATTAGATTTACCCTTATTAGGAAAAGGTTGGGAATATGGCTCAATTCTGATTTATCTCTTGATTCTCACATTAGACCAGATCGGTATAATAAGTTTTAAACCGTAAAAAACTGACCAATCACAATTAATTATTCTTCTACAATGTAACTATGATTGGTCAATTCCTTAGTTTACTACAGCTATCGTAGATCCGGACTTGGAACGTCTGTAGTCTATAAATAGCTTGATTTTCTACTCTGTTTCTATAATTTTCTTCGTATTTTAAAACTTTCAAATTAGTTTCATTAGTTCGCGATTTCATTTAAAGTACAGTAGTGTTGTACTCAGTCCTTCTATATCAGAGTCGTCGATGCGTCCTGAGCTATTTTCTAAAATTCACTACCAGCGCTGAAAATCTAAAAGTTCATGTTAATTATATTATAGATTTTTAGCACTGGCAATAAATATCAGAATGCAGCCATGAATGAATCGTATTCAGCATTGATATTTTTGTCAGATAAGTTTTTAAATTGGACAGCCTATGTCGATTCGTTGTCATGATAACCAGAAAAGATTCAATGAGATCTTGTTATTTTATCTTCAGCTAATAGAAAGATTATCCTATTGAAAAAGCCAAGTGGGAATCCATATAGAAAATTCATATGGATTTGCGCCAAAAATCCAAATCCCTTAGGTAGGAATTTCTGTGTGGATTCCCATATAAATTTTCACAAACAATGTAGATTTCTATACACTATGTATATGAATCTGTTTTTTTTTTTTTTTTTTTTTTTNGAGTTATCCTATATATATATTCATATGAGTTCTTATGGATTTTTATATGGGAATCCATCTAGAAATTTTCAGCAGGTACTGCTGATTTTATGTTTTTCTGACATTTTTTGATGCATTGACTGCTCTGATTTTTATTGGAGTTTGTTGAATAGAAACTTAAAAAATGTCCGCTATTTACAATCTCCCGATATTTTATGTTTTTAGTATGAGAAATCCGGCGCAATTAATCGCTTGAATATGCTGGCCAATGCGATGATATTGCTTTTTTAAATCTGTCTCTCATGATGCTCTCTGAAATCTAAACTTACTATTACTCTCATCTTAATGTTCCTGTAATTTTTATCTTGAATACTTTTAATTCAGTTATCATTGCATTTTTTTCTTCTTTTCTCGTATTGATGTAAGCAACTAATTATTTATTTTTGTTTCAGAAGGAATATTTCTTTCCCGTTAATATATAAATAACTAATAATAATTACGTAATCAATAAACAGAAAACATGTGTCACTAATTACCACATTAAATATTGATGTAACATACACAATATCTAATTTTATCACCTTTTTCATGTAACAAAAATGTTTGAAAATGTGACATTCGCTCTACATTATAGCTCTTTGTTCTACTCTTTCACTCACGCATTGTGTAATCAATATGAAACTACGAGAACAAGGTTTCGATGAAAGAATACACATACATATACACACAATGGTCTTTTAATATTAATAGTTTATTAATATTAGAGTAATGATTTGTGCAAAATATATCAACATTAAATTATTATCTCGAGTAATAAAATTGTCTGTACATTTATTTTTGATAGATGAATATATTTTTAAAGAATTAGCGCGATTTTCTCGTAAAATACAGTAATATAGTCAGAAGTGATCAGACATCGCGCGCAGAAGAACGCGTCTATCTGCCTTTCATACATGCGCGTGCACCATACACATACACACACACTTTTTCCTCACTCACTCACTCACTCACTCACTCACTCACTCACTCACTCACTCATTCTCTCTCTCTCTCTCTCTCTCTCTCTGTGACTTATTCTCCATTTATTTCACTTACGAGGAAATGCCTTAATAAATATACAATCATGATATTGTAATAATTCATAGTTGCGATGTTGTTGTGTAATGTACTACAAACTACATAAAATGCTAGATTATAACTTATAATTTTATTATTTTATCCTGTTTAACGCCTTACCGTACGAACGACAAAGCTGGGAGGACGAGACTCCATATAGAAATATATATATATATATATATTTTTTTTTTCTACTATATATATATATGCATATATATATATATAGTTACCATACCGATTTGTGCTCACGTCGTAACACGTGAATATTATTTGGACACTATTCTCATTAAGCGTTCTAAAAGAAACCTGGCCGCGCGAATAAATCGAACTCATGCCACATATATTATATTAGTTTCGCAAATCAGTATCGTAGAACGGTTACTTTGCCATCCATGTATGCTTGCTTCCAAAATTATTTTCTTCTTTTTATTCTGCCACACAGGAAGCGGCATTAAACGCACGATTGACAAAAATAACAACACGCTAATTATTCGTGACCGACAATCAGCTGTAAAGAGAAACTCAATGCTGCATTTAAAACCAGTAAATATTTTGATATATTAATGTAGTTCGATACGTCCACACAATCAATCCTCACGCGTGCTAGGTCAATGACTTTCCAATTTGCGCCATGTAAAACTTTCAATATACTCGGACTCTATTGTATTATTCGAGAAAGTTATCGTCTCTGAAGTTTCGACTAGTTTTTATGTTAGAGTCCGAAGACCAAATACGAAGATTCGAAGCTTTCTTTGTACTGTATTTATATATAAATCTGTATGTACACGTGTGATTGCGAATCTGTACAGATGCATATAGGTACAAATATATACATACAGATGCGTTTCGTCATATAACGAGAAATGTCAAGTTGTAGCTTGATTAGCAACAAGCTGGAGAGGAAAAAAAAACAACCGACGGGTTAATCAAGTATCAAATATACAAAGAAGGATGCAAAGACGCGCTTTCGCGCGATGAGAATCTTTTGATCGCATAATATATTGACTTAATTAATTTCGATAGTGAATGAAACGAACTCGTGACTGGAGTAGTTTTCGGAAAATTATTCAGTGAACTGAATGATTTTGAATCGTGATAAAGTGAAATAATACGAAATCACGCGATACGTTTTTAATCGACCTGTATCGCGTCAACGAAGAATAAAACTCCATCAAAGTGTAATGCGAGATATAGCATGTAATAAAATATGGACGGTCATTGACCGATTACGCTCTATAAAAGAGCCGATGTGCCGTATTCTCTCTCTCCTTCCCTTGCCTCTCTCTCAGAACACTGAAATGTAACTGAGTTTTGTCCGATCATTTTATTTTTTAGCACTTTTTCAATTAGAAAAAGTTGTCGCTGATGAACGATAATTACACAAATAATACAAAGATTAACGGCAACGAGTAGGATTAAACACACGGGTCTGTCAACAGATCAGACTGCAGACGTTCCACTCGGTAACGATTATACTGCCGATAAGGAGAACGTGTCTGATCGTTGTCCGTTATCACTCGTGTCCTGTGGGGAATCAAGTTTTCATAACGTCCCATAAGCCAATCTTGACACATTCGATGCTGGATATCCGCGACATTCTTGGATGCCCATGACGCGAGCCAACGATGGAACATGCCATTGAGACGTTTTGTTACAGATGGATGGCACTATTAACACAAAACAAGTTGTAAAAATATAACTACAGCGAGTGAGTTTGAGTTTGTGACTCGTTACGTACCTGTCTAGCACGGTTAAACGAGTTCCGTTTGTAAAGGAACGCTTCCTTACTAGCGACGTAAAGCATGTGATAGCTGTTGGGGTTAAATCTACATTGCGTCTCGTCGGAATTGATAATGTCTGGAGCATCAGTCGCATCAGCTAATCTTAAAGTAGGAGGCCTCTTTAAAAGTGCTACGTTGTCCAGTGACTTCTCTTTGTCGGTCGACCTATAGACAAGAAATTGGTGTGATCAGTCAAGTTTGCGCTTCGTATCGAATATATTTGTCTAATACTTACTCTATTATTTTCTCCGGCTGATTAGTATTAGATAGAGATGTTCTGGTTAATCTTGCGGCTCTTTTTCGCCACTGCCTAATATTACGATACAGAAAAACGGGTTTGCGCCCTGCCGAAATTCTGCCTAAACAGCTCCAGCCATTTCCGTCAATCTACAAAAATTACAACATTCTATATTATTTCTATATAATATTTTAAACACTACAATAGGACACATATGTACGCATACATACACGCACACATACGTATAAAGCTTCTCCCATTATTTTTTTAGAATTTAAGGCGATACAAGGAACACTTCTCTTAATTTTTTTATTATTCAAATATACCGTTGCATCGCGCATAATAATACGCTATTTTGTCCGTATTAAAGCAATTATTAAACCAATCAAAACGTGATAATGTGAAAATAACTAAAAAAAAAATGTGTAATATGTGAAAAATTCCTAAAAAAAAAATGTTCAAAATAAGTAAACAAAGTATTCAAAATAGTAAGTAATCAAATATTCAAAATATGAATATAGCATTAAATATGAAAACATTATTGGCAGATGTACCACGCAAGTACTTAGAAAGAAAAATATATAACTATATATATATACATGCTTTTGTTTGATAGTAACTAATATTTATATATACGTGCCGTGATATAAATATAGCATGACATAAATGAATGTTGAAAAGTTGAATCAGGTTAAACAAAATTTAGATAATTTCTGATTATATGAAAGTGACTATGTGTTTGCGTGTAGAAAAAAGGGTATACGCAAATTTTATAATCTTGGTGGCATATGATTTCAAAGTATGTTGTTAAAATTACTCTTAAATAGATATAAATATATGTACAAAAAACTCGGCACGTAGAAAATATCTTAAAGAAAGACGCACAATAATAAATTTAGTGGTACAAAAATGACGTTAGACGATAATGTTTAAAATCGCTCGTGTATTTCAATATCTTTCTTCTATACAATGTCATCAACTATTATTATATGCATATTTCTTTCATATACATATTACAGTTACATACATATACACATATGTAAGACACTGCTTTCTCATCAAATGTGTATGTAATATGAGAAAGATAGAGATCTGCTGCGTGTGTGTGTGTGTGTGTGTGTGTGTATATACACATACCCATGACACATACGCGCGCGCACGCACGCAGCACAAACATACGCGCGCGTATGTATAAATATAGGTACACCAAATTTTCTGGACCAATACGCGTTACTAACATTATCGAATGTTTTCTTATTTAATGATACCTACAAACTACCAACTAATTAACATAGTAGTGTTTCGAATCCTTATTTGTCACCGAGTAAAAACCGCCCTACTTCTCTCATCATTGTTGTATCAAAGAAATGATTAAATCGTTCGTTATCCCAACATTCATTCATACCATCAACAAAGAAAAGAATGTAATAATCGAGCATTTATACTTCGAAGACGAAAAGACTGACAGAAGGCTAATAATAACAGTGGAGAATAAAACACAAACGGAGAAGAACGGAGCAAGTTTATCGAGAAGATCCTTTCGATGCGTTTTGAAACGAGCCTACGGAAAAACGTTGACGAAAAATCGAAAAAAGTGATCGAATGATAAACAATGGAAATGGAAAGTGTCTCTCAAATCTAACATTTTTGATGAGCTTAGTTTTATGTATAATAATATTTTTCTTCTGGTTGACCACTCTCGTGTCCTTCCTTGACAAATTTTTAATTACCTTGAGATATTTGAACGGAGAAAGAAAGAAACTATAATCTTATGTAAGGGATTAGATTTGCGCGCTTGCTTGCCGATCGAATCGAGAAAAAGAGAGCGACGTTTTCTCTTTCGAAAGTTCCCATCAACACGATTGGATTTTTTACTACAGTTGGTACAATGACAAAATAATACAGATGAAATAAACGTGTACATTTGTCATATTGAGAGGTACATAGTTCAATGCGTACATCGCATTCAATTTGCTGATTTTAAGAGATTTGTCCGAATCTTTCTCATTTTATGAATACGTAAACATTGAAAAGACTCTATTGATGCAATAATTTTAAAACCGCGACGCGACGACAATACGTCGAAATTTCGCAGGTAATAACATTTCTACACGTTCTTTTTATGTTCTACATCAGTGTATAATCCTCTCCTTCCATCATGTGAAAATGTATATCTCACCACACTATATATATATATATATATATATATATAGAGAGAGAGAGAGAGAGAGAGAGAGAGAGAGAGAGACTTTTCAGTCCGAGTATCGATAACGTATAATAACCGTTGGTCGCAAGCATGCGCATATCAAGATGCGCAGAATAACGCGGAACGGCGCGCGGGCGGCCAACTCCAAATCGCTAGGCAACATGCCATTGGAGAAACGGTGCGCACGTCGCGCACCTTGTTCGCCGAGACGGCGCATCGAGTCGCCTTTCTCCGTTCGTTATTCTCATTAGGCTCGACGATCGCCATTTTGAACGGTGGTAAACGGGTTCTTATCGCGAGTGATGTGAAATGGATAAGATGCTTTTTGCAATAAATATCGACGAAAATAATCTCGCACTGTGTCATCGCTGATCGGTGCATTTGCACTTTTGGAATTGGATAAGTAACAATGGGTTGGTTTTATCACCGATCAATGATTGCGTACAGGAAAAGAGAAAAAAGAAAAGACAGAGAGAATGGTAGCAAGAGAGCGCGAAAATACGTAAAGAAAGGGTGTAAGATTCACGAGCCTCAATTATCAAGATGTGTCCTCGTTCGCATCTTCACTTTCCATTCTTTCTACGTAAGTACGAATACGATATTCAAGTATATTCTCACTTAAAATCAAGTTTTAAAGTGTTAATTATATGTCTCGGTCGATTGAGTCGGACTTCTTTTCTGAGCTCAACAATGAACAGTGGATAATTAATGCGATTTACGCGCAATCGCGGGTGTGTGACAATACTTTGCACGACGGAAGATGATTCGCGAAAGCATTCGATCAAGTGTCATCGGGACGAGGTGTGTCGCTGCTATTGTGTCCAAATATCATGCATGCGAATATATCGAATTTTGTACGCAAAAACGTTAAAGCCGTATCATTGATGAAAATTGTACACTTCATATAAATTTAAGCAACATTAATCAACGAATAGAAAGGAACATATACTGAATTTTCGTCGTTTCTCTACATTCTGTACACAAACGATAGTGTCGTCGAGCTACGTTTTACCGCGAGTTCTCGTTTATAAATTGTATGTGTGTGCGTGTGTGTGCGTGCGCGTCTCTCTATAAAAATTATGCTTCTGCCAAACACCTGTGGTACACCTTTAACAACGCGTTGAATGTTCCGTCAATTTTTATCGAATATTTCATAGAATTTAACCAAAGATATTACAAGTAGACGCAATTGCTAACGTGTGTATCTTTTCCTTTTCTATCTCATTGATGCGTATGTATATCAAAGTGATATTCACGGTCGACGTGTTAATTGGCCTGTATGCTTCAAAATGTGGTGAATCTTATTCAATTAAAGCTTACGGACGAGAGTGAAGGAGAGAAAACTTTTAATCCGCTCTGTAAATAAAAAAAAAAAGTGCGACTCCCTATAATCTCTACATTGCGTATAACAATTTTAACGAAAATATATTACAGAGCGCACATAAAAAATCATAATATCGATTTTAATTACGTATATTAAATATTCGCGCATGGTTTCAAAGGAATGTACGAGATTTATATGTTGCTGTGAAACATTGTCCGATGTACGTGCTTGTAAATTTCAACGTAAGATTATTACTGGAAGAGACGAAAAAATGAAAGATACACGTGTATTCTAGTCCTTACTACAACCAAATAACTAATCAACAACGAAATGATTGCGACCAAAGAAGCTAATTTTAGCACTTGGCGCGACAAAAAGAAGACAAAGTTACTACATCACCCCTCAAACCGAGAGTCCTCAACTACAATTAATCTAAAATAACTTGTGCGAATTTATGCAAACGGAGTTTTCGATGGAGAGGCGCGCGCGATAATTCCGAAACCAGCGCAAGTTAAAAGCGTATAAACTCAAGAATGTGAAACTTTTGGTAAAATGACAAATACTACGGGATATTAATACTTTATACTGTCGCGTTTATCAAACATTATTACAGAATCGATGCAAAATTACAACTGACTTTCTATATACATGACATAATAATACAGTACGTAGTGTCCCTGTTTTACTATCTAAATATTATTTATGTACATAGCAAAGTATATATGTATATTACGTATATACACATGTGTCTCATGAAGGACGCAACAGTAAAGCTAGAAACACACTCAACTCCACGCCACATCTCGTTAGCTAAAACCGATGCATACTTGATTCATACAAAGGCGTAGCGCGCGCGCGCGTCCTACTGTACAGCCAGTCGCCGATTCTCCAATACGCGCTATACCCTCATATGGAGCAAATGCGCATTCTCTTCTATAATGCGTCGGTTAATAACGCATCGCGATTAACCAACGTGGATCACATTTTTCCTCGTGTAGAAAACACAGCTATTTCGGCTGTGAGAATAGCCAAACAAATTTCGATGTTTTTTTTTTCTTTTTTGATATACTTTTGTACAAGAAACGTTGCAATTTTATACGCATCACTCGTCGTACTCGTTTCCTCTTGCTTGCTACGCAAGGATACGATCCACCTAGCTTCCACAACTTGTTCGACAAGATTTTACACACCTTTTACTCCGCGTTTGTCGAACGATACAAAGCATAGGCGTATTGTTACAACAATAATGGCGTGGAAATCATGTGTTTAGGTAAGCGAATAGACCAGTGTTTTCCTTTCTAAAGGCTTCACACTATTGTATTTCGATACGAGTGCTTCGGTGTACGCGCGCGCGTGTATATGTGTGTGTACGCGTGCGTATGGATGTACACGAGCAAGTTCACTTTCAAACTTAACGATCCAATTTGTATGTGCGTATCAAAAATTATATGTACAAATTCGTACGATATTTACATTCTTTAAAATCCTCGTAGAACCTAACATACTAATTACTTATATAAGCACAAAGATGTAATATCAAGAAAATAAAAATTGAAAAATATCAAAATTGATTCAAAAATGAATTTACGATTGTTGCCGATTCAAATGCGAATAACGACAAATTAGACTTGCTTGTTTCACGAGAGATTATTTTTTCCTACATCCCGTGCCACTCATTATATATCCCTCCTCTCTAAATGCCACTTCTTTAGATTATGTAGATATATTTATCCGAGTAGATCTCTCGTAGGTGTTTCAGGAAAAATGTGCTTCCACGATTACATGTACGATAACTATATTCTGTGTAGAGCTACAGAAACATAGCCGACATTTCCTCAACCGTAATCATTTATCTCACTTTATCAAACTATTTTTCCTTTTTAATGTGAGCGTTGCATTAAAATTGTTCTTGTGGAATACGAATTTGTTGCCTATTTTCTCTGTTTCCTTAAGTTTCATTCGGCAGAAGCCTTTTCGTTGTCGACTAAAAAATGTTACATATCTTGACATTTTTCTTGATGAAAATATCGATTTCAACCATTTTGGTCAAAACTGCTTTGCTCGAAAAGAATAAATTTGCTGTTTTACGATGCAATAATTTTAATTTAAAATGTCAACAGTTTTACAAAATTTTAAAATAGAAAGAAAGAGAGAGTCAAGTGTACGTAGAGATAGTTGGACGATTTACTGCACATATTTCAAATAGAGAGCACCACGAAAGAATAATATAAATTATACATCCACACAGCAGTAGTACATGTAATCATGTAAAATTTGTTTTAACATCAGGATTGAATAAAATTAATGCACAAATTATGAAAATGTTTAGTAAGTACATGAAGTAATAAAAAGCACATTTTTCCTGAAATATATATTAATTGGATAAATATATACGATCATCTTAAAAAAGGACATTTGATAAATCGTATGATTTTACCACTACATTCGTTATGGCATCGTGTTCGCGAATAATTTCGTGAAATATCAACCAGTTCCCCCTTTTATATCACTTTTATCAATACAACAACATGTATGGACATTATCAAGTTATTCCACATTCTACATTGCTTTCTGATAACACTCGTTATTAAACGAATGCATAACAATGGACAAAACGAATGTAGTACGATAAGTATATACACATATATACACGTTTCTATGTGTGTATGCACACGTGTGCGTGTGTGTGTAGGTGTGTGTGTGTGTGTGTGTGCGCGCGCGCACATACATGCATACATATATGTATACATACATCTACACGCATGAAATTTTCTTTGCGTGTTTCTTTTGTGTTTACTCACCATAAATATATTACTGATATATTCGATAAAAAACGTTCATTTGTCGAATATCATATTAAAAAGCAAAACAGAGACCATCACTTGTTTGAAACTCTTCAAAAGTTTCACATATGTTTAAATATCATAAATCGTATTGTAAATTGTAAGAATAATATAGATACAGCAAAAGATATTTCAATTGCAGTAAAATTAATTTATTCGCGTTTCTTTTAATAAGTAATAGCGAGTAATATAGCATCAATCGTAAAGATACAACGCGGAAAAGTGTAGAAATATAGAAATAAAAATTAAAAAAGAAAAATAAATTAACGGATCGTCTACGATCACAATATAATTATATATTTCCAATTATATTAATTTTGGACATATTTATCATATTTAATCAACAAAAAAGAAGTGCAGAATTTTGAACATTATTTCTCAATGTTTCGTAATTTTCATATTCTTGTTTACGTGTTTGTGTGCGTGTGCATGTGTGTGTGTGTGTGTGTGTGTGTGTGTGTAAGACATAAAATTAAATAATAACAAATTTTATATATATATATATATATAAAATAATAATAATTTGGAAAAAATGCGTCACACAGCAACGCGCTAGAAAATTTCATGTGACTTGCAGATATATATCATATGCAGATGATACGAACAAAACTTGTGAGTCTCTTGCAAGTTTCCCCAATTTATTCAGAGACATTCCAAGTATATAGTTTTTTTGCTTTGCATTTGAAATAAAGCTCTAGAGGCTTAGACCGCGGGCTAATCCTATAGAAATCAAATGAATAATACGGAATTAATCCGTACACGTTCGACCGATTCGCGTGAAGCGCTAATAATCCTGCAAATTACTGGCATTCGTACAACTACATAGAAGAGTCACACCGCGAGATATATATATATGTATATATATACATATATGTACATACATACATATATATATTGCAATTTATCACTTTTCCCCGCATTCCCACTTTGCGGCGAAATTAGTTTCTTTCAGGGGAGATCGAGCTCTCTCGTGAACGCGCGTCGATACTCTGTCATACAATTGGATTCTACTCTCGATAGAATCGAATCTTTCTTTCTCGGGACACTCGTTGCAAATAAAAAGGGCGAAACGCGTACAACTCTAATCACAGATGTCGATTACGGGCCGCGAATGAATGTTAACTCGAACATTGGTAATGATTATGAAAAGGGATGTGGATCCTATACCTTCTTGCTAATGTCTGTGTTCTTGCGTTTTCTGCCCCTCCCCCCCCTTGCTGCCTGGTCGCTACTCACAGGATGATTGGTCGTCGGCTCATTCTCTGTTAAGGCAGGAGTATCTTTTGGACTAGTCTGACCAGCTGGTGCGGAATATTTCTCAACGTATGTCGTCCATTTTTCAGAGTCTGTGACACCTTCCCTTTCTCTCTCTCTACAGCCGCTATCTATCGTTTCGTCGCCTTCTGTATCTAACAACTCCATCGTCATTTTACAGTCTTTCTTGTACTGTAATAAAACAAATGAGTCGTGCGATGAGAAATTGGAACCGATGAAACGGAATAATGGAAGACGTATGGCACGATCGATAGATTGAAATCAAACACTTGCATCCTCGTGCAATATCCTCGAAAGATTCCAGAAAAATAAAGGGAAGGGAGTAACTTTTAAAAAGATTTGAAGCTATCAAAGCCGACCCGAACCTGTGTGTTGGCACTACGTGTGTCATTATGTGTTGACGTAAGGATTCCGTTAATCGCAAGAATCATTATCTGGAAGGTACGTGTTGTGTGACCGAGCGGTTTGATCCTGAATTTGTATAATTTTTCGTATGAAATCAGTCATTATTGTTGTGCAACAGAGTATAAGATGAGAAAACAACGTGACGCGTGAAAAGGAAGAGAAAAAAGAAAGAGAAACTTACTATGTATATCTTGAAACAATTTTCATCCGCCATTGTCTTTTCCGCTTTACGCTGATAAGACAACTCAGCCCCTAATCTCATATACGCAGTAGCACACAATCCGCCGGCTCCGTTGCTCTCTTTAGGCTGACGTTGCTCCCTTTGAAACAATTCCATACATTGTTGACATATAGGATCCGAGACCAAGTGTTGCAACTGCCGTGAGAAAAGAATTCTTATAAACTGCTATTCTTGTCGATCAAATACGAAGAGACGTAATTTACTTACTTGTCTCACCGCGTACGTTACGACCTTATCGAGAGTAAAGGCAATATAGGCATGTATACCGAACATCTCTCGTAACGTGTCCTCGTACGCTGTGCTTTCCATATTTCCGTCGAGAACATTCTTAACCATATCCAGAAAAGCTGAATAATATTCCTCGACTTCAATTTCACCTGTGGTTAATCGAACGGTTAATCACACGTGGACAAAGAGCGACAATTCGCTCACAATTATTCACAGACTCGCTTTTGTAAAAGGAATCGCTTACTTTTCGGTTTCAGCCTAAGAGCAACCGCCGTGCTCTCCTTTCGTTGCTGCTTGTACTTGGACTCCTCTTCGACGAGAGCGCTTGCTCTCTCGCACATTTTCGTTAATCTCTCGCACAGTATGTGATGTAGCCTCAAGAAGAGGTACCAATTATTACTGCTCATGAAAAGCGTGTACGCCTCTTCAGGATCATTGGAGAGAGCATGAATGGGTACTTTGACATCGGGTTCACTTTTGATCAAAGTGGAAGACATATTCGGCGATACAGGAGCCTTGGTCCTGTTAGCCTGCAGACTACCTGTAGCAGCTGTCGTAGTAGTAATAGTAGCGGCAGCAGCAGCGGCGGCGGCAGCAGCGGCTGCGGCGGCAGCAGCAGCAGTACCCAACACCCCGGTTGTCGTGGACTGAGAATTGTTATACGTTGCCACGTTTATATCTTCCTTCTCGTCTGCGGCACAGAGGAAGAGAGGTGTTACGCGTGTCGTGTCATTCGGAACGACCGTCCGGGACAATTCATCGACATGAGGAAACTCACCGTCGTCGTCCCTCTCGTCATCGCTGAGTTCTTGTCGTCTGTAGAAAAAGAGATCGGGTATGAAATGCTTCAACAGAAGTTTGATGCGCTGCTTGTCCTCTTTGTGGATGGCAGTTTGCCGTTTGACATGATGAATCAACAGATTAGCGGCATCGTCTAATACAGTCTTGTCTTTATACGGTAGCACAAGATGCGGACCGCTATTTCCATCGCCGCTACCTTGCTCGTCACCCTGCTCGTGTCGCTGTAAAAGGAGGACGTTGATATTAAAAAAGGGGGATTGCCTCCTGGAGCAAGTAATAGATACCTCGTCGTACAACGTCTCGATCTCGTTGAACAAACTCTTGGACCTCAATGCCTTCACGTCGTTTTGTTTGAAGTTAATTCCCTGATGATCCAAAGACTTCAGATAGTACTTTTCGTTTTGTTCTCTCCAAATTTTGTTGAAGCCCTTTTGCGCCTCCCGCCATTCCTCCTCCTTACTCTTTAGCCGACGGAGCACGACCGGTACAGCTACCACGGGGTTTTTCTTGAGACCGTCTATGATATCGGCAGCCTTGTCACCGTATATCCTTTTCAACGCCCGCTGATGAATCGTGGGAGAGCTGCCACCCAGGCAATCGTCGAGCTTGAACTTTTGCAATTCTTCTTGGCTCATCCTGCTCATCTTCTTGTGGACACCCTCGAGTACTCGGATCGTCGACGCGTTAGTTTCTATCACACCGTCCAGCTCGAAACGCTCGTCCTCGCATCGATATATGCTTTCTTCATATTGAGTTTTCCTACGAACGAACACACAGATTTAACGATATGCGGCGCTTCCCAGCGCCTTCCCTAGAGAAACGATTCAAATTACCTGGACGTTACAAACGTGCTATCCTCGGACCAGGTTGGAAAGGACACCCAGGTATCATTGAGTACTTCTTTACAAAGTTGCGTCCTGCCGGTACACTTTGGTTGAACGTACGACTTTGGCAAAGCGCAGTACGACGCTCCTAATCGCTTGCACGCGTTATAATCGATCTCGATCGCTAGATCACCTTGCGGCCGCTCCTGGTGGCTCCGCACGACATTGTTCGGAAAGGTTTCCACTCCTGTCGCGCTACTCGCATTCGTCGTCGCAGTAGTGGACGAGTCGGTCAAGTGACCGAGAAAATCCTTGAACCAACGGAACAGATCGGGAAAACGACCGAGGAACGGCGTTACCAGCAGAATAAGCTCCGACTTTGACACTATCTCTTGATTATAAAGTACAAGGCACCGAAGAAAATTGTCGTAGACTTCTTGCGACTTGAACGCCTTTCGAACCTAAGAGAGAAGAAGCATCATTTACGCGCGATGTTGAGAGAAAGTCCGGGGGAGAATGAAAAGGCTCCCTCTCTCGCAATATATTCACCTTGTCGAAGAAAGCGTAGTCGTTCAATGTACCATATTTTCCAGCTTCCGCGATGGTAACGTCACGCATCGAAGCAACCTTGTGCTTCTTCAAAGGTGGCGGCCCGTGCTGCAGATGATGAGAATTACCTCCCGCTACCGAAGTCGAGAACGACGGACTCCTCTTTAACTGTCCCATACTGTGCCCGCTTTTCTGACCGCTGCTATTAACATCTCGGATGCTCGATCTATCCCGTTCCCGACCGTCCCTATGATCCCGACCGTCGCGTTCCAAAGAGCTGCCGCCGCCGGTCGTGCCGCTGGATTCTCGAAGATCTCTCGAGATGGTTCCCGAGTTGTTGTACGACGTTTTCAGTCCGATCGGTTTTTTAACAATCGCCGCGTGATCATTGACCGATGTCGTCTTGTTAGTCTGAAACATAGCGGACTGATAGCGATCAGAACAGAGGACACACACGTGGAGGGAATTCCCCTCCCGGGAAGGAAGAAGTAAAGAAGAGACGAATAATAACCGACTCACCAGTGAACTTTGCTGATTAGTGGCATCTGGCAAAAATTGTCCAAACTCTGCGAGCAAGTCTTCCTGATTTTCAAACAATTTTGCAACCTGACTGTAAACTTCCGCTTCAGTCAAGTGTTTCCCACCACCAGCCGTACCATAGCCACCGGAACTCGTGCCTCCCATGTGGCCTGACTCCTTTAAATTCCGCTGTTCTTTCTGATACGTGTGCAGTATTTCCAAGAAACGTTTGTATTTGTCCGGTTGTCCTTGGAACCGATTCTGAAAAGGGACATTCGCTTTACGACCTCTCCATAGCTCGGTATTGCGACATTGTACCTTGATTTTATTGACATAGTTTATCGCATGATTGAATTCGACCGGTTGATTTTGTTGCGTTTGCCCGCTATTCGTTACCGAGCCATCCGCTTGGCTCAGGGCCTGGCTGACAGCTTGCGCCTGTGCGGTGCTAACGTGCGAGTTGTTGTACACCGCCGCCGCCGGTACTGGCGGTGGCGAAGGCGCGTGAACGGTCAAACTGTTGGTTGTAATACTGTTTGCCAAAGTATGATGTATGCTGCCCGACCTGTGACAGATAAAATCGTATAAACTGTCGTCGCTCTTCTCGAACGTAGTTTTCTCTAACGCGGGAAAAAAAACTTACCCTTGCATTATCTGTAAAACCGGGGGTGCTTTCGCAGGCTGAGTGGGTGGGCTAGCCACAGGGGGTGAGCCGACATTCACCGTACAGTGATGCTGCGATAACGTAGCAGTGTGCGTCGCCGTTGGACTAGGCATACTGACAGACACTTGGAAGGCGTATCCTTGTTCGTTCGCTTGCACTTCTATCTTATAGCCTGGTGGAAGAAACGTGTTGAAGCCAACAATGAGTTCAGGATGTCCTTTGAACAGATGACTCACTCGGGTTATAACGCCTGGGGTATCTATACTTTGCGACTTAAATTCCTTCATGATATCTAAGAAGTCATTGTACACCTGTGAAGAAAGAAAGGATATGAAAAATGAGTAGAATTGTTCGTAGCGTTTCTTCCCCTTGGATAAAGTAGATAACATATTGATATATCAGAATAAATGCATGCCAGAGCGGTACATTATTCTAGCATTATATTTGTTTTCCAGCTGTTTACCTGTGGTTGATCGCTGAATTTGAATTTCACCTGATCCAGGTAAGATAACGCATCTTCTACTTTTAATCTCTGGAATTGTTGAGGTCCACTTCCACCTCCTAGGCTAGAGCCAGGCGGTGTGGAGGAAAGGGGTGTCACATTACCTGAATGTACCTGCAACAACATGACTGTTCTCAACAAAAGTAACTCCCCTAAATCACGATCACAAAATCATGACTTTCTCATGCGTACCTTTAGATCCCTAGCAAAGAGGCGTTTCTTTCCTCCCACAAGATGAAATAAATACTCACCTTATGCCTTATTGTCGACTGTGGTTGCGTGTGAACTTGATTTTGCGGACCTGATGTAGGTTGCTGAGAACCCATGTTATGGCTATTTCCGCTACCTATTCCACTGTGCAAGCCACCGCTGGTATTTATGCTGCTACCGCCACATGTAGAGCCGAGTCCTCCCCCAGCAGAGCCGCTTGCCTGTCCAACAGCGATCGCCATGTTAAGATCTTAAAATCTTCTCATCGCTACTATTCCAACTTACCTTGATGGAGGTCGATGCAGCGGATGGCACAACAATCGCACTGGTGTACTGTTGTTGGGCTTGTTGAGCGGTACCAAATTGTATACTTCCTGGCATTTCTTTAGATGCGACGGATCGAACAGCTTGACCAGGCACGACAACGCCGATCCCACTACTGGTGTGATATTCGAGACCTCCACCACTTCCTAAGCCACTCGCCGCACTCACCGATGAGTGCTTTAACGTCGCTGCTGCTGGTGATGCTACGTCGTCCAGCCCACGAACACGTTTCATTGCAAATCACATTGGATACACTAAACATGTAACAGATTGATGCGACATTATCCCAACCTTTTCTGCCATTTCATCAGATTTCAATCGGTGAAATTTTCTCAAGATCTGTGCACACACACAAAAATTGTACATAAATCACTCTTGTCGAGTGATTATGTAGAAAAGTGTAATTCACGTAGAACTGCAAATATTTTAAAGCGACGAAAAATGACAGATGCGTAAGGAATGCAAAAACATGAATTACCCTAGATTTTGTGTCTGCGAAACTTGAAATATCGAGACTCATTCTAACCTGATTAATAACATACTGTTTAAGCGTTCTTCCTTCTTTAATATCGCATCTTGAATTCGACAGCAGATTGCAAAACTGCATCTTTACTGTTTTGAATCATAAGATTCTTCAAAAGGAGAATTGAACAGATGTCACGCAAATAGAGTGTAGCTACATATAAAGTGACGAATGAGACGTCTGGGTGGTAGAGTCGTCGCCAAGTTACAGTACGAATCTAACGCATCTGTAACGGATTGTTACTGTCACTAATGATCGCTTATTGCGTGCTATCTGTTATTTTCCAAGTATACACTTTGGACATCAGTTTGATATCGGGCGCATCATCACAATGAAGAGTTGCCGAAAAGAATGGTTAGGTCGCGTGACAGTAAATTTGCGCGCACAATTGCGCGAGGAATGTTCGTAACAGACTCGTGTTGCGATAGTAACGACGGACGATGGTTTGAAAGTGACGACAGGTACCTCTCGGCCTTTTCTGGTGGAGAAGCGTCCCTTTACGATGCTTCGTCGAAAGGACTAGAACGCCTAATAATCGATCAGCAAATTTTCTCGGGTTAATTCGTACAACATGCCGAAAAAAAGGTATATTCCCCATCGTGGCGAAGTGCTTGTCGTGCAATGTAAACTCGAGTTTATCACGTTAAAGCAGAGCGACGCTCTTCGCGCGAGAGATACGTTACAAAAATAAATTATAACCTCGCGCGGGAGCGAGAGAGAGAGAGAGAGAGAAAGAAAGAGATAGACGATTGGCCCCCGTTGCGAAGTTGTCGACGCGACCTTGCGCACATACGTGGAAAAAAGTCGCGGTGATTCCAGGGCGAAGCTGGAAGAAGGCGCGTCGGTCCGGACATTGTAACCGCAAGCGTGCGTGCATCTTTCGTCCCTCTCTCTCTTTCTCTGTACATATGCGTCGGTTTCTTTCATCGCGTACGTACCAATTTCCATCTGAGAAGAAGTTCCGAGTGTCCCACGTAGTCGCGTCGCGGAAGCGCGACGAGGGGAACAAGTGGTGGTAGTGGTGGCGTCGAGATCGTGATACGTCCCTTGGTTCTCGCCGCGAGTTGTGCACTGGCGTCTCCTCTATCTCCCCCGAAACTTTCGATCGGCCGGGTTGGATTCCTGCTGCGTATGCACGCGCGAAACTTGCGCCGGTACAGCCAGGTCGCACGGACGCCCGCGCTCAATCCTCCCCGTCCCGAGAGTATATGTGTCTATGTATGCGCGCCACACAGTGGTTTGCGACGAAGAGAGAGATTCGCCGCGCGCGCGTTTCCAAACACGTTACCCGGCCCCTCGTACGTTACGCAATATTCCACGTAAATACATAACGCATTCCCTGAGCGGCCTCCGACGACGAGTAATGTACGTCCGATCACTTCCTCCGCGTCGTCGCGCCGCACAACACAGTATTGCAGAGTACCGTATCGAGAGGAGGCACCTTTTGCTCTCTCGTACTCCCTCGGCAATTTCTTCCCTCGTGTCTCTCGACGGCGTATAATCGACTACAAAAGCTCTCTTTCTCTCTACCTTAGAGTGCCTCTCTGTTCCTCTTCCGTTCGCGCTCCCTCTTTTTCACGCTCTCACTCCCTCTTTCTTGTTCCGCTCTCTTTCTTCCTTTCTCACTCTCTTTCTTCTCACACACTCGGATCCTCCTCCCTCCGTCGTACAATTTCTGCCTCTCCCGCGCCGTTCTATCTTTCTCGCTCTCCTTCGTTATTTTTTCACGACCAAAAAATCGACAACGGGCCGGTCGGAATTCACCGTGTTCTCGCTGCCACGAATGTACAGGCGCGCAGCGCGCCAGAGAGATCAACTCTCTCAGCGGAATCTCGTCGTGTGGGTAAACAAACGCAGGATAATGTGCATTTTTGCATGCAAGTGCGAGCTTGAGAGAGAGACGTATCCGGACGGTAGACTCGCCGCACTTTTCCGCGCACGCAAAATCGTTCGACCGCACACCCTCAGTGGTACAAGGCAAACTATTGGATTTTGTATGGCAAACAAGGAACCGACTGGCCGCGTAGCGGGAAGGGACGCAGTGGTGGGAGAAGCTACTGCGCAGGAGCGTATTTGCGCGAACAGCGTCTCTGTTACCAACCACTCGCGTCACCGCGCTGCCGCCGGCTCTATCACCTCCCACGACGTCGTTCGTGGCGCTGATGCTGACGCTCTGGCGCCACGATCGACACCATCGGGCACGACCCGGGAGAGAGAGACTCCTGCTGCGAGGATGCGCGCGTGTCTTCGTCGATGAATCCTCCGCGCAGTTGCGTGCTACTAAATCGTGCACCGGAGGAATCTTCTCTAATTATCTTTCGTCATCGCTCGCTAATCTCTAGGGAAGGGAAAGGGGGCGTAAGTACACGCGCAATTCTGCTCGCAATTTCTTCGAATCGGGGCACCTAGAGTACCAGCGGTAGATACAGTCCTTGGACCGTGACGGTAGCGAAGCCGCCAAGATGCGCGCGCGCACCTTGTCGCGGCGTCCCCTCTACCCCTCGTATCTCAGCCGATCGCCATCTTCTCGTGACCAACAGCTGTTCCGAGAGGCGAGCGAACCCCCCATCGTAATCTGGGTCATGGGAACTGCGCAAAATGCTCCGCTGTCGCGACGAGATTGCGCTGTCCGTCGTAAATGCGTCGGTCGCAACGCGATTTTAACCGCGTGCCAGAACATGAGAGACGTCGCGAGTTCTCGTCGCACATATCGCGTAATTCGTAATGCGAAATACGCTACGCGCGGCGGCCGTTTGTCGCCTATCTGTCAATGAGCTTGACTGGTCGCTATCCAGAGAGAGCCACGCGTGGATTGGCTGGATTCGTTCGTCTATTTACTCGGACTCATGCGCACGACTCGCGAGGACTCGTTCGAGAATCGTGATTCATCTCTGTAAATGCCGTGACGAACGACCGAATCTTCGTTCCGGTAACGAAGCGCGCTCGATCTGAAAATATTCCTGCAAATACCTTCCAAGTCTTACGCAAGTCAATAAGAATGAGAAACGTTGGAAAAGATTATTTCTTTTCATTTCGCCTTGCGATCGTCCGTACCAACTGCGTTCGTACACGTCCTAACCTAGTATAATTCCTTGCCTCATCTAAATAAAAAATAACTTCTCACGCGGTAAAGCGGGTTGAGTTGATTGTAAACGAATAGAAAATTTGGTAGCTTCCATCAAATATCGTTGATCGGCATTTGCTTCTCTCATTTTCTTGCCGTCTTTTTTTGGATATTCGTGTCTGTTGATTAAAGTTACCTGTTTATTCATCGCTTGTAATAAATGTTCAAACATGAAGATCGAACATGAGACTTGAGAATACTTGGAACTGTATTACTTATGACACGTTCACCAGCAGCTATCGGTTCGGTATGTAACATATATTATTTTGTTGCAAAAGAGTTGTGGATAAGTACGCCATCTCTAGGCTCACGTTTGTTCAATTGCGACCTTGTTTTGTAACAGACTAACCCCCCGATTCTATCAATTTCGGTTAATCTAATCGACCGATTAATTCAACGGAATTGACCAATCATACGAATCGGTTAGCTAATTGGACAATTCGATTGGTCAATTCTATTGAGTTAATCGGTTAGGTTAATCGAAGTTGATGGAATCGGGGGTAAGCGTGTGAATAATATACCGCTAATTTCGGTTAAGCTAAACAATCGATTAAATTTAAGAACCAACCATTTGTTGCCAACAACAAGGCTTCAAGAACTCGTAAGTCGTCGTGATGATTGGTTAGTAATGATCAGTTTTACAACTCTTAAATTTATTAATCCACCAAATCAACCGGAATTGATGAGCGTTATAATAACATACACGCGTAAACGACACTTGAGCGATGTGAATAATTTTTTTCTCATCTGTTTCATCCACGATCGCGTTGTAGCTGACATTGATTGTTGAACACACATTGCTTTGGAGGATATTTGCATGGAGAATCCAGAGATGGCGCGTTCACGCTCTCTTAAAATCCCTATGATATAAAGTCTGGACAATGTTTGATTTGAAAGCAAAATGATCATTTACTGTAGGACGGTAGTTTATAACTTACACCATGAGTGAAAAGATATCGCATATAGACAATTGCGTTCATTTTCCATATTTATTCTGTTAATCAGTGAAAATAAAATATATATTATGTTTGAAATCTGTAGCATTAAAATAACAAAAAGAATAAATAAGTATAAAAGAAAAAAACAAATATTGCATTATGAAGTAGAGAAACTGTGACCGAGTGTCACTAAACAAGTAGATAAAGTCGATGTTAAACCGTACGAGCCGCACAGAACATCTAGAGGTTGACTTCTCCACGGATCCCGCTACCCATACACGGTCGCCAGGGTGTTTTTCGAGTTCCGCTCAAACTCTTGGCCTAGGAAGCTGTACCGGCCAAGTCTCCCCAGATGTGCCGTATAGTAATGTGTGCGCGGGGGGATTCCCTTCTCGACAGCGCGTCGTCTCCGAAGAGATGCTCGAGTCACGGGACGCCCGCTTCGGGCACTCAGTATGAAGGCAGGAAAGCGCCAAAAAAATAAAACACGTATTCTTTAAAAACAAATATGATGAACTCTATTTATTAAAATAAAAAATATCAAAGCGTCTAATGATAACGGGATTGACAAAAATACGGATTATAAATACTATAAGAGCATAAAGCAAAACTAAGAAATACAAAATAGTATAAAGGAAATAAAGAAAACGGCTTGATAATGATTAACTTAGGAAATACGGAATAAATAAATATACATATATATATATATATATATATGTAATGGGTATAATACCACGAGGCTAAACGATAATAGAGTAAAATAGCGGAAGAATACTATCTGAATAATGCAAGAGTGCAGAACCACCTAACAACACTTCGAGAGACGAAATAGTTCTGCGAACAAGTACGCCGATAACAAAATGATATAATGCGGCGTCATTCGTGTTCTCTCTATGTCGCTCTATTGCGACGTAGGGCTCTTACCGCAAATAAGTCCCGACAAGATCGGGCGCGCTCAACAAGACTGCGCAGTATGGATCTGTTTAGCTTGTTGGCCGCCCCTTTGATCCTGCCAACAACGATTTCGCTTCCGGACGAAATTTTTCGGCTTTGGTATACTTACGTCGCGATCCGCGTTTCTCACGCGTGCGACGTCTCAGGTTTCCGACGCGGGGTTTCCGAAAAAAGGGAAAATTACGCGGAGAAGAACTTTGGCACCTTTATGAACCACTTACCATCGCCGCGACGATCGGTCGTTCTCCCACGTCTCCTGGGCCTCCGCTAATAGGTTGCACCAGGCCGTCCTCCCAGCTTTTCCCTTGGGCAGCAAATTCTCGAGGATCCCTCTTCTCATTCGTCAACGCACTTCCGGGCTTCTCGCCTTTTGCGTCCTCCCGCCTCCAGCGTCCGCGTAGAACAACCGCACTTGCTTCTTCTACAATTTCGAACATCGCCTACTTTCCGCTATACTCGCTGATTCGTCGTTGGCCTTAGCCAATCGCAGTCGCCCCTTCTCCAATACTCTCGCTCGTTTCTGGTTCTGGCCAATTGCCTTTCACCCACGTGGGTCTTTTGCGCACGCGCATTTCTTACTTTCAGTTCGGCTGGCACCAGTCGGACCAATCTAACCTCGCTCTCTATTTGACTGGTGGCCAGTCGTTAGGATAATTTAACCTTGCTTTTATGTCAGCCGGGGTCCGCGATGCCGCCTACCGGAAGTCCCTTTTTCTTCCATCTAATTCCGGTTTCTGTTTGAAAAATAACTTCCGCTTTTCGTTTATTGATTTTATTGGTGGTTTCAAAAATAACTTTTTTCTTCTTTTCTATGCGACTTCGCACGCGCGTCTTATAGTTCGCCCTTGTAGTCATTCGTTTTACTAGCATGCCATTAAACTAAAACTTTTCGATATTTTTTACTTATCGGACGTAGAATTATATAAAACTAAACTCATAATATAAAAATAAACTTTTGTAGCCTTAATATAAAAAATAAACTATCGTAAACATAATACAGAAATAAACTGTTATTAATTATAGAAATAAAACTGAAATAAGTTCTTAATTTTGTTTCGGTTCTTGTTCTGCTTTATGTGGTCTCCCTCTTCTCGCTGTCAGCCGCGCTCCCCTACGCGGCTGTACCTCTGGTTATAAAACGACATAGTAACTTATAGTAAAACTAGGATGAGACATTTTATTGTTAAATAGTATAATGATTCATTTTTTAATAATATTTAATAAAAGTTACATATCACATACATTTTTAATGTAATACTTTACACTTACTGATAAATTAATACTGTTTTCACAAAATTCACATTTATTTCTCTTTCTCAAATTCGTATTTCTCCACGTATTAGTGGTGCCTAAAAGAGAAATTTCATTAATTGGCTTCGCTGTTTTATTTTCAAGTAGTCCGAAGCCAATGAAAAATCTACTCACATTGTCCAGACTCTATGGGTGCGTTCGAGGAGATTTTTCGGTAGCGTAAAATAGCGTTCCCTAGAACACACCCTATATTGTAGAGATCCTAGCGCACATAATATACCTGGACTGAGTATTAAGGAGTGAATGTAGAAAGAGGACGCGTGTTCTCTCACGTCCGTGCGTTGACCACGAGTGAGAGAGAACGCATCCTTTTCTATGTGCGACGCTCAGGGAGAATTTACACCTTGACAGAAAAGCAACAGCCAATCAGAACTCGCAAGTAAGCAGTAAATAAACTACCAGCGCGAGTTCTAATTGACTGCTACTTTTCTGTCAAGGTATGAATTTTCCCTCAAATAAAGACAAACGCTTCGTCTAGATATATTCAGCTTATAAAGGAAAAGTGCACTTTTGCACTTTATTCTACATACATATATATATATTCTACACACATTATATAAGAGATTCGAAAAGTACCTGGAGCAAAGAAAAATACTTAAGTCGTTTTCAGTAACTTTGTAATTCTCATGTTAGAAGGCGTTTCAATCAGAGACAAATATATAAAGGGTGATTACACATTTGCTTTGCGTGTATTTTACCAATGATTTCATGTTTACGCCGATCGCACACAGGCTTTTAACGCAACATGTGCGACACAGTTCAAAACATATATGTTCGCACAATCATTTTATAGAATTATCATACTTGAGGGAAATTAGATTTTGAAAGAGGGAAATAAGAAGAGTCTCTTGGTCGTACCAAGATGTTCAGGAATATTATTGTGGGGATATCTGGTGGTGTCGACAGCGCTGTGACAGCCTTTTTGCTGAAAAGTAAAGGTAAAATTTGAAGAAAAAACAAGAGTTTATCATATGTCGTTATATATTTTTGGGAGTACATTTTTTCTATCCATTTCAGGATTTAACGTTACTGGAGCATTTATGAAAAATTGGGATATTAGAGATGAAACAGGAAAATGTACAATTGAGAAAGATTATATCGATGCTCAGTGGGTTTGTGACAAACTAAAAATTCCTCTTGTACAAGTTGACTTTGTAAAAGAGTACTGGAATGAAGTTTTTAGGTACGTCTTTCTCTTCTTTTTTCTACATGATAAATAGAGCATGTTGTTTAACTCTCTTTTAGCGATCTTGTGGAAAAGTATCAGACTGGATACACGCCGAATCCAGATGTTCTTTGTAACAAGAATATAAAGTTTGATAAATTTTTTCATTTTGCACGCAATAAACTTCAAGCCGATGCTATTGCCACTGGTCATTATGTCAAAACAAGCTTTGGACCATATCTGGAAGACTATAAAGCAGATTCTGGCAAGTCACATTGAAATCTATGCAGCAGTTTGTACATATTTAACTCAATTGTAATAAATGTAAATGCATACAGGTGTACACTTGTTGCAAGCACAAGATAGAGATAAGGATCAAACATTATTCCTGAATCAAGTGCCGCAACAAACTTTAAGACGTTGCATGTTTCCTCTTGGAAATTATCTAAAAAGTTACGTAAAGACTATAGCCAAGGAAGCAGGCTTATACCGGGTGGTACAGAAGAAAGAGAGTATGGGCATCTGCTTTGTGGGAAAACGTCAGTTTGAGCATTTTATTTCGGAGGTAATGTGTTGATCCATGTATGTTTATATGCGTTGATTCTAATTGTGATCTAATAACAACAATGCTTGTACAATGACAGTACATAAATGACAAGCCTGGTGACTATATAGATTTGGACAGCGGACTGACAGTAGGCAAACATAATGGCATTCACAAATTGACAATAGGACAGAGATGCAGAATCAGCGGCAGAAAAAACGCTTCTTTTGTGTTTAAAAAAGATCAAGAGACGAACACTATCTTAGTGGTACGCAATGAATGAAGATATCATTGAAAATTTACTACTTATTTGATCCTATTTGATGTGTCCCTTATGATAGGTAGAAGGTACGATCCATTCAGCATTACTGACCGATTTCATGATAACGCAAGATATTCATTGGATCATTGAGGAACCGTACGAATTGAGATCGGGCGTGTTAAATTGTAACTTTCGCTTTCAACATAGAAACCCGTTGATCCCCTGCAGCGTGTACAAGGCATCCAATAATCGCTTATTTATCCGGCTTAGCGTACCGTTACGAGCGGTCACAAAGGGACAGGTAATGTCAATCAATAGCGTACGTGTTATCAGCCAGATATGTCTCATAGCCAACATTTCATAATGAATGGTAATGAAATTATTGTAAAATAGATTCATACGAGACATATATATCGAGTAACCAATGCTATCGCTATTGCCTATCGTGAAATTATACAAAATCAAGATATTGAAGTGTGTTTGATTCGTTTATATGAATTTCAGTATGCCGTTTTATATTCCGGAGAGGAATGTTTAGGTGGCTCGGTAATATTATGCCTAGGACCGTCTTATTTTGCTCTCGGTCGGCAGAATTGTGTAAATGAAACTCGCCATGATAATTCCACAGTGTCAACTTCAATTGTATAATTTAATTGAATAATTGTAAGTCTTAGTTGTAATAAAATCCAATCGTGGCCATTTAAAAGAGAACATTTTTATACATGTACTATATTTTCTTTACAACGTCTGTATATTGCAGATGCCTTTTTTCTCATCCTAACGATGTGTGTTTGAAGTTATTAAATAAAAAGTATACAACGAGGCAAGTATTTTCTCTTGATTAGGCGCATAATAACGCGTTCGACGTCATGTGGACACAATCGATGGTTGTCGATCGAGCCGTCTCGATGAAATCGATCGATTCAATCAGTCACAATTTAACACATTGCATGCGGGAAACGTACTTTTACGTTTTTTGCAGTCTATCATTAGAGCGCGGGTCACGTAAAAGTACGTATTTAGTAGATTTGTGCTAGAGAGCGGGTATCGTATAAATACGATGGGCATTATAAATGTATACGGTGTTTGTGTTGCTAGGCAATGATTTCCATTGTTTCTTTTTAGAAGTTTAGTTTGTCGAGTTGCTTGGTTTAATTGAATATTTTACTGAATAGCAAACTCCCGCGAAATTCACGAAAAAACGCCCGCTACACGCGTAAGTCCGCGGCGAAATATACCGCATGTAATGTGTTAATAACAAATAAGCGCGCTTGACATTTAATATCAGCGTATAAACGTCTCAGGCTTAACCACGCGAGTTTGTGGAGCGATTTTCGATGCAAGCGCTTATTGAAGCCGCATAATTTTCATATCCATCGGAATAGCAAGAATACTCGAACGATATGTGTAAATATAATGTTACAGATAATATCGATGGTAAAAACGTCCGTCTAGCTTTTGAAGGAACGAAACTCGCTTGAACACCATCATGTCATTCGAGAAGATCGCATGACACGTCATTTTAACGACGAAGGCCGCGTCCCATGGAAGATGAGCGCAAACGATTACAATAGATTTCGTTGGAACATCTTACCCAGCTATGACGATTACCTTATCAAAGACAACTATAACGCCGAGAGTGAGTGCGAGCGATGTATGCTCGTATCGATATTTTCTTATACACGTGCGCGACGCACCAGGCTAAATCGGATGAGCAGAGAGGGATGATCGAGAGATGAACGCGATATAGGGTGGAATGTGAAATACATTGTGTTATTGAACGATAACTGCAAGTTATTAGGGTCGATTGACGACGCGCGGAATAAATGGTGTCTCGCATCCGTGTGCGTCTTTGTTACACGATTGGTGGTCGACCTTATATGTATTCAAATTGCTCCCCCGTACAAATATCGTCGATTCACTCGCGCGTAGCGTGCGACACACTCGGTGCTCTCGGTACGAGAAAGGACGAAAAAGATAGCTCGTTCCGCAAAATCGGCCTAACGCGAACAATTATCCGCGCTTAATGAGCGCACCTTTGCTACCACCGATTTCTGCTGGCGATTGTTCTCAGAGAAAATGCAGAGTGGCGGCAGCTCGAATCGATTCGACGACGATGACGATGACGACGACAATTTCTTCAGTGGTGGACCGTGCCCGTCGTGCAGACTGGCGATTAACCAGGAAACCGGTAGACTCAAGTGCGTCCCGTTGTTTGTCTTGTTTCGTATTTCAATTTTCTTGCTTCTCGAACGAATCTTCCGTCAAAATGCAGATGGTGTACGGGCGAAACGCGGCGTGTTAAACTGATGCTCTTGATACCGGCCGTGTTGCTGCCGATTACTGTAGTCTTCATCGTTCTGTCGCGATTTCAAGGTACGAACCTTGGAATTTCGGAGTCGCGGATATCACATGGAATGCACAGAAGGCAGAAGGAGCGAAAGATGGACATTTCTTGGTCGAGTGAGTTTCTCGCCGCGATTTAGAGTTGCGGCACAAGTATTATATTAACGCGGAGGGAAAGGAAACGATGAGAATCGGCTATAAGAAAAAGAGATAAATTAATCTACTGTATTAAAATATCACTCAGCTACCGGTCGCAACGATGTGCCGCCCGCTGCCGGAGAGGATCGGATTTTACTCTTCGATATGAAAACGAGTTACGTTCCCGACGCGTACCCGCCGCTTCGCCGATCACGACGCAAGAGAAACACCGATGGGGTACTTAATTTCCGAGCTAATTCAAAGTGATTCGATGATGCTAATTAGACAAACACCCGACTTCCTTTCTTTTCTCCTTCCTCCTCGAATCAAACGAACTTTGACACGCGAGCAGCAAGAAAACGACACGATCCTTTTCAGGAAAGCCGCGCGAGGATCGGATCTCGCGTCTCGAAGGACGATCGAACCATATCACACGGCCATTTAAATAACGGCAAATTAGCAGACTCCGCTTCTTCGAGGAAAGAATTAGATCGCGAAGAAAATGATACGGCGAGAAAGTTCTTTTCGGATCGGAGCGTCAACTACTTCATCGATAAAGTAAAGGTGTGTGAGAATATAATCTCCTATCGGTAATTCTTATTGCATCCTCGACGCAGGTGGAGGACGGCAGCGATGATGCGCAGGATCTCGACGAAGAGATGGACAATTTTTTAGACGATTACCATCCGGAAATTGACGATACCTATGAAAGCAGTGGTGGAAGCAAGGATTATTATTCCGAGTGAGTGTTCTACCATCTTAGACTCATTGTTGCTGATCTCCGTATGATCATCGCGATAAATTTGGCCGATAGAAAGAGAAGAGTCGTTCGACAGGTACGACGGTGGCACGACGGGAACAAACGATGGACGAGAATCGAGGAAGAAGAAGTCGACTCGGCAAAAGGACGGTATTCCGTTTATCAACAGCACATGGTTATCGGTGGCTGTCGATCAGATTCCCTATCTTCGTACATTCTGGAGAGACGAGGGAAATGCCAGGAGTATCAGAGAGGCCCGAGGTAGGCGCGTCTTATATTCCCCTCTCTCTTTATTGCATCCATTTTCGCCGTAGCTCGGATAATGCTGAGATATATGGATAAGAGTGCAGACCCGTGTCAGGATTTTTATCGATATGCTTGCGGTAACTGGGCGAAACGTAATCCTATTCCAAAGGATAAGGCCGGTTACGACACTTTCGAAATGCTTCGAGAATCGTTGGATTCCGTATTAAGGGAGCTGCTAGAGGAGCCGCCGCACACGGCTCAATTAAGCGCCGATGACGCTATTGTAAAGGCGAAGAATCTGTTCGGAAGTTGCATGAACTACGGTAAGTAGTTAGCGTGGATCGAATCGGTTTGACGCGAATCTCTTAACGCGCAACGAATGCGACTAGAGATCTTGGAACGGCGTATGGAACGACCGCTTATTCAACTATTGGACCAACTCGGCGGTTGGCCGATACTGAGGCCGGATTGGAATTCAGACAAATTCGACTGGCTTCTTTTGACCGCGCAACTTCGACTGTACAATAACGACGTATTGATCTCAGAATGGGTGGGTCCAGATATTAAAAACAGCGACAAGTACGTAATACAGGTAAATATTTCGTTCGTTGGATCTTCCTCGGCGGCTTAGAAATTCCAACGGCTTTTTCTTCCTCCTGTTACCAGTTTGACCAAACGTCGCTCGGTCTTCCCACGAGAGATTATTTCCTTCAACGATCCAATACGGTATATTTAGAGGCCTACAAGGAATATTTGATCAAGATTGCGACTTTACTCGGCGCATCCTTAGATAACGCGACCGTACAGGCCGGACAACTAATCGAATTCGAGACGCAGCTCGCAACGGTACGTGTGTGTTCTGTTCGATCGTGCGGAATAGTTGATGGATCGCATTTCGCAGATTACGTCGTCACCCGACGAGAGACGAAACTTTTCCGAGCTTTATCAACGAATGAGTATTGGCGAGCTGAGGATGTTAGTGCCGCAAATTGATTGGCGTCGTTATTTGTCCATCGTTCTGGCCAGACCGGTCAACTTGTCCGAACCGGTTGTAGTCTTTGCGTTGCAGTACATTCAGGATCTGGTTGTCCTACTTTCGAAAACACGACCTAGGTACGCACTTCTTGTCATTACTTATCTGCTTATCTTTCGATTTCGTAAATCACGCAAATTATTCGTTTCGCAGAACAGTGGCGAATTATCTGTTATGGAGATTTGTGCGACACCGAGTGAACAATCTGGACGATCGTTTCCAGGCGGTGAAACAAAAGTTTTACTACATTTTGTTCGGCAGAGAGCAAGCACCATCGAGATGGAAGAATTGTGTCACCCAAGTGAATTCCAACATGGGTATGGCAGTCGGCTCGATGTTTGTGAAGAAGTATTTCGACGAAAACAGCAAAAATGACGTGAGTGATCGGTAAAAATTTGAAAAATGATAGAGAGGACGCGCGTAACTACTTGTAAAATAAATGTTGTATCTATTACAAATCTGTTCATCGAGACAGACATTGTCAATGACCCGTGAGATACAGCGATCGTTCAGGGAATTATTCGATAAAACCAATTGGATCGATGGCGAGACGAAACGCTTGGCGACTGAAAAGGTAAACGCTATGTCGCTGAGGATCGGCTATCCAGATTTTATCCTGCAGCCACATCTACTGAACGAACGTTACAAAGATGTAAGACACACGCAGATTATTCTGTGTATCATGTGTGTTAACTCTGCTTACTGAAAGTAACGCACGCACGCAGGTTATCATTCGACCAGACAAATATTTCGAAAACACTCTAAATATCTTGAAACACTTGACCAGACTCGAACAAGATCGTCTCGGCAACACTGTCAACAAAACTTTGTGGAATACCGCTCCAGCGGTCGTGAACGCGTATTATAGTCGCAACAAAAATCAGATAAGTCAGTTGAATTCTTCATTCTAGAGATCGGCGTTCTCATCCATCGTCTCTAATCTTGAATTCTGCCCGCTTTAGTGTTTCCAGCGGGCATACTACAACCTCCCTTTTATCACAGATTCTTTCCACGAAGCTTAAATTACGGCGGAATTGGCGTCGTGATCGGACACGAGATCACTCATGGATTTGACGATAAAGGTAGACTGTTCGATAAGAATGGCAACCTCCACAGATGGTGGAAGGACGAAGCTATAAATAGCTTTCATCGGCGTGCGCAATGTCTCATCGGTACGTCCTCATCGGTCCTAACTCGATTCTCAACGCGCGATCAGTGTGTGTATCGATCGAACAATTACTATATTCCGTCTTCTCTGTTCCTTCAGATCAATACGCTCGTTATACCGTGACGGAAGTCGGGATGCAGATAGATGGCGTAAATACGCAAGGCGAAAACATCGCCGATAACGGCGGTATCAAGCAGGCGTTTACGGTAAAATTTCTTCACCGCATCCTTCTTCGTTCTTGAAAGAAACGGAAAAACTTGCATTCGTAGGCATACGAGAGGTGGTTGCGCGCTAACCAAGAGGAAGACGAGACTCTGCCTGGAATTAGTGCGACGGGCAAACAATTATTCTTCTTGAATTTTGCTCAAGTCTGGTGCGGCTCGATGCGTCCCGAAGCAACTAGAAATAAATTGAAAACAGCCGTACACTCGCCCGGTAAGTTTCGCGTGATCGGCACGCTCTCCAATTCAAAAGACTTTGCTCAGGTGTTCAATTGTCCTCCTGGTTCTCCCATGAATCCCCTGAGCAAATGCTCGGTATGGTAGCCGATTTATCGACACAACATGATGTTACATTTCTGATGAAACGTTATAACGCATCTCTCACGTACGCTTCTTCTTATTTAAAACAGATTTTTCGCGCTCTCCCGTGTAATGTATATAATAGACGATATGTACGTTCTTGTACTGTGTACACACACATATACGCACACACACACACATTGTATCATTTTGAAATACATATAGCAATCTCCCGAACCGCGTCTGTCGTTTTTTTCTTTTTACGTTATTTCATCTCGTCTCGAATTTTATTCCACACGCTACTGTAATACGACAATATTTTATCCTCGTTGTGAAAATACAGCGTCTCGTCAACACAGACCCCCCGCTATTTCTGACAATGCTTACAGACATTTGAAAAACAGAATTTTTCCTGTTGCTTGTGTCGTCGTACGACAATTTATATAAGGAGGACACGCTTTTACCAATCACACGTATATAGTATATTTTTTTACAATTTATTTACGTATTATATCATAGATAATATATTTTGATCTGTTGGAACCAAACTTGGGAGAAAAACAACCAAAGAGGTACATAAAATCTGAAAACCGATCGATACAACGGGTGACTATATTTTTCATCTCTGCGCCTTCTTATTAAATATAATTCTCATTTGTTTACTATCTCATTTCCGTCTACTTGCCCTTGCATCTTTAATTGTACGTGTTGGCCTGTCTTCTAATGTCGAATCGTTATCTCTCTTTTCTTTTTATATATAAACAAATGTGAATATCCTTTCAACAGTCGGAAAATATAATGTGGGTTATGTCAACATTCTTAAATAAACTTTAATTACCACGACAACCTCTATGGTCTTTAATTTTATTATGTATAGCCGTTATAAATCATAATCACGAGAGTCTTAATTTTTTACTTTCTATGATATTTTATCAAAATTGGCCTATTAAATATATAAATATATGTTTCGCGTGTGCTACTTCCATCCAACTAATAAAGTCAATGGAAATATACCTTGACCATTCGTTCGTTATGTTACGTATACGTTAACAAAGATCCTCACTTATGTAGAAACTGGTATTCCAAAATGTCTTCTTCGTCTATAAAAAAGAAAAAACAAATCATTTCATATGCCAGTGCAATGTAAACCAAGTATCGCTCACAAAGATCGCGCAAACACTACAGGTTACACACATAAGTTATATACGTACGTATGCACAGAGAACCTCCATACAATCCCTCGTTTTCCCTCCATATTGCTAAACAGTCGAGCTACGCACATAGCTCAGTCATATGTATATCATGTGTGCTTGCATCGTCTGAACATTTGCGATAACTTCGCTACTGTGGAGGGAGAACCTCAATATACACTCTGTCTTCTACTCCCCCGTCCCGAGAGAAGTCTTACATGGTTCTACCGTACATACGTACACATATATACACGCGCATATCGTTCAATATACATTTGTTGTAAGCTGGATGTATGTACAATTGGTATGCAAAAGGCATTCCAAATTGAAACCATATAGTACATATGTTCGTCATGCCAAGTGTGTATCCAGCTTATTAAGTAATTAATTAATTAGGTAGATAAGTATTTTTCTAATTGTATACGTACCAACATGTGGAATTATCTTTAGTTCGGTATGTACAATGATATCGATCTCATTTAACACGAATCAAAAGCGAAAGTGTATGCGCGAGCGATGTGTATAACGCGCGTGTCGTAATAAAAATACACTCACAGATTTCGTCTCTGCTATTGTTGTCCAAATCGCTAGTTTGCGTGTGACTCTCCTCGTGCATATGACGCCCTGCTGCATCATCAACGTCAGCGCAGCACAAGGCACAAAAATCACTCGGTTACGTATCTAGGGTGGTGCAATGTACATGCGAGCGATAAACTTTTTAAAACATTTTTTATCTTCAATCTCAGAACATAGAAAGAGCAGATAGGAAGTAACGCGAGAAATCGAATACAATCTATTAAATAATATGACGTTTTTCCCCCTTTCGCGGGATGTTGAATTAATTTCCGATAAACAGAAAAAGATTTCAGACTTTTCAGATATATTGCACGACCTGCTTGTAAGCTAACTTTCACATTATCAAGTATAATTGTTGATGTCATCGTATGAAGTCACTTGTGTATATTTGCGTTTATATAAATATTATATAGTTGAGAGCGTAACTCAAAGTTTAACATTCTTTATGCACAATCTCCCATAAAGAAAAGATATATTTTTACAAACCAATCATATGTCAAATTGTACTATAATTATAAGCTTATAAATGAAAACGATACATTTTTTCTTTCATCTGAAACGCAACAAACGTTTAGTCAATTGGGAAAATTGCACGACATTCATCCTTCAAATACAGCTTCGTAACGAGTAACATAGTACAAAATGAGACGCGATTCGACGAAACATCACTGCCAAAGAACATGAATGAAACGTTACAGTGTAATCGATGCTCTTCTCGTTCATTTCCAATCGATCGAAGAGATTGATGCGCATACATACACATCAATATATTCACAAAGTTATATTTGGCAGCTGACGTCTCGAAATACCAAGCGTATATTGGAACATTGGTATATACAGTGGAACATTGAACGCATTGCAGATCATTTACTTTCCTAGTTTGTACAAATAACCACATAGATGTGTGCGTTTTTATTTTCGTTTATGTATGTGTGCGCGTGTCGAAAGGAAACATTGCCTTTCGTCGTTGATTTGGAGAAAAGAAAGGCGGTTTCAACGTGTCCAAAGTTCCTCTGGTAGAAATGGTACATATTAACGTTATAAAACTAAGAATAACCTTTCTGTCATACCATCGCGTCAATGGAAAAAAAGAAACATCTTTTCGTAGCAAAATGCAGTAAATCAAGTCGACGACAACGCAATGGCAAGACGTAGGTAGAAGAAGAAGAACGCATTTCGACGGAGTGGAACGTAATGTTTAGAATGTTAAATGAAACATACACATGAAAATCGTATTACTAGTTATAAAAAATATGACAATGAATATAATCTATAAGAAATGCGTACACCTCTGCAAGCACATCTATATAAATTAAATCTTGTACGTCTTTCTAACACTGATAATAATGGCACGTGTGTAGTATGAGCATAATTTGCATGTATGTACATTTCAATGAATTCAAATACAATGTCGCATAACATAATTATCGTGAGGAGTCTCTTCGATTTTCGAGAATAGCTTCTCATTTAGGTATGTGGTGTATAGAAGAGTGCATCACGCGTAGATAATTGAAAGTTTCCAACGAACTAACAATTGAACGAACCACCTCTGGTCTATACGAGTGTTTTCTCGGATAAATGTTTCTCAAGACATCGCGCGATCACTTGAAATCAAAATAAATGAATTTCGTCGAATATATAGAAATAATATCCTCTCGAATCTTTTAAAGAAATAGCTGCCCCATTGTCGCAGACAATCCTAAAATGCAACCAATTAAAAAAATATTAATAAATATACGTACTTTCCCATACAGATATAAACTACATGCATTCTGTAGAGAAATAATTGCAGAGACATCTCGATGTTCAATCATTCATCGAGATGAAAACGTGTTATTTACATGTTCATTCTTGTGCTCTACGTGTAGTGCGCGTGCTGCTTTGAAGTAAATATTAAATAAAAATTACCACATGTGGTTATTATTACATGGTTGCAGTGAAGCGTGCAATTTAATCGTGTGTTCTGCCATGTACGTAATGATAAAATTATAGTAAAGAGACAACTCTTCCGAGTGTCAACTGCGTGTGAAGTATTGAACTGAATGAAACGAATAATATTAACATGCGGGAAGACAACGCGCGATAAACGATAAAGGTATTAGATCGTTACGACCCGTTGGAACGATTTGCTAAAAATTATTCCGCTTATCTACAGCTGAGGACCCCCTCGCTGAGATGAAATTTTATTTATACTGTGTGTGTATCTCAAAGATATTTCTTAACAGCACAAACAAGTGTTGTATAATAAGTTGTGTCGGAGACTACTATTTTTTATTACTCGAGTTTACTCGGGTTTCGTTGGATCTTCCTTCAAAAATTGCAACATTTCCGAATCATATTAGTATATACACTGCTCCGTGTACATGCAAGATACTTTGAGGTAACCAAAATAGCCTTGACAAATGCAACTCGTATCGTTATGCAGGATGCACAGTCGGAATGATATAAAAAAAAAAAAAAAAAAAAAAAAANGGTGAATGAAATCTCTCGAGAGTTTCAAATCTGCTAGATCGAACAGCGAATAAATACTTGGAGCATGAGTAAAACTATACAGAGAGCAAGCTCGCGTAAATTGCTCAACAGATCTCGTCGCGATTTACGATTATAGGACGACGTTTGGAAAAATAAAAGCGACATATCGGACAGAGAGAGAGAGAGAAATTCGGTACAGTCAGTTCCAATCGTGCACAAGAAAGAGATGAATTTGCGCTCGCAAAGTATTCATTCACAATCAAGTCGATCCTGCACTGTACGATGTATCTAGAGCTCCTCTATTTACAACATTGAAATCTACATAACATCGACAAAGAATTCACAAGGATTTCCCATCGCAATGCGAAATGACTGTCTACTACCAGATAAGTCTTGCTGATTCTGCTGATTTCCCGACCCTGTTCCCGTTTGAACAGACTGCTCGGAACCACTGGAACGACTGCGACTGCCGTTGGATCTCTTTCCGTTCGATCCGTTACCGTTGCCGGAATTTTTGCTCGGCATCGATGTGGGCATCGACGACGGGTTATGCAGCTCCGATTCCGAAGCCGAAGAACACGACTTTAAATCGTGAATGGGTTCCTTGCAAATGCGTTCGCTACCAGCGCTACTGCCACCTATCGATCGGCGGAGAAACGCACGCGTGAGAGAATATTGCACCGTCTACTTTGCGTAATGAAAGATACGTATCTTACCCGAACCGCTGTGCACGCTCTCTTCTCGATGGTAACCGTAGACGGTGGGCTCGTTTGTAAAATTGAACGGCATAGGGCTGTAACCTGTCGCCGAGTGCGGTGCGTACGTTCCCGAGTAAGGCATGTCCCAAGCATTCGGCGGCGGCAGAGGACCGACCGTATCACAATCTAATTTCATGCTACTCATGGCTGAGCACAAATCACCAAATATGTAATAACATTGTTCGGAAAATGTTATCTTGTTCACTGTGTGTCGAATAAAGCCAGCCTTCAGCATGAGCGACGCGTATTTCCTGGCGTCGCGGCGATCGATAAATCCTTCTACGTGAGTATTCAGCCAGTCCACAACCTCCGCGCCAATAAATGCATTCGGAATGGTTATTTTAAGCCACATACGATCGCGTATCTCTAATCCCGAGTCAGATCGAGCCATTGCTCGTACCACCGTCGGCATGTCGGTGTTGACGGTCAGATGAAGCTCTTCCAACGGGCCTGGTGGACAACACACGAACCTCCGGTTTTTCGCAGATTTCATACACACCGGCTATTTCTCAATTAACGTCCATTAATTACGCAGAGTAGAATTCGTCGTGAAAAGAAATTGAACGTTTTGTCGGAAAAGATTATTTACTTTCAGCAAACTCGCAGTAGGTCCGTCCGCTCGGCCGTTCGAAGGACAGGAAAGCTTCGAATCGCTCGTAAATTACTGAAACGTGTCTCGACACGGTACATTCCGACTTTTCACGAGGAATAGCAGGTGTAAAGCGGGCGTTAATTAAGAAACACTGTATAGCGAGTGACACAGAGGAAGAACTGGTGCCACGTAGTGACGACAACAATTGCTACTTACGTTCGGTATCTGGTAGTGTGCTCGCGAGACTGCTCGATGTCGAAGTTAACGTAGTGGCACTCGGTGGGCGAGGCGGGAAGCCTTCGCCACGTATGGCGGCTGTGTGCGCCACCCATGCACCAGGATCTATAGGACGTACCGGTTCTGTACGAGGTATCGTAAAGTAACCTTTCGGATTCGGATCCCAACATTTCGCAACAACGAGCTTTATTGGTCTAAAAGAAAAAAAAAAAAAGAGGATAACACAGAAAGAAAGAGTGTAATTTCATACGTGGCTACGGAAAGAGAGGAACTAGAGTCGTGACGCTTACCCTGGCTTCTGTACTACTTCACGCAACACTCTCACCGCTTCGTCGTTGGACATATTTTCGAAATTAATGTCATTGACTTGAAGAATCATGTCACCAGGTTCAATTCTACCGTCTAGAGCAACCGCTCCCCTGTTTCGAGCAAGTTTCACAAACAGTAGAAATTGTTACAACATGTGGACAGCATGGACAGTTGTATAAGCATACTTATCCGTAGGCTATGTACAATTAGGCATGGTATGCCACAAATTTTTACGTTCGCCAAACGCGAATTCTATTTGCTCTGTTCCCACGTGATTTATAGTACAGAGTACAATAGTCTGATCTTATTAGATACAACCGGCACATATCTGATGTACGGACGCCCAAATGCGATGTATATATACAGACACATAATATATACATGTTGTTAGAGGACAAGCAACAAAAGCTCGTTTTCGTTGCAAATAAGTCGGAGAGCATACTAACCCTTTCATTATCGAACCGACATATATTCCCCCATCTCCACCTTTGTTACTTTGACCGACGATGCTAATACCAAGGAAATTAACAGTGTCCATGTTCAGCGAAACAGTTATAATATTTAAAGACATTGTACTGTCGGTAATACTACTAAATGACGATGTTCGGGACATGGGTGGTAATCTATGCCGCCGTCTTCTTTGCGGTCGACGTCGATCTGTGGGAGAAAATAGGCAGACTCGGCATTATGCGTTGGAAATGAAACGAGAAAAATCGTCCACATTGTCCTCTGCTTTTTCTTTGGCAAGAAACCTTCGTGCGATATCCTCTCTCAGTTCGATCATTTCTTTCTTACCCAGAGTACCCCTATCGACTGTGCTGCTCATATTGGTGTGCCGGCCTGTCGTTGATGTGATACGACTACTCGCGTCGTCGTCGGACTCCAAAAACGTTGTAGTTTCTAAATCCGAGCTCAGAATGGAAGCAGTTTCATACCCGTGGCCCGAGCGATGCTTGGAATGACCATTTATACGAAGTCCTGCAAGATGTCATGAAATGTTATAGGAAAAAACATATCATATGCTTCGGATGGATTGTTCTAAAGCTTACCGTTGTATTTATTGTATTTTTCATATTTTTCCGAGTGATGTCTCGAACTTTTGTGCAAGTGGTGCCCCTGCCGACTACTGATAATACTCTCTGTCTCTGTCAATGTGTCGTCGTGCGAAAGTGGTGCTGTCCCTCTGTTGCCATGTCCAGGTGTTACATGATCCACACGGTCGTGCTTAACTTCACTGTGCGCCATAGAGTCTGTACATTGGGACGCACCATCCGAGACATTGCTACCTTCGGCTGATACCAACTGTCACAAAATATATATTGTTAATAAATATGTGCGATATGTGATCAAACATTCGATCAGCCAAACGTTAGGAATAATAGATTGAGTTTAATGGAAATTATCCTTGATGATTACACATAGCCGACCGATCAAAGGAAATTATTCTTACAAGTTAAAAGTTAAACTATTTGTCATGATTTTATCGCAACAGTTGAGGCATTGAAGAAAACATTTGTAAATATATATTTGTACTTACCCAAGACACAACTCGACCATTGAAACATGGCAAGTGAGCATCGTCATCTATAATTTCTTCTTTTACCACACTGGTACGAAAAAAGTTTTTGTTTAGTAGTTCATGTTACAGCGTATTATTGAGATTACAGCTTGTCTAAGAATTGCGCTGACTAGAAAACTGCGATTGTATACGATTGAATTTTTAACGACCCTCTTCGACCGTTATCCAGGGGAAGAAGAATTGTTCAAAGACGAGGGGGACACAAGGAATGCGCGGCTGGGTCGCAATACGAGAGAAATATGCTAGCTAGATAAATGATCAGGCTGAAGAGGATTCGTCGTAGATCGCGATCGTAAGAAACGAAATCGTCGGGGCAATGACTCGTACGTCGCGACGTCACGTCAGTATCTATCCATCGCGTACTCATCATTGTGTGTTGGCAATAGAAGCACAGAGTGAATCTTCTCTTACCCGAAATCATCGTCCATGGACTTGAAGAAATACTTGTAATTCGGCCGATTTAAAACGTTCTTGAAATCGGCCAGGGTCACTCTTTCTGGCGATATGTTAAGCTTCACCAGATACGGCGTTTCCTCGTCGTCCATGTGATAGATAATCTTGGTTTCTTCCATCGTCGAAGCGCAATGTCACACTGGGTTCATTCGCGATATTTCAAAAGCGATACGCACGGATCCTAGGACGACGATACTCTCAAACCAATATGGCGCGTCGTGCACAGAGCCAAAGCCCTGTCGCGTACAAAGCTCGCATCATCACCACGCGTCAGTGTGAGACACTCGCGTGTCTCGTAGACGAGGATCCAGCAAGTGTCGCACCTCTCTCACGAAGAGCTCTCGCCGATCCTCGAATCCCTCGAGTAAAACTTGTATATTCGTCGCGGTGATAAATTAAATGTCAACATAGCCGTCACAACGTTGCGCGTATTGCACGCACACTCGTGCACACTCGTTGGCACCAACGACATCTACACCCTGAACGCAACCTGGGCTGCGTTCGGAAACATCGAACTAGAGTGACACTGTATTTGACCAATCAGGAGAAAAAGATTTCTTTATAATGATTGGTCGATTAAAAACCAATCTATCCTCAGTTTCTGAACGCAGTCTTGCTATTTGGGGTGCGTTCGAAGAGACGCGCTAAATAGTGTCCTCCCTGAACGCGCCTATGGTTGGATTTAATGAACTTTGCTCTGATTGGTCAATCTTAGGCCGGATTTTATATTTAAAAGTCCGTCTTAAGTTCATCTTCAAATGCGGCTTATTTCATTGGCTTATTTCATTGGCTGACAATGTTTAAAAAGAGATAGATATACTGTTGAGATTGATGGAAGAGAGAGGAGAACTGGTATACGTGCCAGTAAAAGAACAAACCTAATGTTGTTACGCAGCATATTGTTTTCGCCTAAGGGTAAAGCATGTGAGTTCTCGAGATACGTCGGTTATTAAAATTTTCCGAAAAGATGTTTCGATCAACGCGGTGCTTGATTTTTGCGCTACATCGCGCAAAACGTTCTTTGCACACTTGCGGCCAGCGGTCATCGGAAATCACCGAATATGAGTGTAAGTTTCAATTAGTAATCGTTTGATATATCGTAATATTTCATCGTGCATGCCTTTCGCAGCTCCCATTACCGACGAGTACAAGAAGGGTGTGGGGATGGAAGGTAGATCTCTTTATTTGGATGCTCAAGCCACTACTCCGCTGGTAAGTTGAAAACATGATGCAATCAATGCGAGCAAGTGTACGATATCGAATCGTTATGTACAGGATCCCCGAGTTTTGGACAAGATGATGCCGTACTTTACGGTATACCACGGTAACCCACATTCCAGAACTCACATGTATGGCTGGGAGACAGAGGAAGCGGTTGAGCATGCTCGCCAAGTAGGTATATTATTTCTTCGCTCATATCTTGCAATATATGGAGACTACTAAGGGTGGCTTTTCAACAGCAAGTTGCAGATCTGATAGGAGCTGAGCAAAAGGAAGTGGTATTTACATCAGGTGCAACGGAATGCAACAATATAGCTGTAAAAGGTGTGGCTAGGTTCTACAAATCTAGGAAGAATCATATTGTGACGACCCAGACGGTACGAAAGAATTGCTATCTGACTGAGAGGATCTTGATTCCTTATTAAATACGACAATTCTCAATTGGTGACATCTAGGAACACAAATGCGTATTGGATTCGTGTAGAGCCTTGGAAGCTGAAGGATTCGATGTAACATACATTTCTGTCCAGTCAAACGGTCTCATCGATCTCAATGAATTAGAAGAAGCTATTAAACCATCCACATCATTGGTTTCTGTGATGATGGTGAACAATGAAATTGGTGTCCAACAGCCTGTCAAAGAAATCGGCGCCATTTGCAGGTGAGTATCAAGATTTAATGCCGTGACTGTCGCAATTTTCTCATGATGCATCTTGTGTCTCGTAGAAAGAAGAAAGTCTTCTTCCACACAGATGCAGCGCAGGCTATAGGCAAAGTACCAATCGACGTTAATTCCATGAATATCGATCTCATGTCTATCAGTGGTCACAAAGTGTACGGTCCGAAAGGTAATATTTCCCGTCGCAAAGATATTAAGAGTGAAGAAAATTATTGAGATAAAAATTCGTCCTTTCTTTCCTCGCTTCGGTTGTCTGACAAGGAATCGGAGCGCTGTACGTTAGGAGGAAACCACGTGTGCGTGTGGAGGCGTTGCAAAGTGGAGGAGGGCAAGAAAGGGGAATGAGAAGCGGTACTGTGCCAGCGCCTCTAGCTGTGGGTCTCGGTGCCGCTTGTGAGCTGGCACAGACGGAGATGGATGTAAAAGAAACGAAAACTGCCAACCAATGTATCTCACACGATAAAATGCGCATATAATGTTTTTTCCTCCAGTACGACCACAGGCACGTCAGCACGCTAGCGAATCGCCTGATCGAAAAGATAACGTCGAATTTACCGCAAGTTATACGCAACGGCGATCCCGTGGCCTGGTACCCTGGCTGTGTAAATCTGTCGTTCGCGTGCGTCGAGGGCGAATCGTTGTTGATGGCGCTGAAGGAAGTGGCATTGAGCAGCGGTTCGGCATGCACCAGCGCAAGCTTGGAACCCAGCTATGTGTTAAGAGCAATTGGCGCTTCGGAAGATCTGGCTCATTCCAGTATCAGGTATGTAATTCGATTGAATAGTTAAAGCTCAAATTCCGCGCTGTGTGTCAATCATCGTTTGGTCTAAATACAACCAGGTTTGGCATTGGACGGTTCACGACACTCGAAGAAGTCGATTACACCGCGGAGAACACGATACGGCAAGTGAGACGACTACGGGACATGAGGTACACAATTTCGTCGATCATACAAACGTTTATTTCAAGTGCGATGTAAACTATCTAGATTTACATACGCCTCACTTTGGCTTTGATATTGAAAATTTTTCACGGAGGGAACGACTCGATCGCTGGACGTTTCTGAGATCGTGTTTACTTTCTATTTGCCGCTATACATACAGATCTATTATCGGCGATGATCGGTTTGGTGTGACGCAAATCAATGCCAAAATATGGATCGCAGATCCTAACTCGCTCGATCTTTTGCAGCCCGTTGTGGGAGATGGTGGAAAATGGCATCGACTTGAAGACTATCAAATGGACTCAACACTAGTGCCTCGTTACGATGTAGCTGTTACAACCTTAAGTATACAATATGTACGTTGATTAAATGTAATGTGATATCGTATAAATTATATTAACAAGGGTCGAGTTTAGAAGATCATTTCTCGATGCGTAATAAATTTTTATTCGGAAATCTTTACCGTGTTTTAGACCCGACCTGTCCTGTAGGATCGCAGCTTGCCGTTTATATATCTATCAGTTCCACGGGAATCCTTACCATCCATTCTTAGTGAATGACCTTCCCTCATAGGAAAGTCATCTACGATAAATGCTTGATACAAAAAGTTTCACATGTTTTTTTTTTTTTTTCTTTACCATTGAGTAACAATATGACTTTTGGAGAAAGAAAAGAACAAGGGCCGTGTGGTGGTCTTAATAAATTAACACAAACACGACGGATCAGCCGCTTCATCGATGTACGAAATCTTAAATCGATCCTTATCCATCTCGTGAAGCTCCATTCGGGATCGATTAGCTTCGACCAGATGTTGCGCTATATCTTCAAACATTTCGTTTACCCCCTCACCAGTTTTGCAGGATGTCTTGTATATTCCCGAAATGAGATTATGACATTGTTCGCTAGATTTAAGTTTTGTTAAATTTATAATGCAAGTTCAAAATTAATTGCGAGAAAGAGAGAGAGAGAGAGAGAAAATTATTGGAATAATTACCAAAATTGTTCCATCTCTGCATCTGTGACTTGTGGTGCGACACTCTCCAAATCACTCTTGTTTCCACAGAGAAATATTTTTGCATTTTCTGCATACGTAACTATATCGAGCAAGTGTTGGGATAATAGATGAAACGATGTAGAGTTATCCAGGGCAAACACAAGAATGGCAGCTTCCGCAAACTTGTAATAGCTCGATGTAACAGATGCTACTCTTTCCATACCACCGGTATCCCATAATTGCAACTAACGAAAATAAAGGGCATGAAGTTAGAGAAGTTTACTCCAAAGGGACAATATTATGTATCTACTTTGTGTTTTACACTGTTTATCTTTGGTAGCATATGTATTGTACTGCACACAAAGCAGGAAAATTAATACTTTTCATCTCTTCTTCTCTTTTAACAGATTCAAGTAGAAGAAGAGAAGAAAATTTGCAAGTAAGCACAACCACATGCATTCGCTCTTGTTCAGTTTACAAACACGATTGACCAAGTCAACATTGAACACTCACACGTATTCGTCTGTCTTCGACAACGTACTCTTTGTCAATGTTGTCAAGACCTAGAGTCGATTTACGATCGTTACTGGCTACGAACGTGTTGTTTGCGAAACGTCGAAATATAGACGTCTTGCCTACTCCGTACTCGCCGCATAAAATAACCTTTTGCTCCGTTACTTTGACAGTAGCCATGTCGTCGTGGCGCCGGCTATCACTGTCGATGGATCATCGTGCACGTCGTCCCTCGTCAAGCTAACGTTAACGTTAAAAATGAACGAGGAGAGGCTACCTCGATACTTGGGAATAAAATTGTCGAATCGACACGTTATCACGATCTCTTCTCTATAATGTTGTCGATTGCGACTAGTGACAGCAAGCTAACCGGTGATCATTACGCGTTTTATACAGGGTGTACTATGAAAAGTAAATTGTAGATATGAGTATTACACAAAGTTGATATTAATGTATCTGCACATTGTATTCTTTCATGCTTCAATAATTAATCTTAATGACGATAATCTTTATCTACTTTCTTCTTCAAACAAACATCGATTTTTATCAAACTATTGACATTAGGAAACGAATAAGGAATGAATTTCCAATTGGTATATCCACGTAATCCCCGATACAGAGTTACGGTAACTTTCATTTTATGGAAGATCCTACAGATGTGGGTATTAAAAAAAAAAGCACAATCCGATGAGAAAAGTTAGACGTGAACTAAAATTTCGTGAAATTGCGCGCTTTCGATAGGCCAACGTCATAGTTCCGATATTTGGTCTGTTCTTTTTAGCTACACTGCTGAACTGGTCCAATAAGTTAGAATGGCACAAATATATTTTGTACGCTGTATATACTCACGCTTCAATATGTGTAAATTTCTTAAATCAGTGCAGCCAGCTAAAAACAAACAGACCATATATGCTGATGATTGCAACCGATATATCAGATTGGCTGATTTTTTTGTGCCTATGCAACTATTCTAGTGTGTATGAATAGGCGTTAAGATATGAAACAGCGGCTATGTTCTAAAATGCAGTGCTGAAAATCCATAGTTCATGTTACGTATACTATAGATGTTCAGCACTGGCAATGAATATTGGAATGCGACCGATGTCGACGGTAGTAAATTGAGAAGTAAGGTATACGTTTTCAAAAGTTTCGAAACTGTTAAATGTCTCATCATCACAATTTCGAAATTTAATCCCGCTTCACCTGCTCCTTCATTAAATGCGCACGAATGTCCGTTGTGTCATACAATGCGCGTACAAATCTATAAAAATTATGTACGTTACTTGAAAACAAGTAGTACTTGCGTTGTGGTATTGGGGTAAGTTGATAACAACATTCAGGATTGCTCGAAAAGTTTCGACGGTTTTTTTGTCGGTGTATAGTTGTAGTTTCTTTTTACAGAGGCTTTTGGTATTTGTATCAGCTGCGACAGATATCGCAGATCGTTCGGTCCACCGTGAACACGAATGTGTTAAAGTTGGAGGAAGTGCATCCGCAATACATTTACATAAATGACCCTCTATTTAAAGGTAATTATTTTTATAATATGCAACATAACACTCGATATATTTTTCATAATTCTTGTATATATACTACTATGTACCTTTTCGATTGATCAGATATCCTCATGTTCGGGAAGGATGAGGATTTATATAGATCCGCACTGGAGAAACCGCGAGGTCTTGGTGACATTTTAATGAAATGGTGGAAGGTGTACAGTCATAATTTAGCATACAAGTTGCTGTACATGGCTCAACATGGGGATAAAAATGAACGATGTAAAGCTGTGACTGTCCTTGGTTCTCTATCCTATTTAAAAAGTACGCTCCCTATTTGTTTACATATTTTAGTGTCATTGTAAAAGAAAGAAGGATTTTTTGTAGAGCTGTTTCCTCAAAACATGATAAATTGATCTTTCTCAGCTTCTTGTAGAAAGGTCTATTTAAAGTATACGTGAATAAATAACAATAGTAAATTAAATTACAATATTATATGCAATATATGATTTTTAGATTGGCAATATTGTCATTTGGCCCAAATGTTGGATGCTAAAACAGCGGTAGCTCTTGCAAGAATACCAGATGTTAATTTACAGTTCTTTCTGCAACCACCATACTATCATATACAATATAAATTACATGTATGTATGCAACATGAATGCTTTGAGAAACTTGAAAAAGAAAAATACACTAAATATATTCGTACCATGCATAAAAGGAAAAAGCGTAATAAGGAGATGTGTGTTTACATGTTTTAAGAATATTTTGTTAGTTTTGTGAAAACATATTTTCCCATATTAACAAGTAAAATAATTCATCTTTACAGGATATCTTAGAGAAAATACACTCATTGCTGTTACTTTTGGATACACTATGTAATAAAACGCATCCTTGCCTGACACAGTTTCTCAGCAAAAATTTCAAAGATTTGCATCGAGTAAGTATATGGTAATGGATATTGATAGATGGAGATAAGGTCAATTATAACACAAGAAGACTTGATGAATGAAACGGAGAAAATTTAATATGTGCAATTGGAGTGTCATTGTGCAAAGTAACGAATAAATGATGGTTACATTTGTAAAAATGTCGCCACTAGATCACCTTATTTCTGACATATATATATGGCGTTGCAATTTAGTATCACCATCTGTGATAAATATTATTATCTCTTTTTACTCAATTAGTAATATAAAGCATTTTTCTAGGATGGTTTTATCTTTGATCACGATTTGACAAGTATGGGCCTTTTGGCAGCACCAGTGACAATTTGGGATAGCACTTTACTCAAGTGTTGCGTTCAATCGATCTGTCACCATTCTTCTTTAGAAGAATACAGCAAACGTGAGTAAATACCAGAAATACCCGTGCGTAATTTTACAAAGTGATTTAAGCTTTGTTGATCTTGTTTAATTTGTGAACTTTAGACTTGGTCGATGCCGGAGCTTTGCCAATACTAACAGCGATAGAAAAAATTTGCAAAGACGATATAGAAATGTGCATACTGCTTGCGAGAATAATATCCAATGTGTCTCTTCACACTGAATATTTGGAGAAAATCTTTGAATCCGGTAAGACATGCTTATACTAATCTGCCTGTAATGTAAACGTGCGCCACTACATTGTTGAGATACATAATAAAACTGCTTTCGACAAGGATGGATCGGCATATTGTCACGTTGGTCACGTAGCGACGATATTCGTTTATCGGCTCAGGCTCATCGCGCATTAGCAAACTTAGATGCAGAGGCGAACGAAGGAGCGAAATATCCACGGCGTATTTATCTTCTTCATCCTTCGCACAGAAATCATGCAACCACAAAGATGGATGTTGTGTTTCTGCACGGGCTACTAGGTGGAGTTTTTGTTACCTGGAGACAACGTGATGCTGACACCTCTGCACTCGGAGTTGTAGGTTGTAGATTCGTATAAACACTAAGACAACAATTTCTCTTTTCCTCATTTTATTAATATTTTTTTTTTAACGGATTGTAGATGACACCACTCCGAGGCAAACTGCGGATTACTTGTCTACTATGATTGACGATGATCGCCCTCAAGAATTCTTCAAAGACCTAGCTCGCGATCTACAACTGCGCGAATGGAAGAAGATAGGCCACGACTTTGAAGTAATATTGGAGGATTGCCCGCAAAATACCAATTCTCGCGCTAATGGGCCTTACTTTTGCAAAGGGTATCGCATGTCTCTACATTTTTACGTGTTTCACATCGGATTATGATCAGTCGTGAATTTTCACACGCAGTATTTTCAGGAATGATTCCTGCATGAACAATGGCCCGGAACTTGCGTCTAAAACGCAATGTTGGCCGAAAGACTGGTTGCCTATGGACGTACCGTCCTTACGAATCATCGGTATCAACTATGACACAAGTTTGTCTATGTGGACTCCTTTCTGCCCAATAGAGAGCATGAAGTGAGCGTTATATTTCGTTTATTTATTCGCTCCTTTACGAGATACTTGCTTCATTCCTCCTAAGCTTGAGAGGCTGGTTGAATATGTATCGATGATCCCGTTTTGATTTTATATACATATACATTTTATATACATATATATTTTTTTTTTTCTCCTAGGAGCACTATCAAAGAGAGGAGCGAAGAATACATTACCAAATTGATAATGGCAAATGTGGGACAGCGATCTCTTGTATGGGTCAGTCACTCGATGGGCGGGTTGTTAGTTAAAAAAATGCTTGTAGAAGGTAAGTTGAATTTGCACGTGGTTTTATACGCGTAAATGTGTATACTAATATAAAATTCCCGTTGTATGCTTTTATCTGCTGACATGTGATGCAACCGTGTTACTTGTTCTGTAGAATGGAAAGCTGGGGACAAGAACGGCATCTGTAGGAATACCAGGGCTATCGTATTTTACAGTACCCCTCATCGAGGCTCTCATGTGGCGGCTTTGAAGCAGACAACGCAAATATTGGTATGGCCGACGGTCGAAGTTCAAGAATTACGCGAAGGTAACGGTACAACGTTTCACCTGTCTACGTCCAATTGACACGAAAGTAACACGTTTCAGAATCGCCGGAATTGTTACAACTTCACGAAGAGTTCCTAGAGATGTTGAAGGAACATCACATAGAGATTGTGAGTTTCGGCGAAACTAAGTCTACGCTCGTAACTGCGCTCAAGTTATCCTTCCAATTCGTCAGTCTTGATTCGGCAGGTAACGCGAATTACTCGCAATTGTATTTGTGTCGCTTGTTCGTTGATGGTTTCTTGATAAATGTAACTTGTCGAGATTTGTATCGTTACAGAACGAACTATCGCGCAATACTGTTGTGTTACTCGTATATACTTTTTTCAGACCCTGGAGTGGGGGAGTTCTTTGAGATTCCGCAGGATCATATATCGATATGTAAACCAGCTAGCAGGTAAAAGTCTGGAAGTAGTGATTTGAATTTTCTTCATGTGATGTGAAAAGCACTATTGATAAGGATCGGCGGTATTATCGACAAATCGAATTTGTTCTTGAGACTTTTTTCACTGGCCAATGGTGCTTCGAATACATGCATGTCCGTCGAATGTTGTTACCTCCTCCCTCTCGTGTACAATTAATATCGGAAGTAATACAATACTATATTTTCTGTTTTCAAATAGGCAATCCTTCTTATACCAGAAACTTTTGAGTGTGCTCAAACGCCAATTTGGTAATCCTCAGGAAGAGGGGAAAATACTTTCGTCGATTAGGTATTTACTATCTTTACCAAGTAAGTTACTTTAAACTTGTATATTACGAACATTTTGTATATTTTTGTATGAAAGAGATCGAGGGAATATGCATGTGACCATTTATTGTAAAAGGAGAAAAAAGAAAAACTTGATAGATGACAATCTGAATAATTCGGTCGATTCATTGAGTTCACCTTACTGTTCGATTGATAGAAAAGGGATATTAAAAAGCGAGTATAGAAAGAGAGGGAGTACAAAGAGTAAGGAACAAAAATGAATAAATTCAATAACAAGAGATGACGGTAGATTTCAGCTTGCAAAGCGGCAGATGTGAACACAGAGAAACGTAATGTTAATACACCACATAGAAGAATATAAAAGATAAGAGAAATGCATGAAACGCTGCCTGTACATGGAGACGCGGCGATCGGTGTCGAAGGCATCGCGATGCTGTTGGAAGAGCAGGTTGATCTGTTGTCGATGCTCACCCAAGGTGCCGAATAAATGAAGTAAAATTGATACAGTGGTAGGAGAAATTGCTGTTTTATTGCCGTGAAATTTAGAAATTGGTGTCGTAATCGGGATGGTGACGGCTCGACAAGTTTGTAGTACTGTCGTAACCACCGTATTTGCTGCTGGTGTGCGATGGATTGTAATAATAACCATTCCACTCGGATCGCCAACTATCGTACAAATTATACTTCTTATTGTCCTGGAAAGGTTTATCAACCAGAATCTGAAAAGGCGTAAATAGATCAAAGTCCAGTTAACTGTTCGCGTCTAACGCGACTGATGCGCAAACACGCGTTAGAAAAGCTTACCTTATTAGACGTAGACTCGAAGGACTTGTCGTTCCAAGAAACGTCGGGATCGGTCCATATCGTGTGTACTGGTTTCGAGTAGTCGTTCGATCGGTGACTGGATGTGTGTTTCACCACTTCCTCCTCGTAAATCGTAGACATGGCTGGCTTCAGTTTTGCGCCGTTTTGTCTATTGACGAGCTGATAAATGATCTCGCTTACTTTCCGTTCTTAATATGCACACAGTAAGGCAATAAGCGAATGTTGCACTCACCACAGACACACCGAACACGATGATGAACAATAAACCTCCAACACCTATCACTATTACCGCAATGGCCCACTGAGGTATCAGCCTATCGTCTTTCTCAATATATTGTGGCGTGCTCAATTTGGGTATCACTGCGGAAAATAACGCAAAAATATCGATCGGTCAGGTAGTCGAAGACAGATTGACGTACCTACGAAGTCTGTGTATTTAGGATCGATGGTAAAAATTCCCATCCGTAACGCGCCCTTTGTGCTAGTCTCGTTCCACCGATTGCTATTGTACGTTCTGAGCGAATCGTGGAAAATAACTTTCAACTCTTGCGTGTTAACTCGTTGCTGTAAGTCGGCCAGTTCGACAAAGTAGTCTACCAGGATGCTACCTTGACTGAAAGCAACGATTACACACATTCGTGTCAAGAGAGTCTAGATATTTGGAACGTTTAGAATAGAACGAAATTATACGAAATTATTGCCAAGAATTCTCTATAATTATAAAGAATCGGATGAATGAATAATGACGATTGCAGAGCCGAAAGTCGACATTATCACGTCGGAGCGGTGATCTAGAAAATTGAGAAGTGAATACCTGAAGGAATCGATCCTTATATTTTTGTACCATTTCGTTAGAACGGTCGATTTCGAGAATATAAAGTTCATCTGAAAAAGGAAAAGTCTTGGGATATTACGACGAGTATAAACGACGAGTAAAAGAGTAATCGCGCGGTGACAACACCTCTCGTTCCACTTGGCTCGCGAGCTCTTGCCACTCGCGAGTATTTCGATCAAACAGCTCCGGCAGCCACGTGGCGTTCCCGATGATGCGAATCGTGCCCGCGACTTCGCATTCCTCGTCGCAGACACCGGGTGTCGTCGGTCTCGGTGTGGTCGTTGTCGTCGACGTTGACGATGTGCTCGAGATCTCGTTCGTACTGGGAATGAGCGACACGTTCACGGACGCTACCGTAGCTGTTCGCGCAGCTTCCAGCAACTTTTCGATCGAGATCGGTGTGGTGGATGGTGTCGGCCACCCGGTGAACTCTGTGGTAGCTCTGAGATTTCGTAGTTGGAAGCACAAATTAGCGTGTATGAATTGTTGAACGGCAATCTCGCAGCTAATCGCTTACCTAGTCGGCCATCCCTTCTGTATTTTAGGCGTCACTGTGCCTGGACCATCTCCACGCGGAGCTTGCGGGGTGGTTATTTTGTGGATCGGTTTACGACCGCCCGGTCTGCTAGGGAATACAATTTTCAAGCCACTGGTTTTCTTCGTGGTAGGCGAGTCTGTCCGTTCCGTCGTATTTCGCTCACCGTCGCGCTTGCCATCCGGCTCCTTCTTCTTTTCACCGTAATCCTTGGGCAACAAGGCGGAGAGGTCGACTTTGGAAGACGCGAAAAGATCTTGGATGGACAAGGCAATTTTCTCCGAGGAAGTGCTACTTTTCGCCGTTGTCGTCGTCAATGTGGTACTCTCCAGCTTGGAGTCTCCCTCGATCTTCCGCTTGCCGTAATTGGCTGGCAAGAGAGACGAAATGTCGACCTTGGCGAGAATGTCGCTCAAGACAGAACTCTCAGCTGTATCCTCTTTCTTCAGCTTGTATCCCGCCGGTAAAAACGCGCTAATGTCTTGGACGGCAACCGTCGATTTTGTCGTCGACGGTGTCGTTGGTGCTTCCGTCTGCCGCGAGGAAGGCCACCTGAACAGTAAAGTACAAACTGTAATCTGACAATAACGAGATAAGAGACTAATCATTAATAGAGCGACTAAATGAAGTAAAGAAAGGGACCTGAAATTGATTCTGGGAGAGGCCGGTGTAGTCCCTCTCGACACGTAATCCCGAGGCAGCAAGCCTTCCAGATTGTCGAGCGTGGTCTCCAGCCGTGGCTTCGCCGTGGTGTGATTCAGTCTTTTGTCGCCGTAACGTCGCGGTACAAATTTCCCCGGGGTGATCTGCGTTTTCGCTGTGGTGGCGGTAAATTTCGCGCGAGTCGTGCGCTCTCTTTCAGCCAGTACGTCCAACTGAAGCGTGTTGCTCCGGAAACCCCCGCCGAGTATAGCAGCCGGCACGAGATCGCCGGAAAGCTTCGACTGTGCCCAGTCGAGCTTATCGATGATACTCTCCGTGGACTCGGACGGAGATTGAGACGTCTTCTTACCGTCGGGCGATCCGCCCTGCTGCTCCACACGATCCATCACAGCGGGAAACGGCAAGAAGCGCGCGCCCGATACGCTGCGGCTGGTTTGCACGGAAGCGAGGATCCTCGACGAGTCCTCCGTGGTTACCTCCGGAGTTAAGGGTTGTTCCGACGACGGTGGCGGCGCGACTTGTTCGGTGGTGCGCGGCGAGGACGTCGTCGGCACCGATATCGTACCGTTCACCACGCTCTTCGTGGTTACGACGGAAACTACAGCTTCACCTATCAAGATGGAACTGTCAAAGGAGGTGTTGTTGTTGAGCCGCTTTTCCACCTCCTCCTCGGCATCGAGAAAAGCAAAACTCTTGTCGCTGCCCTCCATAGACGAGCCTTGTTCCAAATCGCCGTCTTCCTTCTCGCGCGACGACGCGGTCGATGACGGTCGGTGAGGGATATCCTCGTCTCTCTTTGCAGAATCCTTCTGACCCGTAGCGTCTTCCTCTTCGGACTCTGCGTCTGGATAATCGAGGTTTTCTCCATCTGGTACGGACAATCCACGTAAAAACAGAATCGATCGTTGCGTCGATATTCGGTCATCGAACCGAAACTTACCTACGGCCTCGTATCTGGAACGATTTTCGTTCTCGTACTCATCGTAATAATAATACGTATTGTCATACTGATTTGTCGAGGGGTCTTCGAAATAATCTTCGTCCCTGGAATTGTCTTCCGCCTCAGTATTGGACATGTTAGCTTCTTTCATCGGAGATTTCTCTCTCCTTGCTGCGCCAACCGAAGGATCTTCCTTCTCTTCTTCCTCTTTTCCTCGCTTATCTTCGTATTCCTCAGCGTCGTACGTTAGCTTAGGTTCCTCCTCCTTCTCTTCGTCGTCTCCTCCTCCCTTCGACGTGTCCATCACGTTGTTCTCGTCCGGCGAATGTCCCAACGATGCATCAGCCTCGTTGCTCGATGGGGATGCAGCATTTCGATCTTGTTTCTCGTACACCGAATTCGTTGGTATCAGTTGCGAGAGTTTGTCCCATGATCGAATCGTTTCTACAAATTGACGATGAACAATTTCACAGAAATGTCATTCCTCAGAGTGCTCTTTTAAAGTTCCGAATATAGCGGAGGTATTCGTCGAATTTATATACTCGATATCTGCTAAAAGTTACTTGCACGAGAACTTTTGTTTCCACCTCTTTTTTTTTATTCTTATTACTGCAATCGTCTTCCGTCCCGTAATTTCTGATTAATTATGAAATAAATGTTTGCGCGGCGACCGAGATAAAATGTCGTTCTCTCCATTTCTGTCCGTTTTTAAGATACTACGAGCAACTTCGGTCGATACGTAACGATTCAATCTCAAATTCTCACTCTTTGTTATTCACGAACGGATCTAAGTCAAATTACGTTTCGTTAATCTCGCCGAGTTCTTCTTACATCCGTAAGTGTGCTTTCGTACGATGCACAGTTATGAAATTGATCTCTTGCAGGAAAAATTGTCGATTATTCAACGTGGTAAAAGTCGGGAAATAGAACTAATGTATATTGTAACGCCAAATGAACTCGAAGAAATTTGAAATTGGAGGCTCTGCGCGCGATTTAATTTCCTCTAATTTGGAGACTCTCGAGATTACACGATTTCTACTTGACCCGCCTACGGCTTTCTCTTCGACGTTGTAATTCGCGATTGAAAAACGCTTCATTGTGATCGTGTATGTATTTATGAGGAGAAGCAAACTTCGGAGCGACCGGCAGAATGATTTATGACCGTTTCCGCGGACCGATCACGCGGCGGGGGCATTTTTACCATAGTGAATTATGCGGCTGTAAATAATACTGCGATAATATATATTTCCCCCAACGAGGCCGACTAATCAGTTGGAATTAATAGATCGGCATGAAGTGAGTATAAATTTAAGGCGGGGTCTCTCGTTGATACATCCTTAAGATTGTGAGCAGCGTTGCCTGTAATAAAATAACAATTGCGCAAAAGGAACGATCGAATAAGATATTGAGACGGAATATTCGATATTTATTCCTCGTCATCATCGCGGAGACCTTGAGGAGACACGGCTGTCGAAGAGAATTCATTTCCCTCAATAAAATCGTGAATTAAATTTCGGTCAATCGACGTCGTTGGCGCATTATCGTGATAATGAAATCAAAGCCACACCTTACGCCAGATATTATCGTGAATATTACGTTCGAACGTGATGAAATCGCGGTAATAGATAATCCTCGGCACTAACGCGCGGTAAAGATCCTTGCTCTCAGCTTGCTTTCGACTGGTAAAGGATCGATGCCGAAGGCGTTCATTCGCGATTTGCCGAATCTAAAGTCTGGCTCGCTCGCGAACGATCCATTTTCTCGGAGCGCGCCCTCCAAATGCCATCGTCCCACGCGGGACGGATTTTGAAAGGAGTTGAATTTTCCGCGCTGACGAGGATCAACCGAGAGAGACAATACTATGAGAGCGTTACGAGAGATTATTACACACTTATGTAACTCGCGCCGACTCGCAAATATCTCGCGCAATTCAGCCTGCATTGTGAATAGACACGGCAGTAAAATCCGATTTTGTACGCGTGTTTACGAGATTATTCGGAATGTTTCGCACAGTTATCCGAGCGAATATTTCTCAGCAACGCGGCGTCCTCAATAGCGATATCAGATCGCGCAATTCGTTTAGTTAGCTTCCCGTACGATACTTTCACGACCACGGATAGGAAGTGGCCGAAGTGTAACGGGTGTGAAAAAGGCAACCGACCGTTCTCCTTTCGATCGTCCTTCGGCTCGTAAGCCAATGGGTCGCGCGAATTCTTAGATCGCGCCTCTATACATTTGTACGCAACGCCTCGCGTGCCGATACACTTTTAGCCTAGCCGCTTTCTACGAGCTTGTTGTTCGCTTTATCGAGATATGAACGGAACGATTACGTATATATTTATTGTACACACGTATCTCTCTCTCTCTCTCTCTCTCGCGTGTATTACATATAGCACTTTCTACAGATCCTGTTTTTCTCTCCAAGATTGCAAATCGCGCTCGGAGTTACTTAGCTTACGTCGCGATAATATCGTCGATATTTTTTTTTCTCTTCCTTTTTTCTTTGTGCGATAACAGTGCAACAGGGAGACGAGAATTCCACCAACGAAGAAAATCCGTTGAAACTTTGCCACTGACATTTGAGCGAGGCCACGCACATGCAAACTTACCGCGCGAGAGCTCGTTCTCTTTCACACGCGGTCTCTTGAAGGCGAACTTTGAAAGCCAATGCTTTTTACTACTTTGTCATTGTACGCAAAGAGACTTATCTGTGAAGAATTTCGACTTCTTCTGCGCGATCCTGGTGAAAATGACATGTGTGTACGTGGAGAATACGCGTGCACGAGGTGCTACTTTCTAGCTCGCTCGTACGGAATGCTAGACGAGTTCTTTCGACGGACACGTAGTCGTATAATCGAGCGAATAATATGTACGATGATGAAACGTCGCAATATATTGACAATCGTGCCGGGATATCTAGATTTCGATACCTGGGGGTCTCATGTACATCGCGCGATTTTATTAATCGTTTAATGCGAGTAATGTTCCAAAAGGTAACGAAAGAGCAGCGGCTGAAATGGACGAGCAATAATATAGCACATGTTAAATATGTGTAATGCGTGTTTCTCCTAGATTTCATCCCCGCCACATAATTCGTATGATTGTGTGTGAACTTTCTCTAAAATGAAGATCTCGAAGGCCGCGGTTACTCTCGAGAGATTAGCCACTCATACGTTATTATACTTTCTCAAGTTGACGGTCTTATTTTTGTGGATGGAATTTTCCAATTTTTATCCATCCTAACGAGAAGGAACAAATACAATTTGTGTGACAACTTTTGGACGTGAAATGAATGAGACGAAAGTAAAAAGGGAGACGTACGATCCCAAGTGACGGAATGTTTGAGAAAAAAACATGATAATGGAGGCCGACGCATTCCTGATTTCTTTGCGTCAGGCTTTCTTAATCTCGCAATTTCGCTCGCGATGTTGCGAGACGTCTCCGATGACCACCATCCGTGGAGGATCGGTCAGATTGCACTGAGAAAAGGCGTTATTCCTCTGGGAAATGAGCCGCGCGGGGAAGGTCGTTATTTCACAACTCGTCGATGCTCCGAATTCCTCGATCACTGTTCCGTATCGCGTACGTGCGAGAAACGGAAAGGATGTCTGATGTTTCTTCCAAGCCTGTTTCAACCGCCCGAATGAGTCGCAATCCCTTTGAATTTTCTCGTTGCATATATTATTTCACGGGCGGCGTCAACGCTTTGGAATGCGCATTTTTGCATCCTTTACACCTCATTAAAGCGACCTGAACGTGGAAGGTCGTTCGTTGCTACCAAGCATCTTTTATTACACACACCCGCGCGATATCGTCCGAATTCCCTGTATTTAATATCGCGGCAAAGAGGAGAAAGGTGTGTTGGGCAACACTGATCACATGACGCGGGGACTATTTTAGGATCCGAATAGTGCGTTCACTTTTCATAACGATGAGGAAGAAAGAACGACGCGTTAGATCTCGCGCGAGAGACCGTTTCGTCCAGAGCTCTCACAGATTGGATAAAGCAAAATATAACGAACAATCCATCCGTGCGATAACAACAAAGAAAAAAATTGCGGAAAGATTGCGCTACTCGCATTAGGCTCGACGACAAGTCCTACGCGGCAATTGTATCGCAATTCTATTGTGCCGCGCTGTACTTACAATTACACGCCGAAGAGACCAACATTGGCTTGTGTTCATGTGATCCATTTTCGAGTCGACCGAGCTCAAGAATGTGCAGCGGGAAAAATAAGAACGGGATGTTACTTGCTTATTTTCCCACGACGGAAAATTCGATCGCGAGATCGATTACGTGCTTGTGTACGCGAGAACTTTTGCTTGTTTGTCCGACATTTCCCAAGTAATGACGGAATCGTAGCCCCTCCGAGAGACGTCCACAAAAGGCTGTCTCGTCGACGCGGCCTTTTTACCTTCTGGCCGAGCGGAGACGACGAGCAGTAAGAGGAGGACCCGCGAGGCCGCGGTGCATCGCCCTGGCGACATCCCTTCGCGATATGTCCCGCGATGTGCGATCCTCTTCAGCTCATCGCGTTCGATACCGTTAACCGCGCACGAGAAGGAGCGCCCGAGCACGGCGCGTTCGCGAGCACGGCGCGCTTGTCACTGGATAGAAAGCAAAATCCCACTTTCACTCGACTGCGAGCAGGCACGTCGAGGCCGCCAGGATCCTCCGCCAGTTCTCCCTGCCAACCGTTCCCTTGTGAAATCCCCCTCTCCGCTGGATCTCGCCGGTTTTGCGCGTTTGGTGGCTCTCCCGATGACAATGCTTCTCGCACCGACGACGTCCTTAACAATTCTCTTTTCCCGCAGATTGCTGAGAGAATTGTAATGCGTGCGATATTATTCAATCGGAACCGATCGAGTCTCATTGCTCACGACCGACATTTCGAGTCTTGTGCATCTGCGTTTTTGCGTCTCTTTAATGGACGAAAAATCCTCCGAATGACGACATCGCCGTCTCTATGGTTAATCCGCGGGCGTTATTGGCTTTTGGGAACTATCCTCGGCCGATAGCTTCCGCTATGGTGAATCGTCTTCCTCGCTCGAGAGTGTTTGACTAACGTTGCACCGATTTCTAAATTTATACATCCGTAGAGAGAGAAGAGACAGTTCGCGAATTGTCTCTCACGAAAACGTTAGAAAATGTTCATGTGTCATGCGTATATTTTTTCTTCAGTTGTGTAAAACATGCGCTCTCACTTTACGATAGCCGGCGTATTGAAACACGGAGAAGATATTGTTGATTCGCGAGGATAAGAGGAGTATTACGCACCAGAGCGACGAGAAACAGGATTCGTACAGGCCTGAGAATCGAATTTCAGGGTCCTGCCCGACGGTACTTCCCCCGACCTTCAAGCAGGCCTTCGCAAAAATTTGCTCCGTCCTGTTGCCACCCGTTCGTTAACCCTCACCGGTGACCTTTACCGGGCCGCTCACAGCATCGAATGCAGATCGATTTCTACAACAAAGAGAGAAATGCGAAACAAAAAAGAAAGGAAAAAAAAGAACTTTGCAAAGTCGAAGGAGCCGGGGAAAATTTGACTCTCATCGATGACTCTATAATGATATATATCGTACGCGTTCGATACAACGCTTTTTATTTTACAGCTGTTCGTTGATAAAAAAATGTAAAAAGAGCTCTGCCAAGACACAAGTCGGATGAATTTCATAAGGATTCCGTGAGAATCGCACGTGAAACTGCTCTCGATTGTTTCGTACGCGCTGACGCAACGCTCCCGACTTCGAGGAGTCGTTTAACTTACCAATTTATATTCTTATCGACGTAGCAGGAAGTGCAATGCGCACTATATATAGCGTACCGCGTAGCGGTACAATGTGAAAAATATATCGCACGAGTATCTATGTAGACATTTTTTTCTTCACATTCGGCAACGATATTTATCAACAATGCGATAAATATTACAGGCATGTACACAAATTTTTTTCTTTCGCTATTTACACATGTTTACTTTATTATAATTCGAATTTTTTACGCGAAACATATATGCAACATAAGCGTATAATATCGAAAACACGATTTGACGATGATGCAATGGACACATCAACTGAAATGCTAAATTTTTTAAATATTTATAGTTCTCAAATACTGTTATATTTTTTCTGAGAGAATGCGCGCGTAAACATGTGTATAGTGTTCTTACCTTTCAATCAGTCTCAATTATCCTTGACATTGAAATTTTCAAGAAAAGCAGGTTCTATGAGTAAGAATGTATACCCAGCGTTGAGGTCTCCGATATTGAAATCTAATGTCAAATCCAGCATTGAAGTCACCAATACTTGTTACTACTAATACCACTATTACTACTACTACTACTACTGCTGCTGCTGCTATTATTGCTATCTTACTATTATTATTACTTATTTCTAGTTATTTATTATATAGTTTAGTTATTTATTATATACTGAAGAAAGAGAATGAAAAGTTCATTCGAACTGTCGTTGAATCGCGCGTAACCCAACCTCAATTCTCTATCAAAGACGATAGTAGTGACTCGTAGCGGAGATTCCAGAACTACATTGTTCAACGATTCGCTAAGCAAATAAATCTACCTGTGCCATCTAGCGGTGTCGTTTCCAACAAAAACTCGACCTGTTACTTTTATTAATATTTCAGTCTTCACTGCAAGCTGCCACCGGAGAATCGAGATTATAATACGATTCAATGATAAGGCAGACATTTTTTATGTTCAAATAATACGAGTCGGTAGTAAATTAGACACACCCCCCGCTTATAATATAATTACAAATTTTTCTCTAGAATATGATATAAAAATATACGTGTTTCTTCTTTTCCTCATTAAATGGGGTAATTGAATTAATCGATAATCATAGGACTATATACAGGCCTAACCGTCTTGAGGGTTGAGATATAACGGTAAAAAGGTGGATTTTTGCCTTTCGGCCTCATGTTGGGCCTGTTCCAGGCCGATTACCATCATGAGACATGACTTAATCGAAAGCAAATTTAAAAAGGAATAAAAAAAAAACAAAAAAAATCGAAGGTGGTGTACTTTGCGAAATTTCGATTTTAAACTTAAAAATCTCAAAATAAGGGTGAAAACTACCCCCTAAAATTTTATAAATATTTTTTTCTGATTCTACGGGAAAAAATGCTATAAAGTTACAATGGTTTCAGATTTTTTTTATTGGCACGACGACGACGACGAGAATTAAGAAACTGGTAGTCGAAGCAAAAATTCGAATTTTATAACTGCCATAGAAGCTCATAGTGTGGGTCAAAAAATCCGAAAAAATTCGACAAATGTTTTCTAAAATAGTACTACCGATTGCCATAGGTTTCGATCAAATCTAATTTTTGAGCGTACCCCTTTCACATGACCCATATATATATATATATAGGTATATTTTCTAATGATTTTACAATATAGTTACTGGTTTGATTGTAAGAAAATCCGTGCGTAGTTTCCTTTATTCGACACACAACCCCCGTCCCTCCCCTCTCTCAATTACTCCACTTTAATTTACATCAATTAAATGATTCGAGTATAGAATTTACACTTTGCGCCGTTATATAAACGCAAAATAACAAATGTTTCCTGATATTACTGACGTTGCTCTTCAAGTAGGGTTTAATATTATTCAACAAACAATATGCTTGTATTACAATATCTCATAACGCAACACAATTCCAGCTATACGTATATAATTGGCGTTAATTTTATTGAATTCTATATAGACAATAATAAACTTGCGTGTATATAATACACAGATCGGCACAATAGACTTGACACACAAAATTGTGCCGTTCTACAACTATGAAATGAATCTAAAAACGTAATCATCACTTAGGCATCATTAATTGATCGCCTAGCGAGTTCCGCTGGACGCATTACCTATACACGGCGCTCAAGAATGGTGCAATTTGTGCTCTAAGGCTATTATGACGATCTGTGCACATCCAGATATAATTATAAATTTATCCTTCTGTTGCCACATCGGCAGATGTATACCATGTTTCGATGCTCAACATTCAACTGAAATAAGAGATAAAAGTTTAGAGATCGTAGCTAAAGGGACAAAACGATCTTCTTTTTTTCTCTTTCGTGAAATTTACTTTGTAGTTGGTCTTCTGGATGGCTCCGAGGCAGTAGGAGGTGGCGGAGGACCTCTACGCGCCAGCTCTTCCAGATAACCCATCAGCAGACGGGTACGCTCAGCAGCCGCGGCTTCGAGTACGAGGAATCTCCGGTCCTTCCTTAAAATTTCCTCAATTTCTGCCAAACAAGCACTATTTTCCTGAACTTTTTTATACGTCTTGTCGGTGATTAATTTCGTCTCCTGGAAGTTTTAGCTTAGTTAGCAACTTCAGTTTCGCAAGATGTATCAATCGAACGATATTAGTTGAACGCACCTGCAAAAGTTCCCGAAAATCCGCCTTAGCAGCAACTAGTTTGTCTTTGATGTATTCCTTGAATTCCTTCTCACACTTCTAAAACGACAAGATAACGCGATTAATGAACGAAGAAGATTCGCCGAAATACTCGCTTTCACAGAGCTAATTCAATGAAACTGCGTTATCGTGACATACTCGGTCGCTAGAAGAAAATTTTAGATATCTAGGGTCATCCTTGAGCAATTTTTTGATGTCCTTCCAGGATGCTGTCAACTCGGTCGAAGCTCCCACCTCGTCGAGCACCTCTCGGAATTTGTCGCGCTTCTTGCGGCCCAACTGTTCGATATGCTCGTTAAATAGTCGTTCCTTTTCTTCGCGATCTAAACTTTCGGCCAGTTCCCATCTGTGGTCCTTCCTCAGTTGTCGTTTTGCCTCTCTCCATGCCAGATCGCCGTTTCTCACCTGCAAATCAAGACACAGTGTGTTGCCTCTCCAGGTCTGTCAAGTGTGACGAGGAGGAGCGTGCAAAGGATACGAACCAAGTCGGCGAGAAGGGCGCTAAAATGTTGAACAGCCTCAGTATGGCGGTGATGCTGCCTCTCTTTATCCCTGTCGCGAAGATGCGTAGCAAGGGTTCTCTGTACTTCCTTTTCCCTCTCGCGAATACTAACTTCCGCCCGTCTTTCCCGTTCTCTCTTCTGCTTCTCACGATCCTCCTCCGAATCGGAATGGTCGTCTCCGTCCTCCTTCTAAATGAAGGGAGAAATTCAGCTGGCGAGCGAACAAGACGAAAAGTTAGATAAACTTACGTCATTGTCCTTTTTGATACTCTTCTCGTCACTCTCCTCGATCTCACCGCTCTCTTTCTCTACAACCGCCTCCTTCTTGTCCTTTCCATTCTCCTCGGTGGGTGCCTCGCTCCTACGTTGCTTCTTTTCCTTTGTACTATCTTTGTCAGTTTTGTCCTTGGTAGATTTGGCGTCTTTACTCCTGTCCGATTCCTTACGGTCTCTGTCCTTCTTCTCCGTCTTGTGATCTTTCTCCCGGTGCCGGTGATCTTTGTCTTTCTCCTTCTCCTTTTTCCGCTCATCCTTCAGAATGCGAACGTAATCTCTAAACCAATCCTCTCTCGTGCTCGCCGATTCTACGACTCTGTACCTCCAATCCGTTTCCAACTTTTTCTTACATTCGCTCCAGTGCGAATGCCTGTCGATGTCTTTGTGCTCACGCAGCATCGCAATGAATTCCTTTTTCACCTGAAAAGCATTTATCGTAAGAGTTTTCATCGCCGAGGAACGATCACCGCTTGCTTACGTACTATTATACAATTCTGCTTTTTTTTTTTTAAGATGAAATTTTCTTGGCTTTCTCTTATCATGCAGGCTTTTAAATAGTATTTCCAACCAATTATTACACGCTCAGCCACATTACACAATCACTTTTATATAGTTGTAATATATAATGATTTGTAATGTGGAGATCAAACTATTTCAACTTGCAAACCTTTTAATTGGTTTTCAAACTATATTTCATTAGGGGTAGAGAAGAAATTCGTGTTCGCGTTCGAGTCAGGAGATATCACAACGTTAAGGGCTCTATATTTGTCGGATTTTTTTTGTTCTTAACGAAATAAGAGCTGGTGGCTGAAAAAAATTACACTCATTATTCCTGTAAAAATGATTATTTCGGAACCAGTCATCATTAAATCCGCCGATTCAATCGAAATTAACCAATCGTCGCGCTACGAGTAATCACGCTTGCGTATCAACGTGTATTTTTTTCTTTTCGCCTTTAATGATGACTGGATGTGTAAGATAAGTAAATGTCTAACTGCTGTCCTTGCTGAAACGAAAAAGTAATGGTTAGTACATTATCATTAAACTCCGAAAAAACATTAGAAGCTCGCAGCCGTCCAAATTACGAAACGAGTTTCTCTTTAATTTCTTTTTTTCTCCTACTCATACTAAAATACCTCTCGGAGAGCTGATCGCTATCTTGGCGATAGCGTTACGAATCTCGTAACACATCGCGTCAATCTTTTACAAATACTGCAACGCTTTTTCCTTCACTTGGTGTGTGTGGGTGTGTATGTATTTTTGTGTTTGATGGTACGTCTTTTACATAAAAAATAACCATGGTCGTTATTGAATTGGTGTTATCTTCTTTAAATAGCGCACCTCTCTCTCTCCTAAGCTTCGATACTTGCAAATCATAATACTGAAAGCAATTAGAGCGAGCAAAATAAGTTGTAACAGAGAGAGATTTTCAAACTGTTCGATCTACGCGAGAGAAGCCTAAGAAATTAGTCCCCGGCACAATTTTTCTCCAAAGTCCCCATTGCGTAATTTGTATAAACGACCGAAATATCTCGTGCGACAGCCATAATGTTTTTGTCGTGTTGAGAAGATCGTACTTGCAAGTGACGATCGATCAAAAAATGATTACAGCTCAGATGCTGGCACATTTTCGTCTCGATATTGCCATAATGGTCGTTACTCGAATCCTGATCCTACAAAGAATTTCGATGCAGTAAGAAGCTCGTGTGCCGCTCAAGCAACTTCTTTATCGAGTGAAATCTCATAAAGATCCACTTGTATTACTCTTGTGACAACGGTAGTCAAGGTTCTCAGAAGAGTATAAACCAGATTGCTTTATAAAAATGCACACTCATTCTATTATGCCAATCTAATTCCGCTGGGATAGTCAAAGATGCAAGGTTTAAGTTCTTTTCGCCACACTGTCGATCACGAATCGTTTGTGTATATTGATTTGACCGTTGAAAAGTTTCGTGTGTAAAAGCTCAAAAGTGTCTCTGTACATCTAGCTTGACGTATTATGTATTGACATAAGAACAATAAAAGAATGGATAGTAATCTGTAATTTTTTTTTCTTTGCATGTGTGTGTGTGTGTGTGTGTGTCTATATATATATATANTATATATATATATATATATATATATATATATATATATATATATATATATATATATATATATATATATATATATATATATATATATATATATATATATATATATATATATATATATATATATATATATATATATATATATATATATATATATATATATATATATATATTGCATATGTATACGTATTCATACATGTGTGTGTGTATATACACACACACACATACATGCATACATATATACATGTACACAAACATACACACACACACACACAAACATATATGTATGTACGTGCACAAAGTGCACTTTACACAATGATAGATGTATGCGAAAAAAAATATGTCGATTGACACTGTCGATAAACGAGACCATGCTGAAAACACATGAAATGTCAACGAAAAGCATGTAAACCGGCAGCTTTACAGAATGCACAAAAAGAGAAATGTATATAATTTCGTGTCGTAGGTGAATTTGTTTTTATGTCCATACACTTGGTAAAAGTCGAGTGGTAGCATTAGAATGGAATGTTTACAATCGGGATAAAGTGTGAAAAAAACTGTAGTGGAAACTAATGCTACCTCGGGCACTTACAGCCCTTTTGTCAAAGTGAATTTACGTGAAGTTTCTCAAATTGGTTTTGACTCTGGGGAAAGTTAATCTTTTGAAGTAACGAGGATTACGAGTAATATACAAATACCGAGTTTGTTCATTCTCATGACTCTGCTTTGGAGTAAAGAATGCGGCGCGCGAGGGTGTGCCAACTGTGCCACGCAGTGTAGGTGGGGATGGTAGATGACATCATCCATGCCACCAACCAGCTTCAGAACCGAGCCACTCCACATACGGAACCTGTCCTGCCTGCCTCCTGACTGAAGTGGAGAGTTCAGAACACATAAGTATATAAGGAACCGTCACATACTAAGATTTTATTCTCTACATCTCCCATCTTAGAGCTACAAAAACTTTTCTCTATCGAGCAAATCTATCGGAGTAGAGAAATTTTATTATTAGAGAAATATCTCCTGGTATATGTGTTCTTCGCAGCCATTATAATTTAGGAATTCATATTTCGTAATTTTTTACAAGTGGAACAAAATAATAACATACCTATGGAACCTGAAAGAATAATTCATTATCGCTGCAAAAGTAAACTTCATTAAACATTATCATTAAACGTATATCACTCTCCTATCTAGAACGCTTTGCGTCTATAAATCATAATTTTATTCTTATACCATCGCGCAAAGCCTCGCTTAGTAATGGGAAGCAATTCTTGGAAAGTACACAATCAAATGATATATAATTATCTAAATGTAGGAACGAAGTGCCGAATAATTATACATATTCAGCCGCAACTTATCGCGAATGTAGCATGTAGTAATACTACATTTATACATGCCGCTTTGAGTATTCTTCTCGGGCAGCATTTATTATCGGGAAGCTTTACATTCGTTAGAAAGAACGACACCTGCCTGGGATGGAGGGAAGAAGGAGCAGGATTTTTATCGGATGAGGCTAAAAAGGAGTAGAGACGCTTTCTTTCCAAACGTAGAGGATTTATGTACACATTTATACGTAAGATGTAACTCTACGATTGAGATTGAAAAACAACACTTGTCAAGGTGAGAGAGAGAGAGAGAGAGAGAGAGAGAGAGAGAGAGAGAGAGTGTGTGTGTGTGTGTGTGTGCGCACGCATAAAAGAGAACAAAATTTACATCGATATATCTTTTGATAGTCTTTCGGAAATAGTCTATATGTACAAAAATCAACATATGCGAAGGAAAGGAGTGAAAGTTCAATAAGACAGAGTTTGTGAGAGGATAATTTGTCATCAATAATAGAGATTGTCTGTTTTACTATTAATAAATTAAAGTTGAGCCTCTATTGACAACAAACAAGTGCAAAATTATTCAAAAACGAAAAGAATAATGTACATAAATCCTCTATGCAGTTTACATATGCGTACATTTCTGGCAGGATCTTGAAGGAGATACATGTCGCTAGAATGCTTGTCTCACTTATCGCATAATCAAAGACCGTTAAAAGTATTTCTAAATTAATCATTCATTCACATTATTAATGCATGTCCTGAAAAATGTCTCTGGCATTGTCACAAAGAACGATTTCTTTTTTATAATGGTGTTAATAAAATAAAAATACCTGTTCGCGCTTGGCTGTTTTTTCTTCTTTCTCCCGCTTTCGCACTTCCAGAAGATATTCGTTGAAAAGGCTTTCTCGTTCGCGCATCTTTTCTACATTCTTAAATCGTTCATCCCTTCCGTGCTTTTGAGCAAAATCGCTAAATGATGATCTACAAAACAGAAAAATTCACGTTTTCACAGTCGAGAGTTCTCTACTCGCGCGACGTATCGGTGAAACGCGCGTTCTAATACATTAAACATACGTACTTTCCATGTAGTCCAGCTTCCTCTAGAAGTTTCTGAAATTGTTCCTTCCGTTCCTTCATCTTATTCCTCTTTTCTCGCCTTTCTTCTTCCGCTCTCTCCTTCACGTACTTTTCGAAAACCTGTTTCCTTTCTTTCGACGTCAAAAGCAAGTAGCGTGGATCGAATACAATCTTGTGTAGTTCCTTTTCCCAAGTGCTAAATGCAGATACCTAAACCGACACAACGATATCCAGCAGTCGCATCGGATTTACAGAAGAGCAGCAGCCAATCGCGCTGGTAGTCATCAACTACATTACATCACGCGTAATAACCGTCTCACCAACTGTATGTATGTACTCACATCTTTCTCCGCAAGCATATCTCTGAACGACTTGATCCTGGTCTCCAACGGAACTATCGCTCTCTCCCTGGCTGCCCTTACCTCGGCTTCTATCGCGGCCTCTTTACCGATGTCGATAGTCTTCTTCCCTTCCTTCTCTTCCTCTTCCTTCACGGGTGTACCTGAAATATAACATAGAGTTGGCACAAAAGAATCGGCACGATTGTGGATGAGTTTCGTTCCACCTTTGGCATCATCGAGTTTCATTTTCTTCGTTGCTGACGGCTGATCATCGTCGCTACTTTCGCTGGTATCTGATTGACGTATCGGTTTCGCCGGACCGACTGCATCCGGTGGAGTCGCCACCATCTTATCTACATCCTGACGACCAATAAGATCATCCGGCCTTTCCCAGACCGATATCCGCGAGGATGGGTTGTAGAAAAATACCCGCCCGTCGCCCGTCCAAACGACGCACCTTTGCACAGAATATGTTCGATAAATGATATGGTGAAATGGATGGAGAAATAAATATCTCGCATATCATACGTACCACGGTGTTCCAGGCACTGGCGTACTAGAAATTGGTCTAGACTTGTCTTGAGGTTTCGCAGGCTCCTTCGCGGCGTTCTCCTCCTTCTTCGGCTTACCGTTATCCGCGCTATCCTTTGTACTATCTTTGGTGTCATGAGCGTTCTCCTGCTGTTTCTCTGCTTTGTTAGATTCCACCGCGGTATTGTTACTGGTAACGGTAGTAGCCGTAACAGCAGTGGTGGTAGGTACAGAATTAGCTTCCTCATTTTTTTGCCGCAGAGCCAATTTTGCATCTGACAAATTGTCGCAAAGATTTCAAGTTTACATCGGGCTGTCATAGACGAATGGGGGAGGGGAGTCTGTGATGCCTATTGTTCACCTGCCGTTATCATAAGAGCGAGAACAACTCGCCGCCGCGTACACTCTTGTTGTATTTCACAAAGTTATCGCGAGAAGGACAATTGTTACGCAATATATAGAGCAAAGAGATAACGCATGACTTTTCTCGCTCTTACTCTCTACTCCGATAAAATTTACCCGTTTGTCGTAAATACATTATAGAATCACAGATTAGACATCGATTGTGTGTATATACGCGCAATAACGTCGTGTTACATACTTTCCAGATCCTTTAGAGCTTGTGGCTTTTCCCACACTGATTCCCCGGCTTTGCTATTGTAATAATACAATCTGCCATCCGGAGCACGATGCTCAGTCCAAACCATAGCGGATGCCACCAGTTCAGAGTCAAGTTGCGCCAATACAGCGGGATCCTCGGCAGGCGCTTGAGGTGCCATTACACCGTGGGGCATTTGCGGCATACCTGAAATATGATACGTCGGGCTGTACATTTTTTCGCTTCTGTCATTTCGCCTTTTTTTTATCCTCGGTATACGTTACCCCAGTTCGCTTGCGGCGGCCCGTAACCCCCGAAGGGTTGGAAACCAGGCGGCGGCATTCCGAAAGGCGCTGTCCCGAATTGCGTAGCAATCGGACCACCAAACTGATTTGGCATTCTATGTTGCATAGGAATCATATTCGGAGGTGGTTGCATCATGTTTGTATTTACACTCGGTGTATTTATCGGTGGCGTATTAGCAACTGTCGTGGGTGCTGCACCTGACGATTCAACACATTTGACTCGATATTTTATAGCTTTATCGCTAGGACAGTATGTATTTCATATACCAAGCAAAGATACTCGAAAGACTTAATCAATTTGGAAATGTTGAGTTAAACACCCCATTACCGTTAGACTGATTTGCTTCAGATGCCTGGTTGCTGACGTCTGGCGTGTCGTTTAATGTAGGAGGTGGTCCAGTGCCAGGAGGTGCTGTACTTAATTGATTAATGGCATCCGTGTTATTAGAGGATGATTGTTCACCCGATTGCGAAATTCTATTTTCGCTAATTTGAGTCGGTGTGCTACTTGACGAAGTAGGTGTGGTAGAGCGTGCGGCTTGTTTCGACGCACCATGTACTAACTGTTCTAACTGCAAAGCAAGATATACAAGTTTATTCCGGACTAATCATGTCAATCGTACAGATTGACAGCGCGTGGAATTTCTACGACACACTTTGGATGATAAGCTGTGTACGAAAATCGCAATACGGTCGTTCAGACGCGTCATAAAAATCAAATAAACTGATATTTCATGCGCTGAACATGTAATTTACGCGATATTCATTTGTTTTTATTGATGCTAGGCAATACGTAGCTGTATTGCAAGAGTTGGAGAGAAAATATATCAGGAACTGGAGTTTGCTGGAGACCTTCTCCGCTTGCCGAGTGACTGTTTTTACCACCGAGCGAGCTACCTAGACTCCGAGGCGATATATTCTCTCTCATCTTTTTCTCCGACTACAATACGTTCACAAGGACATCATTTCAATGAGAAAATAAGTATTGAGCAAAATTTGTCTACGTATACGCCCTTTGCAAAGCTGAAAGGTTAACGTCAGAGAGGCCAAAATTTTCTAGTTACAAGACGAAATCATTTACAAAAACAACGGCAAAGCACAAAAGTGTTATATTCATGATGTTTGACAGGCCTTGTTAATTTTTACCGACCTGATCTTGCACCATGACCTTCACATTTGGTCCCTCTGGTTTAGTCCAGGTAGTGTCTCTCGTACGAATATTGTAATAATATGATTTGCCATCGGATGTTTTTGTCTCTACCCATACTTCTCCATTGAGATCTAAACCTGGAATGTTTGCCTGTTGCTGCGATTGTTGCTGAGGTGGTTGTTGTTGTCCTGGAATCTAGAACAGAATACATCTTACTTGGAAACCTGCTTTTTCAAATTTATCATTGCATATAGATTTTTTGCTGTTCAACTATAAATGCGTATTTTAGTCTACTAATCGTGCAAGAAAAAATGTAAAATCTCACAAGATGCAACATCTATAAATCATTCTCTGTTACATAATACTTACGCTATTCATGTTAGGAGGTCCCATTCCAGGAGGTGGTCCATATGGCCCTGGTCCAGTACCAATGGGACCATTCATCATATGCGGTGGTGGCTAAACCAATAATCAGATTTTACATTTATATATGTAGGATAAAGCCCTTGGGATAATTGTTATAACATTAATAATTACCAAAACTCAAAATCTAAATTAATATGAATCAAACAATTATACTATAAAAGTCACTAGATAATGTATACCATTCCTGGAGGACCCATTAAATTTGGAGGTCCCATTAGATTTGGTGGTCCCATAGGTCCCCAGCTGGGATCAAATGGTGGTGGACCTCGGAATCTTGGTCCAGCTGGACCAGGAGGACAATTTGGCCTTGGTGGACCCTCAAAAGGAAATCCATTGTTAGCTCCGCGAAACATTGGTCCTCTTGGCCCAAAACCTCTTCCTCGGAATCTTGGAGGTCCACCTCTCATAGGGAAATCAAATCCACCTCTGCCACGACCCCTTAAATTATTTTTATACGTTATGACTGTATATACTTATCAATATATCGTAGCAATAATTAAAAAAGGACACAAGCATCTTGAATGTATGCTTTTTATCGGTAAGAGCACCTTGAATATTCTCACATTTTAATATAAATAAATTATAATGACAGAGATACTTTACAAATAAATTATAATGTCATGTTAAATTCAGAAAAAGTCTCATACAAAGTGCTCGTTACGCTAAAATTCAACGTCTCGTTTATAGTCTATTAGGATGACGCGATGCAACAAGGGATGCTAATCGTACAATATTCTCCAAAAGAAAAGGGGATCAGCAGAAACGGCGGTGCAAAGATAATAATAAAATGTATACGAATTGGTCGTAGAAATTTCTCAACTAATGACGAGGGCATACGATCCAACGTATACGCACCGAAAACCACCACGGCCACGCGGCACGAAATGCCTGTATTCATCGCCGTCGTAATTGTACTCCTCCGTCTCCTCCATAGTCTCGTCATTATGCTCCTGCTCGCTGCTGGAGACGGGCTCGGTCGTAATCGCGGGCGGTTGCTCACCGCTCGCGTCCATTGTGTGGACAACTCGCGATAAAGACAAAATCGTAGTTAATAGAGATTCTTACACGCCCAGTTATCGCTTTTTTCTCGGATAGCCAGAAAAACGGCCGCAAACAAATCACTATTTTACGCGACGAGACCTGTAAACATAGTGCTGCCAGTAGTCTCACGGAAATTCCCCTAGGCGCGTCGGTATGGCCAACTGCTTGGTCTTTGCGAAAAGTTCGTTCGTTTTGCCTATTGGGCATCGAGGCTGCGTTCGCTCACTTGCTGTGTGATACGGGCCTGAGGCTGGAGTTCCGTATATTTTCCGCGCTCTTGCAGATCACACGATATCCAATGAGCATGCTGCTTTTCCGGAAGGATTTCACAGAGAGTCTCTCGATATTACCGTAGTTCAGTATACCATCAAGAATGGTGCATAAAATTAACAAACGGGCTGGAAAGTTACTTTCCGAACCGCAAGAATTTAAAAGGCAGCGAACACAATACGAAGACCTAACTGCCGATTTCAAGAATAATTTAGTGGATTTCTCCAAGCAATTTTGTCACATTTATGCAGTGAGACTGGCGGAATTAAAGGAGACATTGATACCACGGGTCACTGCAAAATGGGGTAAGTTACGCATGCTTTCATCTCTCTCTCCCTTTCAAAAAAAATTGTATATATTACTACAAAGACTAACAATAAGCAGATGTTTCATACTTTGTAAAAAGGATGAAGAAAGAAAACGAATACTTGTTTTGGTTCCCGAGTTAGCGACGCTAACTCGAAAGAAAAGTATTTATTTACGGAAGGATAAAAAAATGAATGAATCGTATAAATGTGAACTGTGTTTTGTCATTTGTGTATTGTCTCATTCTCAGATAATGTTAAAATACTGAAGTTGGCGGAATTGGAAGATTTTGAAGGACAGGAGTGCGTAATAATCGGCACCCTTTACAAACACCAAAAGTCGAAGCCGTCGATATTACAAGAGTTAAGCGAAGATCATCAACTTACATTTCCGGAGCCAAAATCAAATTATTGCTCGGAAAATGATGAACTTTTCCTAGAAGATGAAATGTTACGTGTCAAATTAATAGTTGATGTTACGGAGCTAAAGAACTATGTGACAGGAGTTGTGTGCGCTATATTGGGCCACAAAGAGAAAAATGGTACCTTTGCAGTAAGCATCGATTTTTCCGTCTTTTATCTCGTTTTAGGTATCTTCTACATTTTTTCTATATTATATATGGTAAGAGAAAGATTTACTTTTCATTCAGATCAAGAAATGGTGCTTCCCTGGTTGCGTATCAAAGAGTTTGTCAGTCCAAAAGACACAATCCAAGGGAAAACTGGTATTCCTCTCTGGACTCGACTTGGTAAACAGCTTTAATAGTTTGTCACTGAGTCTTTTGAGAGAATGGATATGCGGTATGGCTGGAGATCCAACGGCGCAAGAAGACGTCACTCACGTTATCAGAGTTATCATCGCTGGTAAATCGGTTATATTTCTGGTATAACGGTAAAGTGAACTTTTCATAATACCATTGTATACTACTAGGCAATACCGTGAAAACTGTTACAAAGACAAATACCTTGATTGGACACGCCGAAGGAAAGGCGCAAGATACCGCGATAGTAAATGAAGTAACTGTAGCGACGAAACACATGGACGAGTTTCTCGCCGAAATAGCAAAGTGTTGTTGCATCACTTTGATGCCAGGTCAGCACGATCCTACCAACGCGATGCTGCCCCAGAGGCCGCTACATCCGTGTGTACTACCACTAACATCCAGGTATTGTGCAAATATACATACCACTTGCGGTAAATACGGACTGTAGATCCCGGCGTTCGTCACACTCTATTTCATGCATGTCACACAAATGTTGCCCTATATATTCTCGCCAGATACCAAAGTTTCAAAGGTGCGACTAACCCGTGGATCGGTAAAGTCGCTGAGCGTGTAATAATGGGTAGCAGCGGACAGCCGATCGAGGATCTCGCGAAGGCAACCGGTGCGACGGACATTTCTTCTTTGGAATGGCTGGAAAGAACGCTGCTTTGGAAACACATGTGTCCAACCGCCCCGGACACATTGCCGGCAAATCCTTATTCCGAAAGAGATCCGTTCATTATAAATCACTGTCCGGATATATATTTTGTGGGTAACACAGCTAAATTTGAAACAAAGTTGTGGAAAGGTAAGTGTTAATATCGCATGGCTAGGTGATGTTACTCTAATACTTTTCAGGCGATAATCAATGAATACTTGCAGGTGAGGGCAATCAAGTGGTCAGACTAATTTGTATTCCTCAATTTTCTTCTACATGTACTGCAGTTACAGTGGATATTGAAAGTTTGGATGTTGGATTTGTTTGTTTCGATACTAAATTTGTTGGTATTGAAAGAAGATAGATTAGCGATGTGTAGATATCCGGATAAATTCTTAACTTGTTACATTGTTCATATTTTTGTATCCACATGTGTTCTTTTGTGTTTCTGTGCTAATTTCATATATTATACACTGAGATTTGGAAATAAAAACGTGACTTTGTATTTTTATAATATCACATGTGGTTATTTCGGATTCCATTTCATTATTATTAAGCAAATATATCGAGTACGGGAGATCGAGCAACGGCAAGATTTATCGCGTATCATCGCGTAGGAAATGACGTTAAATGTAGATAAGGTGGATAAACGCGATTCGTATTCAACGATGAGAGGAAAAGAACAAGTTCTGTAATCACCCATTTTTATTGGCATCGTAAAAGTGATGTACAAAATTGAAACGCATGCGATCTTCAAAAAAGTTTGTGAACATTTACCTGGTTATAAAACTTCTAATACGAAAGAAAATACACATGTAGTATCACAGACTATTAGAAAGTCGCGAAATCACAGTGACACAAGAATTTCGTCATTGTTAACGCTTAAATTAACGAATGAAATTATGTCTCACAAATTATAGCAATGATAAGAACATAACAGTCAAAATACAGGGTATTTTTATTCAACTGATAACACAGCTATCCATACACAAGCATTTTTAACACGCGAGCTGCTTTTGTTCTACATACTTCAAATTCACACGCTATATCGAGACTATCTCCTATGATACACGAATTTACATTCTTCTCGCATAATTTTAACGTTGCATCATTATTCTTACCTGTATGATGTAAAAACGCATCTTAAAAGATACAACACAGATCGAAAAGAAAAGTAAACGGAACTTGACTCTCTCTCTCTCTTAAATTCAACTGATTTTGACTGTTACATAAAGTGTGATATTTGCGAAATTAGGTGCAAAAGTTGTAATGTCGGATATATATGTATATGTGTATATGTACATGTATAATACAAGGATTTAAAAATATAAGTTTTCACGTAACAATAAAATCGTAACGTACATTTGTGATTGAAGCGACCGTGGTATCGAAGTCTTTTGTTAAGTGCGCGTCTCGGAATCTAGTATCCCCTTTCTCACAAAATAGAAAAAGCGCACAAGAGTCAGAAGGTACACAGTGCTACGGAGCATTTTACAATTGGCATTTTTATTCAAAGTGAATGTCTGATTGTAACATACATTTTTTTCTTATAAAATCGCTCGATCTGTCATGAGATTCCATTTCTCCCTCGGAATTATAACACTACCTATTATTCGTAACACAGAGGAGGAAATTTGGTAATGCAATGTACGTACGCTAACGTTAACACGACGCTCGTACAATCCTAATGCTTTGGCCAAAATAGCAATGCTTAAAAAAAAAAAGAGCAAGAATAATCAAGAGGTTTCCCATTAATTTATATAAGCAGAATGAAGTTATAAAATTTATATTTATAATACACTTTACAGATTCGTAATACCATTAACTTAAGGTGCATGTTACATGACCGACAGGTATATATAACAATTGACAGGTAGCTTTTCTGCATATAGTAACGACGACGTAGACACAATGTATTTATCAAGAGTTTTATCCTATCTCTTAGCCGTCGGACGTATTCTTTCCTTTTCAGTGTCCCTATCGTCGGCTACTGTCCATTCGGGATCATTCGGATCCTCACCGTCTATATCGCAACAAGCCGATTCGGTCGAATCTGATTCGGGAGAATCCATTTCCACGTCCTAGAAACGAAACACGAGTGGTGTTATGCGCGACAGTTACCGGGACCAACCACATTCAATCCGGTCACTTGGCAATATATATGTATGTATATATATTATACAAAAAATCTCTTCAGGATTGCAAGCTCATGTGTGTGTGTGCGTGTACATATATATATATGTATATATATACATATATATATAAATATATATATGCGGTAGCTATACGCGCGAACCAAGGAGCAAACTATAATATATCGTGTAGAGGTTGCTATAATGCACGGAAAGTAGACAACGATCGCGTCAACATACGTAAGACGAGTTTGACGTGTAATTTTGCTAAATCTGAGAAAGGCGTGACAAATAAAACGTATTACGTTACGAACATAGGAAGCGTCAAGTGGCACTGCTTACCGGAGAGAGATAGCCTCGAGAGGAGCCATGAAAGTTTTGGCTCAAAGTGTACATTAATAGTCAGTACTAGCACCCATACATTGATGTAATTAAAACTTTTCAGATATTTAATGCGAAGACATCAATACAAGTACAATGTACGTACATCATCGGCCTTGTTTCCGTCGCGGGAACATAGAGATGTCGATGAGGCTTGCCAATGTCCATCCGGCATCGCCTTCAGCATCTCGCTGTAATCTTCTTCGGACAGTGGGAATATTCTGGGCTCGTACGACGGGACCTGCGAGAACGTATGTGTGTAATACATGAGACGGTTGCGAACGTCCCGACCCCGTCTCATCGATCGTTACCTCGTTTTCGTCTTCGGTAAATGCGACGTCGTCCCTTCCCAGTCTCAACGTTGACGCGGGCATGGCGCGACGTCGGAGAGCGTTTTGTAAAGCGGTCGGCCGGTGCGAATCCAAACTCGACGGATGCTCCGTGTCCTGTTGCGACGGGGTAGCGGGCGGTGACGTGATCGGCGATATCACGTCGCCGCTTAGGTCGCTAGCGTGCGGCGACATGGGATCTGGAATAATGTTCGATTCTTTGTACTTCCGCGCGATCGAGACGCACGATCGAGCCGGTGTACCTGGCGTATTCGCACCGCTATCCGCCCTGCTGTCAACACGTCGCTGGTTGTGACGGATACGCGTCTGATGAGGCATATTGATGTACGTCATGAAACGTTTGTTTTCCTCCCGCTCGCTACGTTCGTGCCTCAGGGCGATCGTTTCATCCGATATATCTTCAAACTGACGGGGCCCCACGGGTATTAGTGTAAATTTAGACGGATAGAAGGGGCTGCGTTATACTTACATCACTGTCTTCTTGGCAAGGCATATGCATCACACCATTTTTCACGTCCATTTTCGTCGGCTCCTCGCACAATCTCCATCTTTAGTGAGGAAAAGGAAAAAAAATCATTTGATAGAGATATAAAGACGTGCTCAATCGATTTATCCTTAATGGTACCGCACTATCGATGAGTATATAGTTACATTACGAAATAGTCACACATGTGTCTTACTTTGGTGTTAAAATCTCCTTGTATTGCAATTTCTCGAGCCTAGTTGAAGCAGCGACACTGTAGGGGATGACTATATTGTCAATGTCGTACGAGTTTTGTCGCAAACGCCTGAAATATCACACAGTCGAGTTGTTACAAACACGTGGGTACTTGTTTCGAAACACTGGAAGCGATTTTTTCACCGGTGGAGGAGAATCATACTCTCTACTTGATATTTTGGAAGGTATCTCTCTCTCTCTCTCTCTCGCGTGCATGTCATGCAATCAATGCAATAGTCTCGCTAGTGAGAACCAAAAAAAGTGCCGCTTACCCGTGCGAATTGGAACTTTTCTCTTTAACAGCATTTTTCTCCAATGAGGCAGTAACGTGTTGCAATGGAGAAGGCACTGGAGACGAGTGTTTGCTGGAACTTGAAAGCGCGCTAATATCGTCGTCATCCTCGGTCGGCAACTTTGATATTCGTTTCTTATTTAATCCGTGCACGCTTCTCTCGTGACCGATTCTATTTCTTTTGCCATTTTTCAACACTTTTCTCTTGATCCCTGCGTAAGAAGTATGTTATTCATTGCGAGAGCGCAACAAAATTGCATCACTTAATCGGCGCAAAATCGCAAAAGTCGCGCGCACAAGCGGCCGCTTACTTGCTGTAAGAATAGTAGAGGACGATTTCTTCAGTCGCGCGGTATATTTCGTCCTGTGACCAGGAAGTTTCTTACTCCTTCTTTCATTGCCGTCTTTATCTTTCACTCGGGTAACTCGCAAGTTTGCTCTCGAAGTCTTTTGTTGCCACTCCGTCGACTTCATGATGGTGTCTAAATGAGTGCCGTGTACAATTTCTAAAATAAAGAAATTTCAGAGTTACTCGACAACTCTAACAACATGTATACGCGTATATACGTATTTGTTTCTTCCAAGTAATTGGTCAACTTGGCATCTAGAATCTTCTCGATAGCAACATATCGGACATTTTTTTTTTTTTTTCGGTCACTCCATCCGGAGGAACGTCAGAGGTGTAATGTATGCGATGATAAGTAAGTGATCATACCGTCTGGGAACGACAAGACCGGATGAAAACTAGGATCAACAAGTGCTACACGTTCCTGTATAGAAAGTTGTTCAATTGGTTCTTGCGGCTGCATTGGATCAAGCCTTCCTGTACATAAAGCACACGCAGGCAACACATGATCACAGTTGCATCTCACTGTTGACGCTTTAGCTGCACGCTTTGAAACTTCGTGTAGCTTGTCCACTTGCAAAAGCTTTCTCTTTCTAAAAAAACTCCATACAAATGGACGCGTTCTACTAGCTGGTAATTCACTTTCAGACGAATTGTATCGTCCAGTAGAACCGGGTAGAGCGCCACTGTATCCGTTAACGGTTTCCGCATTATCAAGAATAACCAAGCCCTTCGTGGCCCTAATATTCCGCTGCAGATCGTTATGCTGTCTAATTCTGTACTCTAAATCTGATATTTGTGCCTGCAGCCAGGTCCACCGTGATGCTACACCTGCACGATCCTGTGCATATCTCCATGCCGCTCTTTTGGATCTGTGCAAATAATGTAACAATACGATTGGCCCATCGATTCGCAAGTAAGGCGATAAATAAGTAAGGATATATTGTATATATCAGTCTAACGTACAATTATGTACACACGCATCTACGCATCGGGAGATTGAAGAAGCTTCGATTCGACAAAAGTTAAACAACGCTCGAGTGGAGAGAAAGAAAAAAAGCAAGAAGAAACACGACGCGATTACACGCGTACGTAATGTTAGTTACGTATGAGCAATTCGGACACAAATCCAGTATAAATGTGTTTAGAGAAAGCGGCGTTTTCTTTTTTTTTTCTCTCCCTCTCTTGTTTTTAGCAAACAAACGATAAAGAATTCAGAACCGAGCCAGAAAGTGTATGTATATATTCGGTCCGTTTTCTTCCACACTGCGCGAGTAATACTCACTGCTCTCGTTGAAAAGTTACATTTTTGGAAATTGAGAAAATAAAATCAAAGCTTTCGTTGGAAGTGGCGCGATCGCGGAAAAGTGAAATCTATCAAATTAATCTCGGAGATCTCGAAGGAAAATCGGCGTTGTCGTCTAAAACGAAGAACAACGCGAACGAAAGAAGAGATTCGCGAGATGCGATATCAATGTAAAAATCATTATGAAAGAGAAGGAAATTTCGAGTGGTCTTCCCTCGAAACGGGGGTGAATAAATACATTGCGAGATAAACCGACGGGGGGATGGCAAAGGAAGATCTGGTTGAACTCACATGGGCAGATGCTGTTGGTGCGGATTGTTAAAAGTCTGCATTTCGTCGCAACTTTCCCCACCGCTGCTGGATGCTGTGCAATCTGAATCCAAGTTAGATTCCACAACGTGCAGCTGCGTGGATAAAGGTCCGGCCACACTTTCCACTTCTTCACCGTTCAATTTAACTTGGTGAGTACCAAACACTGGCTGACGATTGCTGCCGTTACTGCCAGACGCGCCGGCCAAATTGTCGCGCGAGCCTCCACCAAAGTATCGACAACACACCCTCTGACGATTCGCACTGTTACTCTGGGCGACACACATTTTCTCAATTTTCTGTAGAAACGAATGCAAACTGCTGCTAATCTCAGGAAAGTTTCTGACATTAGATTTCGAACTGATATTGACTAATTCTTGAAACAAATATTTCTTTACTCCATGATGGGCCAATTCGAGAACGCCGGTAGTTTCCTCCGCGACGTGCCTGCCCACCGTCCTCGCCTGAAGTTTCCTCAGTCTTCTCAATAGAAAGGCGCTCCTCCTCTCGTTTTCGAATTGCTTCTGCGCCACAATGTGCTGCAGTCTCAAGTTGTTAGACTTCTGTTGGTCCACCGTGTCGGAGATATTCATGTTATCGTTGCAAAGACTCATCACGTCCACGTCATTAAGTAAATCTCGCTCGAAGGAGGCGAAACCCTCCTCGGCAAACATCTCGACGGCGCTCTGCACGGGCTCGCTGCCGCCCGCCGAAATGTTCTCGGCACTGTCCGCACCCTCGATCGACTTGATCACCTGCAGGATCTCGTCGACGTTGTGCCCGATATCGGCGACATTCCCGATGTTGCACTGCTCGTCGGAGCCGAAGGCCATTATCTGATCGACGTCCAAATTCTTATTGTCGCCCGCAGTCTCAGAAGCCACCAGAGGCAAGTCCGCGCTCGATTTCAAGAAGCCCATGTTGTTCGTTTGATCACCCATAGATGGGACGTTCATTATAAAGTCAATCACCTGCGGTTCGTCCGGAGTGACCGGCCGCTCAAAGTCCTGCTCCGTCAAGTCCTTTGCGATCAAGTCGGACGCGCTCGCGAACGCGGACAGACTGTCGAGATTGCTGGCGTATTTCGAGTTAATGACATCGCGTATCAGATCTTTCGAGACACCGCGCAGACATTGGTCGTCAATCTTCGACGGCTGCACATTCGCCGGGACGACAAACTTGGTCAGGATCTCGCGATTCTGGCACACCTGCGTGGCTTGCTCTGCGGAGAGAAAACCGCCGGCTGGGAGGGAAGGGAGCAAGTTTTCAGGCTTTTGAGGACCGCCTTCCGTCAGAGCAGGGGCCATCACTGCCACTGACGCTGCCAGTGCCGCGGCCTCGACATCCAGAGGCTCCCGTCCGCTCCTGCGCTCCCTCTGCGTCGCGCTCACTCCCATTCATCCATTACTACGCTAATCTGTCCGGCGCTGTTCTCTCTCTCTCCACTTTGTCACCCCTTCTTACAGGATTCTGCTCTTTACGTTTTACTATATAATGTATCATTTATCATCATCCTTTACGCGCGTAATTACGTCGTCCCGACGCTCTCTTCCGTCTTGCTCATCATTGATTTGTCCATTTCTTCTAGACACTATGTTTCCTGCAAAAGGAAGAAAGCAACGTGTTACATCGTGCCTCCTTGGATTTAATCGGAATACTTTTCACAAAGGATAAAGCTCGCGATAAACTTGCGGATGAACTCACTTGATTTTCAGAAATCGTAGCATATTTGACGTCTCATTAAACGTATTCCAAAGTATGCCCTCGTTACGAGAAGATCCAATCTCACCGATCCAACGATGCTTTTATCACCGGTGACTATTTCCTGGACTTTGCGCTCGCAATAATTTTTCGCCGCTGTATTAAAATATTTCCGAGATCGGAGTTATCGGTAGCAATGCGTTCTGCGTTTCTTTTTGCGTCCTGGAAAAAAGAAGAAACATGTTTAACTTACAACGTGCTCCATTGCAAATGATATACAGACTTTTACATAACGAAAGCTACAAACTATTCATTCTAGAAAAGCATTTTACGGTCGAGTACTCGTGTATCCAATGCGGATTCAACGCAACGGTTCGATGCAACTTTTTTCCTGTGCAACAGATACGTTCGTCATATTTTCTTTACACGCCGGAAATGAATTCAACTCTACCGTTCTCACTTCTTATCGCGGTAAAACATTAACAGTGGTTAGTTTTAAAATTTATCGAAGGTACGATCTTGCAGATAACACCAATCGGAAAACGTTCGACTCTTACGTGTCTATTTTAGGGCAAAAGATTCGGTTGAGCTATGTGTGGCAAATCGTTCGAGACAATCACAACGAATCGCAATATCGTATTTACGATAACATTAACTGTACGTAATAAAGCTCAAATGTTATTGTAGTTACGGCATTTCAAGTATTCCAGCGAGAATAATATTGCGCAATAAACAGAATCGCGTTCCCACGCTATAAACACGTACGGAGAGAGTACTTGCGCGACTCGGTTGAGAAATAAAACGGTACAGAATGTGGAAAATAATCGAGACCTCTCGTTTTCGAAACGCAAACGATTCGCGGCGTGACAACAGATTCCGTCGGTGCAAGCGGAAAATGTGAACACATCGCGCGTTTCAACCAGCTGATCCACTACATCCCGAAATTAAATATCGTCGGTCTCGTAAATACCTCTCTCCCTGGGAAATGAGTCCTCGCGTGGGAATCGCGAGCAAATCGTCGCGAGAAAAATTACAGCGCAAACTGCAGCGTGTGCAACGTCGCGCCGGAAACGAGTCGATATTTCTTCGCGACCGGCCGGGCGATCTCACTGACGGGGAGGAACACAAAGAGAGAGACGAAACCGCCGGGATGAAAATCGGCAAGAAATATCTTGCACGGTTATGGAAGAAGGGATGGGAGGGAGACGGCGGAAAGGAGGGAGGCGACTCCCGAGGGTTCGAAGGATCTTCCCGGTCGGGTCGGTTCGTCGCGACTCGGCGCGACGTGTCGTAATCATGACGCTGCAGCGACACACGCACACACTGTTGGCCGATGCGTTTGTAACAGGTAAGTAAAGCGGCCACACGGTCTGACGCATTACCACGTGATACGCTCGCGGCGACGGCGGCTACGTGTACAGACGAGAGAGCGCGCGTTTAATAAAAACACGACGAAGACGCCGCTTCCTCCTCGTCGGTTTCGCACACGGTCTATTGCGTAACGGGCCCGATCCGATTTAGCCGGCTAGCCGCGCGATAAAGAACGCGGGGATACCTGTGCGTGGAGGCGGACCGGCTTACGCGGACCACGTAACGCGCGTAAATCGGAGCCGATTTCCTCGCTTCGTTGCGGCGCACTCTGTGCGGACACTGTTCTCACGCGTTGCCGCGCGCGCGGTCGCGAGTATCGAGCGCGATGTGAGCGAGAGAGAGAGATGACGACGAACACACGCACGGGCGTGCGTTAACGAGACGCCGCGAACCGTTTTCCTTTCCGTCGTGTCGCGCGCCCGTGATGCTCGCTCTCGCAACGTACAATGGCGGAGCAAAAAACAGCCTTCGAAGGTAGTAGTAGCTTCTCTCGGATTCACGGGTTTCAACGCACGTTCTCTTTCTTGCTCTTTCTCGTCCGTCTCTCTTTATCGCTCTCTCTCTCTCTCTTTCTTACTCGCTCGTTCGCTCTCTCTCTCTCCCACGCTCGCGCTCTCTCGCACGCACAATCATTCCCTATCTCTATCTCCCTCGCTCGCTCACCTCTTCGTGGCCGGGCTCGGCATGCTCTCGTGGGATAGCGCCGCGGGCTCTCGCGAGGAACGCTGGCTTGGATCTCGAGCAACGATTCGCCGGTCCTCCGATACACGGAGCGCGACCGTCACACCCAACGTACGATAATCTCGTCGTCCGCACTCGGCTGCTCTCGTCCGTCGCCGATCTCCGCTCGCCAGGCGACGCGCGCGCGTTCTCTCTCCCTCTCTCTATCTCTCTCTCTTCTCACGTAACTGTCGTCACGGTACGTCGTACGCGCAGTCGGTCGTTCACGGCGGCCACCACGCTTCTTTCTTCGACAAGAGCACACTCGGTTCCACTCGAAAAATGGGCCTCGCGCGAGCCGCCGTCGATCACGCACGATCCGTCGGCTGTTCTCGCCGCGTCGGAAAGTCACACGGGCAACGACGCGAGCTATTTATCAATAATGTATATAGGAAATTCGACCAACTTCGCTGCTGCCGTCGCGCGATCGACCAATACTGCGGGTGTCGCTGCCGGATGTGGCCTTCGTGGCCACGACGCCCAATCGGATTCGCGCCGTAACATCCAACCTAAGGTCCGATTTGCAATCCCGTACGCGCAGACGCGTTCGCCTCGTGATGCCACGCGATTGGATCGCTCTCTCGCTTCTCTCCTCAGTTCGAGCTTATCGCTTTTTCACACTCCTTTCTTTCAACAATTCATATCCGCAGTCTACTTGTATCAACGTTAAACCTAACCCCGATTCCAAGTGAAATGTATTT